CCAACAAGAATTTGTCTCTAATGATAGATCTATTTCATTGCATTTGGGGGCTCCATTCAAGTGGACGGGATATATTTTTGTCCACTTGTGGCGTGCACTCTGTTCCTTCCATCTTTTCGCTTCGAGAACCTCGCCTCCGTGGCCTTTTTTGCGCTTGTTTTTGTGTCTGCATTGAATAAACAAGAAGCACAGAAGTTGGTGGTCGCCGAACAACGCAAAAAAAGGAATACGCACTCGTCGGATGATGCTTTTCGACCTCTTGCCTTTTGTGGATTTTTTTCAAAATTTTTTCTTGGTTCTAATTGAAGTTTTTTGCTTAGATCTTTAAAGTTCAGACGTCAAAGCTTTGTAAAATAGAAAATTTTAGGAAAAATTCGGAGCAATATTCACCAAAGCCTCACGGAAAATGTTGAATGGAGCATCATTTTCAACTAGTCAGCTCAAATAAAAATTCATCTTTTTTAATTTGGTGTGTCCAATGTGTTATTGACATTCCTTACCTTCACAAGCTTTGGCTTTACACATTTTCCTCCCTGTCAAACTTTGACAAAATCACATTTTTTGACTAAATGAAACCTTTGATTTTTTTTTTGAAGCAGGGCTTTTTTTTGAACTCGGAATGACTACAGATTTTGAAAAATTCAGTCTAAAACGGTCCCAAAATAAGGCCGTGTGCCCTCAAAACTACGGAGGATGAAAAACATGGGAATAAGCTTCCTATTCGAAGTTTCGAATTTTAGGAAATTTTGACGAGCTCATACCAAATATCAAGCTACTCCACTGCATATGACCTTTTCTGGTCCCCATTCCAAGACATTTCTCCCTCGGGGATTGGACTTTTGTGGAGATCGAGATGAAAAGTGTCGTAGGTGTTGTCCGAGCGACCAGCGGCCGCCTAGATGTCGTGCCCGCGGTGAGGAATGCGATGTTCCAAGGACGCAGCCTCTACCACAGCCACTAGTACGCTGCCTGGCTCGTCCCGCATTTTTCCATCTTTATTCTTGGTTCCCATCAACTTTTGAGGCTCAATCATTTTTTTCAACTGTTATCTTCTTGATTCATGATCCGTTGAAAAGTTTTGCAGCTGTTTTTGTAGGAAGAGAGGTTCAGCTCTTGTTAAGTTCAGTTCTTGCTCCATCAAGAAACAAAGCTTTGTCCTGACAAAGTCCTCGTGCAAACTATGATTTTTTGATTAATCCACTGTAGTCAGCTGTTTTTTCAACTTCTAAAATCAGAGCTGCTACTCGCGAAAATTAGAACAACAAAGAACAATTCCAAAAAAATGACATATTCGTTTAAAAGTGTACTATATTTTTTTGTAGTAAACTTCTAATATTTTTTTAAATGAAAAAAATTTTTCAGCGGTTTAGGATCGCAACGTTAAAAAATGCTCTCGAAAAAAAACTTCAGCCCGGAAATTTGGGGCCTGAAAATTGAAGTTTTTGAGAGGCCAGCGAGCTTTTTTGAGCATATTTCAATGTATTTCACGCTTGGAAAACGATAAAATAGAATCTATCAACAAAAAAGTTTTCCATCGATTTCTGGATCGTCATAACTGACATCGTTTGCAACATGATTTTTTGACAGAAGCTTTTTTTTGATATTCTCTTTATCTAACAGAGTTTGATCAAGGCAATTGCGGGCTAAAGACACGAAAAAAAAGAAACCGATGATCGATCCTTATTAGCGAAGAGAAAACCGTCGGCGGATAATGGGAATCTGCGCGGGGGCATTAGACATCGTTAGGCGTTCCGACATCGTGTTGCTGGCGTTTTTGGCGTTCCGAGGCGCTGAGATTCGAAACGCCACGATGGATGACGGGTATTCAAATCACTTTTCTGGCGGACGCATTCCTTTTGCTACAGCCCATCTTATATTCCTATGCTTTTTGCGTCATTTCTGTCGAATTCGATCGATTTTTTCCCGGAAAAATTCCTAAGCCCCTGATAATGTCTATTATATACCATTCTATGGTTCTATGATTTTTACATTATTTCTATGGGTTTTGATCGTTTTTTTTCATTTCGACAAGCACTTCAATCAATGTGGAGTCTTTCAGAAAAGTGTACACAAATTTTTATATTCATATTTCATTTATCCTCCTATTTTTCTGTCGCTTTTGGGTCAATTGTATGCTTCGTAAAAAAAGAACGCTTCATTAAAGGACGTAAAGCTGGAAGCTTAAAAAAAATTCTGCATCTCTCGATCGTTTCGCCACAAAAAGTTACAACAAAGTTTCATAATCAAAGCTCAAGAAATCGCTTTTTCTGCAATTTTTTCTCCAACTTTCCGTTTGTTTCTCACAGAAATGATGATTCATTGATCAGTAGTCCAAAAGTCGCGAATTGTTTTGCACGAAAATGATTTTTTAGTTTCAAAAGCTTTCAAGTCCATCAGGAAAGCGTTCAATATCCATGTTGAGTCATTCGTTTTTAAGTGTTTTTAGTGGACGATAGTGTGTATAAAAGGAGCGAGAACAAAAAAATATTCATTTCTTTGCTTTTTTCCTCGCTCTTATATATTTTTTTACTTGTGACCATTTTGTAAATTCTTTCTTTTGAAAATACAGTTTTTTAGAGTCCTTAAGAGGTTAACAGCTTCACAAAAGCTCATCGTTTTCATAAATAATTTACGAAAATGGCAATGAAGCCCTTAAAAGATTTTTTGAGAGCACATTGTCTCTGAATTTCTGATCAGATGAGAAACTAGAATTTCAAGAGCCTTCTTTTCGAGTTTTGGTTTTTCCAATTTTCGGGTGAGTTGAAAAGGCGGTTAACGGTTTTGTTAGTTCTTCAGCTTTTTCTTGCGTTTGGTCAAATAAGCAGTGAAAAAGTTTGCTGTTATTTTTTTGTGAGTGGACGAAATCTATCCTCCACCTCATTCTGCCAATAAAGCTCCAAAATTGCTCCATACCCACTTTGAAGATAAAAATCTTAATTGTGCAAAGCATAAAAATTTTATAATCCTAGCCACTTTCCCGTTTCACCCTTGTTTTGTTTGTGCAGCGTTTCTCTCAGCGGTTATCAGAGACATTTGTCAGCTTGCCTTTTACATTGTTAAGATAAGCAGTTATAGGCATCCTCAGAATTTTCGAGGCTGTGCGCTAATCGGAAATGATGTTTTTACGATTCTTAAGAAAGTTCACTTTGCTCCGAAAATTTGTTCACGTTTTCTGCTACGTTACAAATCGTGTTGATCACAAAAATATGAATTTCAATCATAGGTCTGATGTTGTGATAATGCGCGCGGTTGCAGAGCGGTCGTGACTCATTTTATATTGAAAAAAAAATTATATCTTTCGAAGCTATAATTGGCACACTTTGTGAACATTTTGAAACAAGCTTTTTTTTTAAATAACGCATAAACTGTTCCTTGCCAGCTCATGAAATATTATATGAAGAACATGTTTCCAGAACAAACTATTATTGGCTTTTTATAATACTTGTTCATTTTTTTCACAGAAAAGCGGTTAATAAAATGTTATTCAGCTAGAAACCGATCAAAGTTGCTAATTCTGCATGCTTTCCGATTTTGATGGATTCACTATTTCATTCAGCTTGGAAGCTTCGCAAGATCACCTCATGATTAACACGATATCGTTTTTTGGAACTTTGTGAAAAAAAACGTCTTTTTGTCGGAATCCACTAAATTTTGTACAATTTTCCTCTCAAGGATTGATAATTCATAGTTTATTGAAAATATTCAATTTCCTAGAAGAATTTTTAAACTGACCTCTGTTGCAACAGGAAATTGTTTATTCAAATTTTGTCGGCGCTCTCAATCTTTCAAATCGCACAATCAAAACTGCTGACTCAACTTGACCGGGAATCGATTGCGCCTTTCCATGTTTTTGGAAATATTTGCCGACCCGAATTCTCGAATTTCTATTGATTCTGTTTTCTTGCCTTTTAAAGATGCGCACTGAATTTCATACAAACATTATTGTTAGAGGCTTCATTTTTTTCGTTTCTTAAATCTTATTGAGCAATTTTTTTAAAGTGATAAGGTAAAAAAATATGATCAGCCATTTATGAATATTCGCCCATTATAAAATTTTTCCAGCGAAAGTTTTTTTCTGACTCCGAAAATCATTTGTAGTCTTGACAGTTGCAAAACGGTTTTTTCAAGACTTGCCAGACTTGAAACAGCTCGCGCACCAGGAAAAATAAATGATTTATGAAATAGTATGAGGGCGACCAAGTTTCTGCGAGCCAAGAAAAACTTTCTTTCACTTTTGGGTTGAGTATGATTTGAAGTAACGTTTTTTGACTTTTCCGTCCAAGTGACAGAAATTCCTATACTCCGAAATTTTCTCCAGCTTTTCCTTCAGAACAGCTACCGTACCCTGTTTTGATGATACCACAAAACAGTAAAAATAAACCTTCTCTCCAAAAACTTTTTCTCCTCGTTTTCCTCGCCTCGGGCTTATTTTTGGCAACAAAAATGCTTTGAGACCCGGACGTATTGTAAAGGCGCGGAAAGTATGTTTTCCTTGTTTCATGCTAACATTCCATCCTTTTTCTCCCAACATTTATTTTCATTTGTCTTGAAACGAATGGTATGGTAGATGAGTCAGCCCGAAAAATCGGCGTGTGAGACTCCGCCTTTCCCATTATTTCATTTTCACGCCTTGCTTTTCTCTCATTTTACTTGTTTTCTTTTTAATTGGAGAAGTTTTCTTTCCAGTTTCAGATTTGTTCTTCCTTGAATAAATGGGTTTATGAAGAATAAGGATAAAAAATGGATAACTAATAGCTTTTTTTCTTCTTTAAACCATTATAGATTTTGTGATTGATAATTTCTTTAAAAATTTACTGAGACAAATGTTCGGAATAATTTTTGAATTTTAGAGAAGTCAAAATCTCTTTGTTATGTTGTATATGTTCCACATGGCTTAAAACTGACATTATCTCTTTTGTTCGGCTTTCTTTCTCGCGATTTCGTGCTGAAATCTAGTAAAACTCAAAATAAAAGTATTAGATTTTGCAGCGAAAGAGCGTATGGGCGACCTGCAGTATCTGCAGGTGCAGAGGGCGGCCGTGGCCGACCCGGCCTCGTTGGCGGCTTGGGCTCAGAAGAAGCTCTGCTACGTCCCCGACCAGAATGAAGGCTTCCTTCTTGGTGCCATCAAGTCAGTTATATATCTCTCTGAACCTGTTTGCGCATGATTAAGAAACAAGCTGTTTTGGGTCAGCTTCACTACTGATTTCCATCACTAGAAAACAAAAGATGGATCGCCATTTTTGTCTAGTTTTTTTTTCAAAAAAACTCAAATAACAGAGCGAAACACCGTACTTCCAGTACTCTGAAGTTCGAATATTCACTAAAAAGTTCTGTTTACTCGGAATCTCAGTGGTCGTCCGAAAAGTTTTCAGGGCTTTATATGGTTCTTAAATGCATAATTCGATTTCTCAGCTTTTTATTGTTCAAAAACAATGCCACGAAATTCGAGCAAAAAGCTTAGTGAGCTATTTTCATAAAATCTATTCATAACGAAAAAACTTTTTAGGCCGAGTTTTCAAAACCTATCAAGCGATAGTTGTTGACACCCTTTTTGAGAGAAGAACTTTAAAAATAATTGAATGAAATGATTTTTTCCGAATTTTTCTCACGAGCTACGTTTTCTAATCAACGGCGAAGCTACCGTAACTCTTTTTTTGTTTTTTTCTTCCATCGGCGCCGCAGAAAAAAGTTCTGCCAAGCTTTTGAAAGATAAAATGGTAGAACCGGCATCAGAGGAGAAAAAAAATTCACTAAAATTTAATCATTTTTTTGAACGTCTTTATGTAGTTTCTTTATCGGAAACAGACCATGAAACTTCGAAAGCCTTCAAAAACGTTGTACTTTCCATTAGATTTGATAAAAATGAGAAGTTAAAGACTGTTGACTAATACTACAAACGAAATTCAACCTTTTCTCGAAGAGGAAGTTTTCGGATATGAATCATAAGTGAACAAACATTTTGTCATCAAAGTTCATTTTCAGAAAAGAAACCAATGACGAAGTTGTGGTGGAGTTGTGCGACTCAAATCGACAGGTCACACTCAGCAAAGACGATGTCCAGAAGGCCAATCCGCCTAAGTTCGACAAGGTCAATTTTTTTGAGCAAAAAAGACAAGATAGACATGAAAAACAAATTCCATTGACTGCTGACCTGAGAAAACATAATCAGCAGAAAAGTCTACACAAAAACGCTTTTGATCGGAAAAATAACGGACAACACGTTCGAAAATTCCAAATTGGAAATCTCGGGCTAATTATCGAAGTTTTTAGGTCGAAGACATGTCCGAGCTGACATACCTCAACGAAGCTTCAGTCCTTCACAATCTCAAAGAGCGTTATTATAGTAGCTTAATTTATGTAAGCAGATTCCTAGAAAAATTCAAAAAATGGACAAGCTTCAGACTTACTCGGGTCTTTTCTGCGTTGTAATCAACCCTTATAAAAAACTGCCAATCTATTCGGAGAGCCTCATCGAAGAATTCAAAGGCAAAAAGCGACACGAAATGCCTCCTCACATCTTCGCCATCGCCGACACCGCTTATAGGCACATGCTTCAAGGTTTGTTGGAAATGTTCGGAGGTTTTGAAACAGTGATGTGAATTTCAGAGCGCGAAGATCAGTCCATCCTCTGCACGTGAGTGACTTCTTTTCAAGCCGATTCCATTCTTCAATTTGAAAAATAAATGAGCTTCGAACAACCTGATTGCTGTTTCAGGGGAGAGTCCGGCGCTGGTAAGACTGAAAACACGAAAAAGGTCATACAGTACTTGGCTCACGTCGCTGGAGCCAGTCGTCCCAAAAACTCGACCCTCCCAGTTCACGCCAAGGTATTTTTAGAAACAGCTAACGACTTTTTCTTGATTTGACTCCTTCATTTCTTATCGAACAATTTAGCCCGACAATTACCGAAACACGATCGTAAGTCTTGATGTCGTTTGTTGATCAGTTTTCAGTGAATTTATTTTGTACTTGTCCAGCAACTTACACCACCATGTCCTCGCTCACAACCAGAGCTCAAATTTTACTCTTTCCATTCATTTCATTTTCATTGAAGTTTTCAGTTTCATTTTAGCGCTTTAATCACGCTTTACATCCCTAGATTTTATTTCTCAACAAAAAAGTTTCGATCGCTCACATAAATGTCCTACACGCAGGACGCTTGCACACAGAAGCGTCTTCAAATTGTTTTCACAACTTATTCAAAGGCTTTCCGCCCTCATAACCAAAAAACTTAACAACTCAAATAAATGAAGTTTTTTTAAGGGCGAGTTGGAGCACCAACTGCTCCAAGCGAATCCTATCCTCGAGGCATTTGGTAACTCGAAGACAGTCAAGAACGACAACTCCAGTCGTTTCGTGAGTTTCTACTTCTCACTTTAGCTTTAAAAATAAATCCAACTCGAAAATATTTTCTCTTTCAGGGAAAGTTCATCCGAATCAACTTCGACATGAGCGGCTACATCAGCGGAGCCAACATCGAGTTTTACTTGCTCGAAAAGTCTCGAGTCCTCCGTCAGGCTCCCGATGAGCGAAGTTTCCACATCTTCTACCAAATTCTCCGTGGAACGTCGGAAAAAGAGAAAGGTAAACTGCAACGCTTGGAAAACAAGATCTGAGGGATGGAACGAGATTGACCCTGATCGCATGTCATATCTGGTAGTCGTTTTATTTACCCCTCGTCGCGAAACAGGCTTCGCGCCTCGCGGACAACAATCGGCCTGAGAAGATAGTGCTCGTGAGAAAGGGCGTTCGCAGATAGTCAATCTGAAGATATCGCCACGATGAGATGCGTCGCGCCAGATATCTCTCGGGTATATCGTCCTCATAACCTTCCGAACGCATTTTTCACTTGCGAGGCAAAACCGTTTAATGAGGGCCGTGTCAAATGAATACGCTTTGAGAGATTTTCGAAACGTTAAAAAAAAAGTAACAGGAGGGTAAACGATGAGAAAAAATGAACGCTACAGAAGAAAAAAATGAGAAAGCTTCTCACTCGGCTAGAAAACAACCAAAATAATGCAATTTTAAACTGGCAACTGTTTTCAATTATTTTGGAAGGATATGTGTTAATAAAAGAATTCCGTAAAAAGCCATGAAAAATGGGTAAATGAGCAAGCTGATAATTGAACGCTTCTTATTTAAAAAAAATCTGTGACAGAATAGGTTGAAGGCTTTAACTTATTAAAATATCCTTTCCCGGAAATGAAAAATTCTAATATAAAACGTTTTTCGAAAAAAACAAATGACTTGGATCACTTTGACTTTGTTTGATTCAGAAAAAAAAAAAAAAAAAAGTTATACTCTTTTTCCTGTTTAACTTTTCAGAAACTGCAAATTCAATGTTTCTTTTTAATTGTGATGATTTCAGCCGATTACTTGCTCGAATCAATTGACAAATACCGATTCTTGGTCAATGGAGGAGTTACTCTGCCAAACGTCGACGACGCTCAAGAGTTCCACAGCACTATCCAATCGATGAAAATCATGGGATTTTCTGAGGAAGAAGTGACCTGTTAGTCCATTCATTTGAACTGTGAGCGTAGTTTTATAATTTCAGCCGTGATGAGAGTCGTTTCGGCCACGCTGCTTCTCGGCAACTTGGAGTTCTTCCAAGAGAAGAAGAGCGATCAAGCCATTCTTCCTGATGATCGAGGTAAAATTTTTAATAGTTTGAAGATTCAAGATCCAAGTTTACAGTGATCCAAAAAGTGTGTCATCTTTTGGGCTTGCCGGTTATTGAGCTAAGCAAGGCATTCTTGAGGCCCAGGATCAAGGTGAAAAAAATTTTTCGAATTTTTCCGTAATGATATGTTTTTGAATCAGTTTCCCTTTTTATTAGGACTCTTTTCATAGATTATGTAAAAACCCCCCAAAAAAATGGCTTCTGTAAGTTTTTTTAAACAGAAACGGATAAAAAAATTTATTTACTATCCTGCCGAAAGAGATAAACTTATTTTTTTCAGGTCGGTCGAGAGTTCGTCAACAAATCGCAGAGCAAAGAACAAGCCGAATTCGCCGTTGAAGCCATCGCCAAGGCGTCCTATGAGCGCATGTTCAAATGGCTCGTCAGCCGAATCAACAAATCTTTGGACCGAACTCATCGTCAAGGAGCTTCCTTCATTGGCATCCTCGATATTGCTGGGTTTGTTTCTTGCTTTTTCTATCAGGACTTTAGGATATTTCAGTTTTGAAATCTTCGACATGAACTCCTTCGAGCAACTTTGCATCAACTACACCAATGAGAAGCTCCAGCAGCTCTTCAACAACACCATGTTCATCATGGAGCAGGAGGAGTACCAGCGAGAAGGTATTCTTAAGTTGAATCGAAAAAATTTATAACGATTTTCAGGAATTGAATGGGATTTCATTGACTTTGGCCTCGACTTGCAGCCAACGATTGATCTTATTGAGAAGGTAATTTTCTGGTCTAAGGACTTTAAATGAATTTTCATTGAATTTCAGCCCATGGGTATCCTGGCCCTTCTTGATGAAGAGTGTCTCTTCCCCAAGGCGACGGACAAGAGTTTGGTTGAGAAACTGCAGAAGACTCACTCGAAACATCCGAAGTTCATCGTTCCTGACATGAGAGCCAAGAGCGACTTTGCTGTCTTCCATTACGCTGGTTGGTTAAATTTCTTAGGATTTCTCAGAATAGTTGCTTTTCCAGGCCGTGTGGACTATTCTGCTGATCAGTGGCTCATGAAGAACATGGATCCTCTCAACGACAATGTTGTCAGCTTGATGCAAAACTCGACCGATCCGTTCGTTGTCGGCATCTGGAAGGATGGTTAGTAAAAGGACGCATTTAAGAAAATTTTGGAAAGTGAAAGGCATAAAAAGTTTTTGACACTTTCAAACAAGAAAGCTGAATTTGAATAAATGGATAATATTTTTTTCTCACCATTTTTTCACGCTGAGAGCTTCAAAAATGTGTTTGTCGGAAAAAAAAAACAGATTTTGTAGTGAGGTTTTTTGAGATTCCGCGTTTACTGGCAATAAACTGTCAAATTGTCCCCGAATGTTTTTACTTCTGCAGCTGTTGATGGAAAAGCTCATTCGCAAAAAAAAAAGCTTCAAATGGTAATTTTACAGCCGAATTCGCCGGCATCTGCTCGGCGGAGATGAACGAAACGGCCTTCGGAATGAGGACTCGAAAGGGCATGTTTCGCACCGTCTCCGCAGTCCATAAAGAACAGCTGACGCGTTTGATGACCACGCTGAGAAATACGAGCCCCCACTTCGTGCGCTGTATTATCCCCAATCACGAAAAGAAGGCCGGAAAGATCAACTCCAACCTCGTGCTCGAGCAGCTCAGGTGCAACGGTGTGCTCGAAGGCATCCGCATCTGCAGACAAGGATTCCCCAATCGCGTGCCATTCCAAGAGTTCCGTCATCGCTACGAGATCCTCACTCCTGACGTCATCCCGAAGAACTTCATCGACGGCAAGGAATCTGTCAGGTACGGCGTTTTTACTTGCTCATTTTTGGAATAAAGAGTATTTTGAACTTGAAGAGATTTCTCAAATATTTTTTACATTTTTTGAGAGCCGAACTTTTTTTCTTAATGTAAAAAGTTCCTGAAACTTCATTCATCCGCCATTAAAAAAACTAATTTCTTAAAAAAATTGGTGAAATCTTTTTCAAAAAAATGTATAAATAGATCCTCAACTTTGAGATTAAAGTTTTTCAAAACGCCCTGAAACCTTTGAGATGTCAATCTCACCGAGGAAATGACATTTGACAGAAATTTGAGCTGCAAGAATCAAATTTCAGTGTTCGATCCCTCATTATAGTATGATGATGATATATATATTTTTCCTTTTTTTCTACAAACCGTTTTTTTGCTCTCCATGATATCTGCAAAAAATTAGTTCTGAAGGCTCAATAAACTTCAAATTTCAAGATAAACTTTTCAGGAAGATGATCACTGCGTTGGACATCGATTCCAACTTGTACCGTATCGGTCAATCGAAAGTCTTTTTTTCCGAACTGGCGTCCTTGCTCATCTTGAAGAAGAACGGTAACTTTTCCACCATAGTTTTTTTATTAAATTGTGGGTTTTTTTCAGAGACCTCAAGTTGACCGCTTTGATCATTCGCTTTCAAGCGGCTTGTCGTGGAGCTCTTGCCCGTCGTCAATACGCCAAGAGGGTTTATTACTAAAAAAATCAATCCAAACTTCAATTTATTTTTTTCAGATCCAACAATCCAGCGCTATTCGCGTCATCCAGCGTAACGGTCTTGCCTATTTGAAGCTTCGCAATTGGCAGTGGTGGCGTCTTTTTCACCAAGGTTTGAATTATTTAATTTGTATAAAAAGGCAAATACTCTGATTTGAAAGAAATCAATGTCTGAGTTTGCAATTTTCAAAGTTCTTACATCATAAGAGTTATCGAAGACTGTCAAACGAATGATACTTAAATCAAAAAAATCAGTCAAGCTCAAACATATCAATTTTAATCATCCTGAAATTTGTTTTCAGGTCAAGCCGCTTCTGCAAGTCACCCGAACTGACGACGAGATCCGAGCAAAGGATGATGAGCTCAAAGTCACCAAAGAGAAACTCAACAAAGTTGAAGTCGAACTCAACGAAAACCAGCACAAGTTCGATCAGGTACTTTTGTAATTAAGCAAATAAATAATTTTAAAAAACCGCAGATCATTGCGGAGAGGAACGTTCTCCAACAACAACTGGCTCAAGAGGCTGAGAACTCTCAGGAGCTGGAGGAGATCAAAGTCCGACTTCAAATGAAGGTTTGTGACATTTTTGAAAATGCTTGGAAGACTCGAAGATTCAGAAAGAAGAGCTGGAGGATATGGTTGCCGACATGCGTGAGCGTCTCTCTGAAGAAGAACATCGCAGTGAGAAGCTGAATGAGGAGCGGATTAAGCAGCTGGTAGGACTTAACCGTTTTCACGAATTAACGGATGTTTTTCCTTTTTAGGAAACGGTTCGAGATTTGGAAGAACAGTTGGAGCAAGAAGAACAAACGCGCCAAAAGTTGCACATTGATAAAACTAACTCCGACCAGAAAGCCCGAATTCTTGAGGAAAAACTCGTTGAGCTGCAGGTTCAACAGTTTGATAACTATTTGTCGAAATGCAAAATAATTCAGGATGCCTATGACAAACTCCTGAAGGAGAAGAGAATCCTGGAAGAAAAGGTCGAAGTCCTCACCAGCCAGCTCATGGAGTACGAAGAGCGAGCCAAGCATGGAGTCAAGGCCAAAGGAAAGGTTAGTATCGTTTTGAGAAAAAAAATTGAGGCTTATGCGCCATGGTTAAGCTCGAAAATCAAGTTCACGAGATGGAGCAAGATCTTCAACGCGAGCGTCAGTTGCGAGCTGAACTTGACCAGCAAAAACGCAAGCTCATCGCCGATTTGGAGGACAATCGCGAGCTTTTGGAGGAGAAGCGAAGCAAGGTAATTACTTTTATCAGTTTGATTTTCTTCAACTGGAACCGTACGAAATCAATCTTCTGATGATCATTTTTCAGGTCGAAGAGCTCAACGGACAGCTCATCAAGCGAGAGGAAGAGCTGCAGCAGCAACTCACCAAGTGCGATGAGGAATCTGGCAACGTCGCCCTTCTGCAAAGGCAGATGCGAGACATGCAGATGACAATTGAGGAGCTCCGAGAAGACGTTGAGTCGGAAAGAACTGCAAGAAACAAGGCTGAAATGACTAGAAGGTGCTTTTTCGTTCTTTTGGCGGATATTTCGATCTAATGAGAATCGGACTATTTCCTAGTTGTCCACCAACGTTTGTGTTTCCAAAAAAAAATATAAGTTTTCAAGGAAGGCGATGCATTTTTGTGTTTTTGTGAGCCAAAACAACCCAAAGTCCAATTATGAGCATAAATCATCGATACCAGGCTTCACCAGAACCTCTTTTGAATATCGAACCGATTACTTCAGAGAAGTTGTCGCTCAACTCGAAAAAGTCAAGGGAGACGTTCTCGACAAGGTCGATGAAGCCACGATGTTGCAAGACCTAATGGCTCGCAAAGACGAAGAAGTTAACAATGTCAAAGTAAGCAGTTGTTTTCATCCTTATTTCATAAAAATGATTTCCAGCGCACCTTGGAACAAACGGTTTCTTCGCTCGAGATGAAAATGGAGGACCAGAAGATGAAAATGAGTCGGCAAATCGAGGAACTTCATGAACAGGTCGAGCAACAGAAGAAGCTCCGTTCCAGCGTCGAGAAGAACAAGACGCAGCTCGACCAAGAACGAGTAAGATTGCGAAAATATTTGATAAATCCATTTGAATAACTTTTACAGGCTGACATGGCTCAAGAGATTGCTCTCCTGCAAGCTCAAAAAGCCGAGGCTGACAAGAGAAGGAAGACCCAGGAAGCTCAGTTGATGGACATTCAGTCTCAAATGGCGGATGGGGAAGATCATCGCCGTCAGATGCATGAGCAACTTGAAAAGGTGTAGCTGAGCTCCTAATTTGATGCATAATTTTCTTCTTCAAGACCCGAGAGGAGCTGGATTACCTGCTGCGTACTCGTGAAGAAGAGGAGCACCACTTCGCCAACATGACTCGAAAGCTTGGTTCTGCCGAAGCTCAACTTCAAGAGCTCAATGATCAGATTCAAGTAGGTTCATTGGAAAATAAGGATGCTATTAATTATGAACCCGAGGAAAATTTTTTATAAATAGAAATTTTAGTCAAAAGATAGCCTAAAGAAACATGAAAAAAAAATTTGATAGGAATGATTTTTCCGAATTAAATGTCCATTAAACCTGAATTAAAATAAGTTTACAGGTCAGCTTTTTTTTGTTCACTTCTGAAATTGTTTACAATAGTTAATTGTTCTATGACAAAGCCAATTTTCAGGAAGAAACCAAGGCCAAGATCAACTTCATCAACCGCGTCCGTCAGTTGGAAGAAGAGAAAAACGCGCTCCTTGAGGAACGAGATGAAGCTGAAGGAGCTAAAGTCTACCTGGAGAAGGTGTTTTGAAATTTGAAGGATCATGATGATGTTAAATAATACAGGAACTTGGCGCCGCTCGTCAACAAATTGGCGACTCTCGCCGCAAAGCTGAAGACTCCTTCGTGCATCAAATGGAAGAACTCAAGAAGAAGGTATGAAGAAATCTTCGAAAACTAGTTTAATAAAGTTTTTCAGCACCACCGCGACTTGGAGAATCTCCAGGCTCAATTGGCCGAAAGCGAAACGAACAAGGAGCGCATGCTGCAGAGCAAAAAGAAGGTCCAGCAGGAGCTCGAGGACCTCACTATGGAGCTGGAGAACTCGCGCAGCTCTTCCCGAGAAATGGAGAAACGCCAGAAGAAGTTCGATCTGCAGTTGGCTGAGGAACGAGCTAACGTCCAGAAGGTAGATTTTAAAAATGGATTGGAACTGAACTATTTGTTGTAGGCATTGGTCGATCGTGACGCTCATGCTCAAGAATCCCGCGACAGGGAGACCAGAATCCTGTCGTTGATCAATGAAGTTGAGAGCTTCAAAGAACAACTTGAAGATAACGACCGCATCAAACGTCAGCTGCAGCAGGAGCTCCAGGACTCGGTAATTCAAAAAAGTTTTTTCAGAAACTTTATTTTTCGATTTTCAGATATCCAACAAAGACGATTTCGGAAAGAACGTTCACGAACTCGAAAAGGCCAAGAGAGCCCTCGAAGCCGAGTTGGCCGACCGCAAAGCTCAGATGGAAGAACTGGAAGATGCCGTTCAGATTGCTGAAGACGCTCGTCTTCGTCTTGAAGTCAACCTTCAGGCTCTCCGGTCTGAACATGAACGGTCCATCAACAATAAGGAAGTGGTTAGTTCTCTCATTTTTCTAAATACAATTATATTCTGGGAATTTTCAGGAAGCTGAAGAAAAACGCCGATCTCTCATCAAGCAAATCCGCGACCTCGAAGCCGAGTTGGAGAACGAACGACGTGGCAAGAGTGGAATCAGCAGTCAGAAGAAGAAGATGGAGAGCCACATCGCCGAGCTTGAACAACAACTTGAAGTTGCCAACCGTCTCAAGGTAAGAATCAGTGTTCCAGAGAGAAAATCTTTAAAAAAATCCGAGAAATAGAACATTCTTCAATAGACCTGTTAAAACTGAACTCGAATTCATTTTTGATTCATTTATATTTAACGAAGAAAAAGTTTCATTTTCAACGCCTTCACAGAAACATTGGAAAAAATACACATTTTGAATATCTAAATTGCTCGCAGGGATAGTAGGGTAAATGCAAAAAGCGCGCGCTTCATTTTGCGTCCCGCACGGAAAATTAATTTTGATTTCAGGATGAGTACAATAAGCAGCTGAAGAAGAACCAGCAAATCATCAAGGATTATCAGCATGAATGCGAGGAAACTCGTCAAACCAAGGAAGATCTGGCCGCCCAGCTCAGAGAAGTCGAGCGCAAACTTCGGTTAGTTACTTTTTCTGGAAATGTTCGTTAAAGTCAAAAATCGAGAGAAATAAGCTTAAAAGCTAGTAACAGGCATAAAAACTATTTACGGTCTAGTGAAAAATAAGGAAACTGGATAATTCAGAGCTTCAGTGCCCAAAAAGACAGTGAAAAGTTTGAAATAGAGAACAATTAAAAAAAAACGAGAACGGAGAATAATATTGACAAGGTTTTTTTTTGATTTTTCGAAATTCATCGACGGGCCTTAATTTAATACCTTTAGTGCTGTCGAAACTGAACGCGAACAACTTCGCGAAGCCAACGAAACTCTTTCCGCCATCCGCAAGCAGCTCGAGCTGGAGAAGGATGAACTGGAAGAAATGCGTGGACGGGTAATTTTTCGAAAATACTCTGATTTCCTGAACAAAAGTATTATAGGGAGGCTCTATCAGCTCTGACGAGAAGAGACGCCTCGAAGCCAAGATCGCCCAGCTTGAGGAGGAGCTCGAAGAAGAACAGAGCAACTCGGAAATCGCTATCGACAAGCAGCGCAAGGCTCAGCTTCAGGTTCAAAGATATTTTTTCTGGAAAATATTCAACAGTATCAATTTTCAGCTTGAACAACTCACAACTGAGCTCTCGATGGAGCGTTCTTTGAATCAGAAGACCGACGCCGAGAAGCAGAGTCTTGAGAGGACGTGCCGCGAATTGCGCGCCAAGATCACTGAGCTCGAATCGACGGCTCAGTCGAGGTCCAGAGCCCAGATCGCTGCTTTGGAGACCAAGATCCAGTACTTGGAAGATCAGTACTCGGCTGAAAGTCAGGAGCGTATCAGCGCTACCAAGCAGTACAGGTGGGACTTTCTCACTTTTTTGAAAAAATTAGCTTAGCTGAGAGCCTTTTCGACTCTTTCGAGAAATTTCGAGAATTTTATTTTTATAACCAGTAAAAATACATCAAAAAAAGGCGGATTGAACTGTAATAAATTGGCAAAGAATTTTTCGAAAAGAGGATTTTCAGACGCCTTGAGAAGCGTCTCCACGACACGATCCAGCAGCTCGAAGACGAGAAACGCAACAGCGAACAGAGCAAGGAGCTGGTGAGAAACCATTCTTTTAATTAATTTTTCATTTCATTTGTTTTTAAAAACTTACTGAGTTTCAGATGGAACGCGCCAACCTGAAGCAACGAACGATGCGTCGTCAACTCGACGACTACGAGGAAGAGTTGGCTCGTGAAAGAACCAAAGTTCGAACTCTCCAGAGAGAAATCGACGACCTCATTGAGGCCAATGACACGTTGACCCGGGAGGCTACGGCTCTGAGGTTGCTCTCGCACTTGAATTATTTCGATGAGCCTTATTTATTTCCAGAGGCGGAGCAAACCGTCGCAGGGCTGACAATATCCGGCTCAGAACCGCCTATCAAGTTGCCGGTTCTAGCGACAATTTGGCGTCTCGTGAAGACGAGAATGAATCAAATGGTTAGTTTCAGTAAATTCTTAGCAATTTATGAAAGTTTATAGAAAATGTGTCTTTCAGTATATCATTCCTAATACCACGAAGTCATGGTTTTCTTGTTTGTAGTATGAATTAGTAGCCCTGCTCGGACATTTTAAGTTTTTTAATTCACATGCTCTGTTTCAGCATAACCTTCAAATTAGAAAAATAAGAAAAAAATAATTTTTTTAATAAATGAACAGCTAACAAGGGATAAAATTTCATTATGACCCTGTTTATGGACTCTGAAAAAAACTAACAAAGCAAACTTAATCAGTAAGTTTTTGAAATATAATAAAAAAAATCATTGCAGTGTCTGGATCGGACCACGTGTCGATAAATTAATCACTCAAAAGAAAAACGGTCACACTTCAAAGCGCCTTATCCTGATGAATACGGCGAAATCTTCTCACTTTTTCATTTTATTCCTCTCCTCATCCCGATTTTAAGTAATCTGCTTGCTCCTAAGGGTTATTTATGTGCAGGTTCCACAATCAATTTTCATTTCTTTTGCCTTTTTCTTCCGTTCAAAAAATCAAAAATGTGGTTTTTTTTTCACTTACCAACGCTCATTTTCTGTTGTGTACCAAACAAATAAGGTGATTATTTCCTCGTTTTGGTATTTTCAAGCTCATTTTTTTGTAGGCGCGGCCGGTGTTTTTAAGCAATTGTGTCACTGCAGAAACGAAAAGATTTTTATTCCTCGCCTCGATTTCTTTGCCTTGTTCATGTGCGCTTCCTTACTGTAAAGTTTTTGTCGCTTTTTGCAATTTTGTCGTGATTTTCTTCTTCATTTATTTAATATTCTTGTAATTTCTTATAATAACTTTATCAAAGTCTTTTTATATTTTCATATTTTTCTGCATTGATTTGACCATAAAGCACCTCAACATTCCGCTTACCTTGGAGCACCGTCTTTGGTGCCTTTTCTCGCAAAAAAATTCTTCTTATATATCCAAATCGCTTTATGCATACTATTGTGAGGTTTATCCAAATTGTATTGCTGCCCTTCCATTTTCGCACAAGTAAATATATTTACCAAGCAAGCGGCGACAACAGTAAAGCACCAAGTTTGAGATTATTTAACAGAAATGAAAACTAAAGAATTATTCTACACTTCGGGGAAGTTTTTACGGCGACAGTCGTGGTTCACTCTGCACCAAACTTCGCTCTCCTAAAAATCTCGAAAAAAATGAAGAGGTGAGACATATATACGAACCTTGCAGGTGCACTCAGCACATGGATCGTCGTGGTCCATCCAAGTTTCGCCTTGTTTCTTCACTTCTCCATTCGCAAGATCGCAAACTTTGACTTTTGGAGTGTGCCTCTTTCTGAAATTCATACTTTGAAGTATCCAACATCACTGTTTTAATTACGCAACGGTATTTTTCGTGGGGAGAATTCAGATGCACGCACCACTGTTTTTTTTTCTTTGTTTTTCCAATAACTCTCAACCTCAGAAATTAATATATTTTTACTGTCAGCAGTTGACTTCAAGGTTTGACGCTTCTGATTACGCTGAAAACTTCTCTTTTTAGAAGTTACTGTTTCGGTCACTCGTTTCAACTTCAAAGAACTAGCAAAGCTTTTGTCATTGCGGCTTCGAAAGACTCGTAGCAAGTTGAAAAAAATCTAACATCAAGATCTATGACTCTTTAAAATTTCGACAGTCTACTACAAGATCTCGTCAAGCTTCTTGAAAATTTTGAAAACCTGTACCTTTTCTTAGCCTTGGAAACAGATGCAGAACTGAGGGAAGAATGGCACGTAGAGTCACAACAAGCCGCCCACATGTTCAAATTCACTTCGGGAAGACTTCCGCAAGGTTCGTAGAACGTTGTCGAATTGCCGTGGTAGATGAAGATATCGCGCTGGAATCACATTTTTATAAAAGTATAAATGTGAGAAAAAAAATAGCATTTTGTTTCACAATTGGAAAAAATCAACTTGGCGTTATTAATAGTCAAACTAGAGTGTACTAGAAGAAAGGAAGGCTAAAAGAAAACTTTCAAGTTCGAACTTTACCTGAATGCGATCGATGTCATCACCATTAGTGCAAACGATCTTTGACAATGAAGCTTTCTTTATTTGTCGGAGTTGCAGTTTTGTGAACATTCCTTCGTTTTCGTACCTTAAACTTCAATTAAAATCCGAAAACTTTCTTCAAACTGACCAAAAACGATCGCCATCTCTCAATCTCTTGAACTGGTCAGCAATGATACAAGCCAAAGTAGGTCCCATCATTGCTTCTGGAGTCCTTTTTTCAGTGACTCCACCAACCCAAAGGTCGATATTTGCTAAGAGAATCGTTCTTGGAAGTGAAAATGAGAATCTATGATACCTGGTGATCCATAAAGTTCTTTAAGCTTCGCAATGACACTTTCATTCTTTACGATTGGTGTCATATCTTCCCAGGTTTGAGGAGCGGAAAGGTTACAGAACTTGCGGTATTCTGTCCAACTGAAAATTATTACTCACTATGTACAAAAAATGGGGAGTAATACTCACGCAGGCAATCCGTGATCCCTTCCACGTTGAATGTTGAAAGCAGCGAGGTCAAGGGCTACCTACAATTAACTTTTTTGCTTTATATAGATTTCAAATAGAGTCTGTAAACTTCGGAAAACTTTTATAAATTTTCAGAGCCGATTTAAAAACTTTTATCTAAACTCACCTCGTGATATCTGCTAAAAAGCCGTTCGGTGAGCTCCTTGTTCAAAATCTGGTCCGGCCTTGGGTTTTTGATTGGCGCTGCAAATAAACCACGAAGTAGAGGATCGATTCCTCCTTCTGATAAGAGTCGTTCTGGCGCGAAGAAAGCCTGAAATTCTTATGAGAACTTGCGAATATTCCAGTTTTTAAGTACCTTATGCAGCGGGAGATTTCCTTCTTTGATGGGTTCAAAGTTTTTGTCGAACCGAAACAGCTGCGGGTTGATCATAGTGTGTGCAAATCTGACAAATGCAGAAAATTATTGAGTTACTTTTTGAACAATTATTGAATACCTCAAAGCAGCAGTTGCGAATTCGTTGGCAATTGTTGGATTGACGTCCGGGTTGTATCCTTTGTAGGGGCCAATGATTTCATTGAAAGTCGGCTGAAAAGTTGGGGATTATTTACAAGAAGATTTTGAAAACAGAGTTTTTGAACATCATCGTTGCAAAAAAAAAAACCAGGTACATTGAAGAACTAACCCTGCCAATAAGTTTTGGTAACCAATCGTTGTAGGTGATGTGCTGCATCATAGCCGCTAGGATTTTTCCTGGTTTCTGAAATTATTGAATGTTATAAAATTATATTTTTTTAGATAAGTTAGATCTGAGCACCTGATAAGAAAAACTTCCCATGTACAGAAAAAAAGAAATAGAAAAATAGGGGAATTTTTATTGAAAACTTTAAACTTTTTTTTCATACAAACCTTGATAAATAGTTTCTCCATCCCAATTCGAGTTCAACTCCAATAATCTTGAAGCGATTCGATTATGCTCACGAAGGAAAATCGTGTGCATACTGGTGAGGCCGAGCTGAAGACGGCTAAATTTCTCAAAAGTTTATTGAAACATTTACCTGCTCATTTGCTCTTAGATCTCCAGCCAAGAAGCATCTGATTGGATTTTCTTCAGAATAGTTACGGCGACAATCCATTTCCGATTCTTTTTCAAAAGGAAGGTATGGTTTTTGAGCTCTGTGAAATCACGATCGTTTTTTTAGAAAGAAGAAAAAAAATACTCAGAAACGATGTCGAAACGGAGGATTCCATGGTCGCTGTAGAGATCCCGAAGCTCAAGAGCCTGTTCTTCAGTGTTTCCGTAGATGGCGGAGGCGTCAAGGTAGGAAGTAAGCTGAAATTTTAGAACTAACATAATTTTTTGTAAAAAATGTATTATCTTGAAAAGAGTTGAGAACTTACAACATTCAGCTGATCTCTGTAGGTGACTCTTTGGAATATCGGCGAAGTCTCTCCACTGCCACAAGCGGCGCCATTTCGTTCAAACTCCAAGCATGGGTATTTTTGATTCCTGAATGAAATTTATCTTTCCGGTGACCTAACTTCTTCAAACTTTGCCACGAGTAGCTTCGGATCATCAGGTTCTAACTGAATGTTGAAGCAGGGATCCAAATTCTCACAGGTTCTGTTACAAAAAGCTCCTTCGCGATAGCTGTGACGTGTTAGAGCAGGTGCAGTCAAAGTCAAGTCGTGATCTGAAACTTGAAAGTATCAAAAAAGATCCGAATGTTTTGGTAATGAGAAGCTTTAGACATTTTCATGAAAAAAGAAAAATGAGAATCATTCAAACTGTTTCCTTATAAAAATTGAGTGAAAAAAGCATAAACTAATTAAAAATTCGCGCGGAAGGAGTGAGTATAGTACGTGGAAGCGCGGCAAAGTGCATCATTTGAATTTCTGCACTCTCACTCACCGATGAACTGTCCCCACTGCATCAACATAGCAGATAAATGAGTATGCGGCGTGATTTCGTCTGTGCCGATGAGTTTTCGAGAAATCTGAATAAGAACTGGATTACCAAAAATTGTGGGCAGATTTTCATTCGAGGTGTTTTTTACAGAATCGGACATTGTAACTTCTGAATAAAACGTAATTTTTTTTTGTACGTTCTGAGAGATTCTGAGGTTTTTCTCGATCTCCTCGCTATACAAAAATTTAATCTTTTATTTCACTTTTTACAATTTTTTTCAAAAATTACTTTCGAAGGGCTTCTGCACGATTAGCCCTCAAAATCTGCAAGAACTAATTTTTATGAATTTTATTAACTTTTTTTCAGGTTTTGTTAGTAGAGTTACTTGAATATAAATATCAAATCTGTGCTTCAAAGATTACCTTTCTTGCATTGGGTAGAGGGAATCCATTGTAAAGTCGTCCTTTCTCCCATCCAACAGGTGTATTGAACCCATTCTCATATCTCGGAGGCAGAAGCCGCAAAAATGCCATTTCGGAAACTCCCCAAAGCGGATGCTCAAAGTTGTTGCACTGGCCGTCATAAGATCTGAATAAATCACAATTCTTCTGTATCATCAATTATAATTTCACCTGTATTTGGAATGATAACAAATATCATCGCAACTTTCAACAAATTGCCCAGTTTGACACCCACTTTTCTCCATCAGAGTTTGAACAAACGACACAGGTAAAACTGCTTCATAAGAGACATTTGGTGTTATTCCTGACGCGGAAAATTCCAAGCCTTTAATGTCATGTTGGAAAATCATCAGTCTAGAAAAGTACCATTTTCAATGTGTTCTTGAATAAGACGCAAGCTTTCTTCGTAAATCTCACGAGCTTTTCCCAGGTCTACTTTCTGAAAAGTTAGAAAGTTTGTGAAGTGATGTATCTACTTCGTACCCCAAGAGTAGCGGCAAATTTGAAGAGCGATCTCAAATTGTTCGGATCGTTCATTTTTGTCTTCGCCTTCTCTTCTTTCGTTGTTTGGAGAGCTCTGAATAAGAAATATAATAAATTCTAGTCTCGCTTCAAGTTTTTTTGAAAAGCTTGGCCAAAACTGCAGAAAACCAAATCAGACTTTTTGAATAAAAAAACCCTCGATTAAGTTCAAAATGGCTCTTATCATGATAGTTTTTTTGAAGCGTGACCGACTAGAAACGACTTACGGTCCATTTTATCTAGCATTATTAGGAAAAGTTATTCATTTGATCTCTGTGGTCTTTTCCCAGAAACCTAACCATATCAATTCAATTTCTGAAATTTTTTCAAGTAGCATTTTTGAAAGATAAGTTAATATTTCAAGTTACAAAACATTAATAACGACGAGAAAAATGGAATAAGAGAACACATTTTTCCCCAGTGATAATGCACACATCACTTACTTATCAACATTGATCCTAGCTTGTTCAGCAATTTGAACCACTGTCGTGTCATTCAAGAAATCGTCAATCTGAATTGACTATTTTTTCATGGCTGCTCAAATCGGAACTCACCTTATTAATCACTTGATTGCTGATATTTAGTCGAGCCATGGCACTAGCCGATCCAACACTATTTTGGGCGTGGCAAGTGTATGCTCCGGCGTCGTGTCTTGTCAATTTTTCAACAGTAAGCTCGATGTTATCCTCAGAAATCTGAAGTTTCGCTTTCTTTCTCGATTAAAGATGATTTTTACAGTATATCTAGTATTCCTTCTTGGGATCCGGGTGCCTTCAAAAAGCCAAGAAATCTCTGGAAGTGGAACTCCACGCGCTTTACAACGAAAAGTAATCTGAAACTTTCCTTATTCGATAAAATATTTTGAATTCAATGAAACTTGTTGCCCTATCTCCATTGTGGTCGACATCGGAGCGTCGAAAATCACTGGAGGTTCACTGAAAAATCCGATATAATGGTAAAAAAAACTTAAAAGTTACCTGCTTGTAAGTCCAACTTTGACTGAATGCTCGACTTTTCCATGGATATTGCTTGCCAAACAGGTATAACTGAATAAATTTTTCGTTCAAACTGAAATTAGGCAAGTTCTGACCTTCCAACATCACTTTCCAAAAAGGGAAACACTTTGAGAACGGAGTCACCTTTGGAAAATTGGTGTTTGGTTGATGGCATAAGTTGCTAAAACCGTTTAGGAATTGAAACATGAAATAAAAATAATTTTTTTGTTTTGATTTGGAAGACTTTTCGTTTATTTCATTTTGTTTGTTGAAAGAAATATTCATGACTTTCAATTGAAAATATAATGAAATGATAATTTTCGTTTTTTCGCGCCTTATCGTTGTGGGACCCAACTTTTTTTAACGGTTTTCCGGAATTCCTGTTTCGCTAAGGCATTTTGAACAAAAACGCGTCAACTTCGAGATCGCCGTAATTACTGTGAACACGGCATTATACTCAACCTCTGAATTGTGAAACCAAGCCATTTTTGGCTGTGGCTCGCCAGAAGCTTCACAGGTCAACTCCAGAGGATCGCCTTCCCTGGCAGACGTCGCCTTTTGTTTGAAAGTGAACTGCGGCGCTTTTCCATGGTGCACCCGGATTTGTCGCTGCTCTCGGTATCCCTAAATGAGCAAATGTTTTATCCGTAATGTCGCTATTAACCCACTATTGTTCTCGAGAGCCTATCAACGGTGCAGGAAATTTCGCTCACTAATGAGTCTGGGGTAAGTCGGAGCATGTCTGGTCTAATCCGGACTACAGTCTCGTTAGTTTCCAGCTCTTCATTTCTGCAATGAAATTTCTCGTGACTTATTTGAAAATTTTCCAAAAAATTGAAAAAAAAAATCACGAGAATCGTTTATGGGAAAATAAAAACGGTGAATTTATGATTTATATCATAAATTCACCGTTTTTATTTTTTCAGCCAAGCCCAAAAATCAGGAAAAAAAATCATCGAACACTTTTTAAAAAAATCATCGAAGCACTTTTCACAAAGGACGAATTTACTATGATCAAAACAAGAAAGTTCAAAATAGTAATTGCATAGTAAATGATTTCCCTAATGACTTGCCCCAGTGACATATTGTGCAAAATCATCCGTCTACGGTATTTCCCTCCTTCATTCGATCAGTTTCAAGGAACCCACCCTTCGATCCAAACGATTTCATCTCCCTGATCAGTTTCTGTCGGACATTTCAACGTTATTCCACTAGATTCTTCTTCCACAATCGGTTGCGTGCATCTCAACATGCTATTTTCCACCTGGAACCATTTTTTTTCGATGCTCGTTCTAACAATTCAGATCCAACCTCATGAACCAGTGATTTCTTCAGGTCAGGCGGCGTGAAACAAGCCGATTCGCTTGAATTCTTTTGCATCGCAAAGTAGCCTTTCAGTTCGATCATTCTGGAAAACCTCTCGAAGTTGAAGGAAAAATTATTTCTGACCTGCAATCGCAGTTCCATGGGTTTCTATGCAAATGAAGCTCCATAAGTTGCATGTTATTTTTGAAGATTTTAGTCGGAATCGAAGGCAGAAGATTGTTCGCCAAATCTAGTTGCATCAGGTGGGGACAGTTGGAGAAAGCCTTGAAAAGTTATCCAATTTTTATATTTTTGAGGTGGTCTACCTGGCTGTTTAAATGAATCAAATTGTTGTGGCGAAGTTCCAAAGAGATCAGAGGAGCTGGTTTCGTAGCCAATCTAGGTAATTTCCTCAGCTTGTTCCTCGCAAGGTGAAGCCTTCGCAGTTTTGGAAGTTCATCGAGGATGCCCTGAAACTTTGCAATTCTCCAGAATTAACTTGTTATTACTGTAGGAGAAACTTGAAAGTGCAACTTTGCCAAGTCGCCGTCAGAACATGTTTTTTTTTTCAAAATCACGAGTTTGAATAGTCAAGGGAGAATCAACTTTGTCATCAGGACCCGTCCCTTGAGCGTGATAAAGCTTTTTTTAGCCCGGAGGGATTTGGAGAACGCAATTGGCTTCATAAATTCGTCACTTCACTCTTACTGTAAGTGGGTATAAAAACCACCGCCTCCTCTTATTTCAAAAGTTTAGATGTGTCTTTCAATCTTTCACTGTTTTTATAATCAAGCACACTGAATATTATTCATTTTTGTTAGGAACCTGCAACGATAAGAGATCGAAATTTCTATTTCCAGCAGGCTTCTTTTCAGAAATAGTTCGATGAAGTAAATTTCGATCATTCACAATCAATCCCTCCCCCCTCCCACAGGCCTTTTGAAAAGTTTTCCAAAAGTTCAGAGTATTGCGCCTAAAGTGGACTTTTTACTTTCAGCTTAAAAGTCCAAAGTATCCAGGTTTTCGTAATAAAAATCCAAAAGGTCGTGAGAAAGTAATTTTATTCCGACTTCACGTTTGGAAACGTTCGTTACACATTCCCACCAATCTATTTTTCACATCGGAAGCTTGTTTTTCTGTACAAAATATAAATCATGTGGGAAACTTCTTGCACTAAGAAACGTGAGAATAATATGGAAAATTATATTTAACAATATTCTTCGTGTTGATTTTTTGGTAGTGTGATCCAATTTGCAAAAGCCAAGGACTTTTTTCAAATGTAAAAAAGGGGTGAAAGTTTTTCTGGCTTAATTTTTTGTGCTGGTTGGGATCTTGATATCATTTTTGTGTTGAATGTTTCTATTTGCTACTCGGAACTTTTTTACAGTGCATTAAATCAATTCAAATGAAAAGTGTTTCTTTTTATCGAAAACTTTCTGAGACGAAAGGTCATTCAACTTTCCGGTTGGGATATTTCTAAGAGTTGGCCAGAACACAGACACCACAAATTCAAAGAAAATCTTCAAAATCAAGTAAGAAAATCTTCAAGCAACGCTGAGATGACCAAAAAAGCAGACAGGCTGAAATTTTCTAAGTCAAGTCGATTAAGGCGCTGGAATTTGACTGTGATTCAGCTACTCGGACTTCGTTATGAATCAAGAAAATAAAGTTCTAAAACAAGATTTGACCGTTCAGAGGTTTTCAGAACACAGTGCTTTTTGCATATTCCATTTCTATTTTTTTTTTAATTTAAATTTTTCTTTTTATTATTTTTCTTCCTCGTAGGTTATACAAGTTGTTCAAGTACTATTTCAAATTTTCTACAGGGCATTGTCAATTCAAAGTTGTTTCATGGAGATTGAGATCAACATCCATGGAACGCAACCCCAAAATAACTGTCAAAATGGCTTCGTTTCCGAACGTCAGTTTATTTTTCTTGCTTCAATTTCTTCTTTGCTCTTTGTAATCCCACCTCCTCGATGTACTGGATGTTGTTGTTGCGGACGATAAGGATTTCGAGCTTCCGCAGGGGCCGAAGGTCTTCCTTTCGTAATCCGTTGATGTTGTTCCCAGTCAGGAGAAGTGTTGTCGCTTCGGTCGGCAAGGACTTCGGCAGCTTGCTCAGGCCTGAAATTCCCTTTTTCGAGGTTCATTTTTTTTGTTTTATCAGAACCATAACCCATCCACCATGTCTTCAAATAATCTGAAGTGTCTGCGCTCTCTTCTCTCTAGCCTTCACGGTTTTATACTCTAGTCGGCAAAGAAAAATACTGCAAAGACACCTCAAACTTTTTGACTTCTCTTCAAAATGGCTTTTTTCGAGGCTTTCAAATGGCTCTGTCGGTACTTCAACAGGTAAGAAATGACCTGAGTGATCTCGGTATTTTCCTTACATATTTTTCTCCGATCTTCCCAAATATTTTCCCAGGCCATACATTTTTTTAGCACATGGAGAGAACCTTGTTTTACGTCAGACGTTATATTTAGATTACAGTATACTCTTTTATCTCAATTTAATGAGATTTTTTCCAGTTCACGGAAAAAAGGCAAAAAAATATCGTTCTGCTTTAATTAAAACTCCAAATTATCAACACAGAAGGCTTGAAATACCTCATCAGTTTTGTTAAATACGGTAATCTATTTCTGAGAATAACTCCAAAAAAGTTCCTGTGGAGCTCGTGTTTTTCAGGTATTTTTGCGATAAAAAAATAATAGTTACGATAAATTCTAACTTATAAAAAATAATGAGTTCAAATTTACGCATAATCCTTTGGGTGACTTTTATTTTCGAAGAAAGTGTTCATATAAAAAAATTACGGTAGTTTTTCATGCTCACTAGTAATCTCAGAAAAAATTTAAAACCAGAATGAAAACGCAAACTTTTTGAATTTTCGAGGAAACAGGCTTGATGAATTAAAAACTCACTTTTGGCACTGCAATCGACAACTTTTTCTCGACATTTGCAAAATTCTGGACATGCTAGTGTCGAGGCTGCCACTGCTAGGAGCAGCAGTAATCGGTTCATTTTGCCTAAAATTTGGTTTTTCGATAAGGGTCATGAAAGCACAAAAAGAAATAGAAAAAAATGAGAAATTTTTCAATGAAAATAGAACATTGCGGTGGATCACAAAAAACTCAAAAAAGCAACAATGCAGGCTTCAAATACAACAAGGGGGCTTAAGGAGATTTTATTAAAACGAATAGAATCTCAACTTTTTCTCTTCAGCAGGCCAAAACTCGTTTCACTAATCGTTCATGCTTTTTGGAGATTTCCAAACATATTATTATATCTGTTGAAACTGTCCGATCACACCATCGGTTGAACCTGTTTTTCACTTGGAATGCTCTGAACTTCAAACTTTTTCGATAATATCTCTTTTGAAGTGTTTTTTTTCCTTTTCAGAAGAACTTCTTTGAATGTGCCACATGTCAAGAACTCCGACAGATAAGATCGGCTATTGACCTTGAGGCCAGCAACCGCGCACTGTTTCAAATATTCCTAGATCTTTTTTTCTCCATTCCAAAACGATTCATCACATCTGCCCTAATAAGATGTACTTCAGCCATATCATTCATCAGAACTTCGCCGCAAGTTCTCACCTTGAAGTTGCCTTACTGCGGAAAACAATTTCAGGAAAAAACTGGAAAATATCGAGAAAAGAACGTCCTATAAGAGTGCAATTTATAAGTACAACCAACTGGGAATCAAGTTATTCGAACGGAAATAGACACAAAAATATAGGGATGAGAAGAAAAAAAAAACTGGCGATTGGGCAGTAGATGGGTTGCGTATTACAGCTGCGGCCCCAGACGCGCCATCTTCTTCTCTCGATTTCTTCGTTCGGCCTGCTTTCAACTGTGATTTCTACGACAAATGGCCGCCAGAACGGCGTTGACCTGTCTCTGGCAAAGGTCAGAACGACTTGGGTCCAAACCGTCAGAAGTAAAGACTCCTGTCGTTCCGTCAAATGATGACATATTGGCATCGGAAATCGTCCACAAAAAATTCTTTTAAACCGAAAGACGTGCCGAAAAGGGTTTTTGTATCATATGAAGCTCAAATCCAGCTCAAAACTTCAAAATTAATTCAAATAGAATTTGCTTAAAAGTGTAAGCAGCCCAATCCGCCACACAAAACTATGCCTCGAAAAAATTTCTCCACAGAAGTCGTTTTTCAGATGTGGAACTTCGAATATCTGCTGTATCGCCGGAGTTTTTGCCATTAGTTACCGTAATCCTCAAAAGCTCACATATAATTATCACCTTTTTTTAACTATATTCAAAGAATATGGAAAAGTTCAAAGTCATTAGCGGGGCTCTAATGAACTTCGACGAAAAACTACCGTATGATAAGCTTCATTTTACCAGTGCCATAAATGAAAAAATAGTGTGACCAGTCGGGCATTCACTGTTTCCATGGATCAAAGAAGATTTTTGAACTGGATAATAAAATAGACAAGGTAAAGTGTTCTGTCTTTGTCATCTGTAGAGTATGGTCTCCTCGTTCAAGTTCAAGTTTTTGAGAATCAACATGTTTTTCTGAAAAAAATTCATAGTTTTTTTGTCAGCTCGTTTTTTTCTGATAATAAAAAAACCAAGTATCAAATTCAGCAAATTCTCTGATAGAAAAAAACTATGAACAAAAGGCCAGAAAAACGAGCCAAAAATTTTTCAAAGTTTTTTTAATCAAATGGAGCAAAAACCAACAAATGAACAAATTCGTGAATAGTTTTGAAATTATCTGAAGACATCAACCTTTTTGAATGAAAACTCTCTTTGACCGTATCGAGAAATTCGATGAAAGAAAGTTTAACGATTGCGCGCCGTCACATTAGTGGAGTTAGAAAGGTTTATTCCTTAAGTTTTCAGAGCTCTATAAGTCATTCCTGCCACAATCCTGGTTTCGAGCGTCTTAAAAGTTATTTTCGGAGTCATTTAATGAAAAATCAGTTTCAATCAGTCGCAGAAACTTTTTCTTTGTTGAAAAAACCAACCTGTGCTTTTCTCGTCGCACAGAAGTCGTACGAGATTTCGAAACCATGATTATTTGACGTTGAACTAAGTTCTTCTTATCACCGAGAATGCAACAGAAAAAATTGAATGTTGCAAAAGGGAACTTCTCAATCATTTTCACAATCAAGAAAAAAAAAAAAGTCAAAATGGAACATTTCTGTCATTAATCAACACTTCTCTATTTTGGTTCGTTCAAAGTCGACTTTTTCTGGATCATTTCTCTTCGATTTCGAAGAAGAAGGCTAAACCGTAACATCCTTGGAACAAATCCATTTTTTTGTTTTCAGGTTCTTTCCGCACTTCTGACGTTCTTAGTCATCCTTCAAGTATGTTTTTTCTGTCATAAAATTTTGAAATGTCGGAAGTTTTAAAAAAAAACTACATCAGAATGATCACAAATCGTAGACAAAATATTCACGAGCTTAGTTTACTCAAGCGAAAAAAAGACGTCAAAAATTATCTCAAAGCTTTCAAAATATTTTCGTCGCCGAGAGCTTTTTTTTTTGTTTCCAATGCTTAGGAGTCATTGGGAAGATTATTAAATCCCTTAATCAGGCGGTGATTTGCGGAAAAACAGTTTTTTTGTTCCTACTCTCTCATGTTTTGAACGGACCGCTTTCGAAATTCTAACTGCCAGCAAAATAATTTATTTTTAGGTATGACTTTCGTAGGAATTCAACATAATACCCAACTCCTGACATAAAAAAATCTTTAATTTTTTTATTTAGTTTCATAATTATACAAGAAAAAAACTTCTAAACAACTTCGATTTCTATTTATCGCCCCGGCAACAGAGTAAATCCGTTGGAGTGTGGGAAATCGTCTATCACTTGATACTTTATCAAATTTTGGAATTCATGGAATTTCTCAAACTATTTCGAGAAGAATATGCTTTTAATATAGTTATAATCTTGATTTGTCATCTTAAGATAAATCTACACTGACGCCTGCAATGATTATCTGATTTTCGGCATGAGATTCCTTTTTTGTTTTTTTTTTTCGAAATGAACGATCTAATGCCAATCCAAGAATACAATACTATTAATACTCTCGAAGGGCTTTTTTTTGAATTTCAACGGTTGAGAAGTTCATTCATTATGATCCGATCGAAGTTGGGACTTTTTGAAAGTATGGACTTTCTTCAGAGGAATTTATAAAATGACGCTGCTGAGAATGATCCTTATAAACTGAGATACAATGTTGCGAATTTCCAAAAGTTCTGAGAATGACGTCACTGGGTTTAATCGTATACCAGGTTATCTGAACGACTTTTCTGGTCAATCATCAAATTAAAAATAGGAATATTCAAATTATATTTTTCTGAGCACGAGGAGCGTAGAAAAATATTCTGTGTATACTTTAATGACTCTGAAATGTATCAATTTTTCTTGAAGCTTTTTACTGCTGAATGGTCCCATTTTCAGTGGTGATCGAAATAATTAGAAGGAAAAATAAAAATTATAACCGTTGGGGAAGTTTTGATAGTAGTTTGAAAGCGCGCAACCCTAACCATGTCTTCTCGTTTAACCAAAAGGTTCTTCCTGACAAGAAACCGTAATCTTCGTCACCTCCTAACATTCTAGCAATAATAATATAACGTTCCGACCTGTGCTACAAACTCATAATGCACAATTTCAGACTTGCACAAAAAGTGACTTTTGTCCGTTTTTCTATTTTTGAAAACGCTGCGAAATAGTAGAAAAGGACTGAATAAAGTTTTTTTTGTGTACTTTTAAAGTCTTTGGGAGTTTGTTTAGTCTTATAGTCTTCATAAAGAAGCTTTTTGAAGTTTTCAATCAAAAATTGGGTTCTCCAATCCCACACTTTCAGAATTATGTCTTTTTTAAAATTTCACTTTGAAAAACGGGAAACTCTAGGCTTTGACGAGATCTATACCTTGTCCTTTTATGAGCGCAGGTAGAGTTTTCTAAAAGACTCTGTTTTGTAGTTTGCTCAGCGCCAGTTTGAAATTTTAATCATTGAAAAAAATCACTCGACAAGAGCCACTTCGTAAAAAGGAGTTTTACCGATTTTTTTGGATTTTTTGGGTCCAAGCAAGCGGTGAATGGAGTTCTTGAATTACTTTTTCCAGAAAAAACTACCAGCTTTATTGGTAGGCAGAGAGCCCCATGGATCAACATATCCCTATACAATCCGATCGCAACAATGGCTCCTTTTTTTCGCAGCTCAATGAGCTCGACGAGTGCGGCTATTGTGGTTGAGCGCAAGATAATGGGGCGCAGATGCCTGTACACCAAATGGCGATTCTGCCGCCCGCGCGCCGATGACCTCGTTCCATGTTGTTTTGCTGCCGTGCATTGGCCTTTTGCCGTTCATTACCCTTTTTTGGAACTTTTTTAGGGTTCTAGAAGGTTCCATTCATATAACAACCGTTTTTATTTTCTCTCGGTACTTTCCCAAGCTTCCATTATCCGAATATCTTTCATCAGAGTGCTTCCCGGTTGAATCACCAAAAAAAAAAGCCATCTCAAAAAAATTGTGCAAAAGATAAAAATAGAGGAAACCTTTTAGTTGCAATGTCGCAGTCTCTCAAAACATCATTTGCGTTCCTTTGCGTTTAATGTTGTTTTAGTGATAAGAGGAAAAGGAACATTTCAAAACTCTTTCAATATCTACCTATTCGTCCTTCCCAGCTCCTATGGTAAGTTAGAACTACGGTTTTTTTTATTCCGATCACTTTTTGCTGAAAGACTTCAATACAAAAAAGCAAACTTTATAGGCTCTGAAATTTTATCAAAAATGTACAAATCAAAATTCTTCGTAGGTTGCAAGCTATCGATGAATGGAGTAAATAACTCAAAAGTGGCCAATTTTGCCTTTATTTTGTTTCAAATGATCAGATAGTATTTCGAAGCTTTGAAAAAAAGTAATTTCAAAATTTTAACACCCTAATATCGAAATGCCGCTCAAAATCGTTAAAAAGCTTGCAATTTTTCAAGATTTCAGATCTTCGATTTGAATGGAAGGATTGATATGTTGAAAGTCGTTCCGCTTTCTCAATCATTGGTATACCAAACAGTAAATTGAAAAAGAAATTTGGACATGACCAAATGCTTGTACGGACCGGCGCCGGCTTCGACGGTGGTTGAATGGCTGACCCGATTCGGCTGTTGTTTGTTGTCCTCCGCTGCGTTCCTGTCGTTTCTCTCCGTGTGGTCTGCGCGTCCTCCCGCGTTGCCCGCAATACTTTCTATCATTTTACGGTTTTTTTTCGCTCCGCTGCCCACGCAATTCTAATTTGAGAGGAAAAAAGATTGCTTTTTGCACAATTGCCTTGACTTACATGACTTTTTAATTTATTTTTGGGCTGTATTCTGCAAGGAAATATAAGCCGGGTTCCTGTTCTAAGCGCATTTTGGACAATCCAAACCACAATTTAAAAATGCTTAGATCGCTTACGTGCTCAATCTCTGGATCATCTGGGAAAGGTTTCACCACATTTTGCATCTCAAATTCTATCCTCATTAAAAAAAATATTGAAAATGAAATATTTGAAAAGTGGACTCGAAAACATGTTGAGAGGATTAATTCTGACGCTCTAAAACACTATATTTCCTTATATTTTGAGACATTTGCGTGTAGTTTGGCTTGAAAATATTTTTTGCGCTCAAGAATGAATTTTGAGTGGCTGCGATTGGTAAACCACGACGGTCCTTCCTCTTTTGCCAATGTTTCCTGAAAAAAGCCTTGATTCTGGTTTTCGACTTCCTCACCAGTATGAATGTTTACTTTTGGTTTTGAAAAAGACAAAAAAAAGAACTTCTCGAAAATTTCTGTCAACAAAGAGTCACTAAAAGAAAGTCTTGTTCCTTAAATCTAGCAAATTCTATTTTACTCTTTTCTCTCTGGACTTTGAAAACCGATTTTTGGTGAGGTAGTGCACCTGCTCATGATGACGCTCTTTTTTCAAATTGATGGGAAAAAAATAATGTTTTGCAACCAGCTTTAGAGGGCGTTCAGAGGGCGTTCTGACGTCAATTATTAAAGTTTTTTTCTTTGTATTGAAAATATTTTTGTAAAAGTTTGAGAGAAATTTTGATTTAAAATTTGAAATATTATCAGAACGGAACTTTAATTATCAAATTTAAATCAAAAACTTCAACTGTAATCTGAAAGAAATCGAACCCAAAAGTTTAGAAAACTTTAATTTTCAAATGAATCCTGTGAAAAAACCTTGAAAGTGGCTATTTCTGACCTTGCCAAAGGTCCGCCGACTCACAATCTGAACAAAATCCTGCACTCTGGAGCGTTCTTTTTTTGCGCTGAGCGGTTTTTGCGTTCGGCAATCGATCGCCGAAAATAAATGGTTCTGGGCTTTCGGCCGATCAAGAACTCTCCGTTCATTTTGGCACGGGTGATCGGTTTTTTTCTCGCTCTGGGACCGCAAGGAAACGATGGCACACTTTCCTTGAGTCATTTTTGTTTGCTCTCCCAGCGACGCTCCAATAAAGATAACTTCCCCAAATTTTGTTGTCTTCCTACTTTTCGCTAAGTTAGCGTAGATTTTGGTAAGGCACTGTTTCAATTAAATATTTTTCTCGAAAACTAAAAAAATGTATGTATGTGACTTCAAAAAGTTTTTTTAAAGTAAACTATTTTTTTGTAGTTCAAGAAATTTCAAAAAAATTTTTCAGGTCAGTTTTGGAAATAATCCTTTTTGCTAGAAGAGAAACTTTCGGAGTCTTAACCTTCAAATTTTCGACCTTGCAATCTTGAGAAAAGACTCCTGTCAAGTGAACTGAGATTAATTGTTGATCGATCTTTTTCTGCACTTTTGTTCTTTCTCTCAATTTTTTTTTTGAATTGTTGCGTTTTCTGTTTCTCCAACTTTGAGCGGTTCCAAAGGACCTTGGAAAATAGTTTCCCACCTTGAGCTTGAGAAAAAAAGAAGCTAGACCAATCAAAAATTTGTGTTTTGATTCGCTTATCGTTTCGAAGCGTTCATTAAGTTTTTTTTTTTAACAGTTTAAAAATAGAAAAATAAGTAAAGATGTCTGGATCAGCCTCAATTTTCCAGTTCGAGGGACAGAATATTCGACGCACGGCACCTGTCCCGAAGATGACGTCATCGTATTAATTTGCCTGTGTGCGTCTTTTTGGACTCTCGGTGTACCGACCACACAGTCACATTAAATAATTGCTACATTTCCAGCAAATACTTCCTTGTGTATCTTCTCAGAGATACCTTGGTTGTGAAAAATTAAAAAGAACAAAAAAATAGGACTACTATTTCAAACGTTGAAAAATTTTTTTTGAGATTCCTGAAAAAGGCTATCCCTGGAACTTGTACGCTAAAAATGAAATTTGTTCAAGTTCTGAAAATATCCTTTTCAATGAGTTTCCTCATTAGAAAAGATTTTTCTCTTTCAGAATATTTCGCGGCTAAATTCAACGTGCAGTTTGAAATACAATTATTTTAAAATTGAAAACTATAAGATTATTTTAACAATGATTATTTTTTTCCCAGAAAGAGAAAAAAATTATTTTTTTAAACTTAAAAAAAGCATCGAACACAACTAATTCTTATGAATTGTTGACAAAACAAAAAAATTTCACTTTCACGAATTGTTTTTCACTATAAGGTAAAATAAAAGGAAGGTCTAAAAATTTGAACCAAATTTTCGTAAAACTGTGAAGCGGTCAGAGGATGGCTGGATTCCCGCTTTTTTCGATTGAAAGCATTGTGACTCACTGTCATATTCCGCCTCCCTATGCATTTCTCATGCACAGAACGTCGATATTTATTTGCGTTATCGATTTGATGCTTGTTCTTATCAGCTCCTCGTGGGAAAATTTTGAAATCTTGAAGGATGAAGGTGCTTTAAAGAAGGCATATATGGTCAAGTTGGTTACTGGAACCTCGGTTTTTCGATTCTTGAAGAATTAAATGTGTGTTTGATTATTTTTTTTTGACCAGCCTGACCAAAACTTCGACCAAAATAAATTACCATCAATTTTTGAATTTTCATTTGGTTCCTTGTTTACATTAGAATGTTTCGTATATTTTTGCCCAAACAGTTTTTGTGATTTTCTCACGCGTGTGCAAATATCACATTTGATCACGCTTCTCCAGATTCGTGCTTTTAATTGAATTCAGCCGTGAACAGCTATGCAATTTCTTCTCGCAGAAAGTCATTTAACAGGGTACCCGTATTTCAGGAACTGAAAAAAACTATCTTTGTGGTTTTTTCTTTCAATTATTTTTTATTTTCATGTTCCTCCGCATAGCTCTTTCAAACTGTCTTTTATCTGTGCTCCAGCCTTTCCAACTTCGAAGAGGATTTCCACCAAATGACTAGGTGGGCTGAGCTTGAAGCTCGAGGAGGCGGAGCTTGTATCAGCTCCGCCTCTCTTCCAATCCTTCTAAATCTCCCAAATGGCTTTCTGTTTAATTTTCTCATTAAACTGAGAGGTAATCGTGGAAAAGCTGTCCTAATATTGGGACCAAGCGAAATCCCACCATATTGCCCGACTTCTTGGTTTCCTGATTAGAGTCTGAAATTGAAGGTTTCCCGTTAGTTAGACCTTCAATTATTTTAGACCTTCAAATATTTTTTGAATGACTTTAGGAAGCACATAGTTATGGTGCTTTCTAGGAAATCTTTATTTGATTCGTTTCTTCTCAAAAAGTCCGTTTTAGTTCAGCAGGTGCAAGTTTTTACTATGTTTTTCTATTTTATTCGACCTACAGTACCGTTTTCATCATTCTGAAAGCCCTCTGATTGCAAAGATTCGTCGTTTCTTGTTACGTTATTTTTTTGAATTTTGTTGCAGTTTGACAGTTCTTTTTTCAGATTGAGCAGATGGGAGCATGATGTGCAACAGTATACTTTTCGTGTTTTTCGCCACGGCGATCGCCATGGCGCCACCGAAAATTACTTCAGATGAACATCAGATCCAGGTGGGGTTGAATGTTGCTTCACTTCTTACCTTGAAGCTCTACGGAACCGCATAGAAAGCTTAGAAGTTCCATGTTTTTTGGAAAACAAAGAAAAATTCAACCTTCACATCATGCCATCGCAGTTTTTTGTCTGAATGAGCCGTGCCTCGTGGTTATTTGAAAACTTGATAAATTGAATGTTTTTCGTAAACGTGTGAGATTTATCTAAGAAATTTGAGTCGAGCAAATGTTTTTCTTCGATTTAATTATTACAATATGAGGTAGGACGCAAGTCTTCATTTAAATGGTTCATGTTAGATCGAATAAATAAGCTGTTTCCCAAAAGTTCAACTTCCAACTTGAAATAAAAATTGGAATCAAAACTTTGGAGTCAAAATACGTACAAATTATTCTCTTGAAAGTACAAACACAAGGTTTTCGTTCAACAAACCGAAATCTCAGACGAAGTTTGAAAAAACAGCTTTTTTTTTCAATTACAGCTTCCCATTCTCAAGAGTTCATTTTTTCCAAATCGCACGCGAAATGTTTGCATGTTCTTATCCAATTACTTTGCTTAATCTTGTTTGGTTTTTTTTTGTGAAAGAATACTTAGAACGCTGCAAACAAAAAATGAAGCGAAATCGACTTCCGGCTGATAAACTTTAGTCATGCGGGGTCTTGAAGATGAAAAAAAAACGTTCTTATGGGATTGAGCTGAGCAGGATAGAAGAAGGAAACGCTTTCTTAAAAATAAAATGTTCAGGAACACGAACAAATCGGCAAGTTTTTGGAAGTCGCCGCTCACACAAATGTCAAGCTTGTCTGCTCTGGAAGATTCGGTAGGTTATCTAATTTTGAAAAAAAACCTTGGAAAATTTCTCAGAGGTTTTTCGAAAAAAAAAGTGTTAAAACCAACCAATTCTTGAAAAATCAAAACTAAATTTTCGACAATGAGATAAAAAAAATTTTTTCTTGGAAAACGATCCTTGTAAAGACAAATTGGAACTTGTTTCGGCTTAGCCTGAAAGAAAAAATTTACGGCGACATTGCAGAAAGTCTGGAGTTCACGTATCCCAAACTAGATGATCACCTCGGTTACGACGAGGAAGAAGTCAATGGAAGACGGTCCATTTCTGTGGATGACGCTTATGGAGACGTCATTTTGGAAATCAAAGATGTCAAGGTTTGTCCGAACAAGCTGGAGCTCATGAAAGCTTTTTATCTTCGAGCTAACTTGCTGGAAGTTTGCGGAGACGTTATGAATCAAATATCTGATAGTTCAAGCTTGCGAAAAATTTATGGGAAAGATGGATAAGACCTTTTATATGTTTTTTCGACGAGTGGCTTTTGGTGTTCCGAAAAAAACTAAACTTGGGTGTTCAAGTCTGAGAGTTTTTCTGTTTTTTTTTTCAAAAGAGCCAATGTTCAAAAACATTTTAAAAGAACATATTGGGCGACTGTTTTGCGATTAAGTTTCACGAAATTAGTTTTTCTCATAATGAATAAGAAAATTTCCATTTTCAGGAGACTGATACTGGATCTTATGGCTGCCGCGCTACTGATCACACATCTTTAAACGAATCCGTTTATATTTTTGTTCAAGGTACAAATCTTTGCAAGAAGTAGTTCGCAGATTCAAAGCTACTGTAATTCTCAGAGGAGAACTCGTTCGTGCCCCTGAAAGCGTTGGGATTCGCCTATCCCCACGGGCACGTCATCATTCCGTGCAAGGCGACGTCATTCTTTGATAAAAGTGACATCAAACTCCGAGGAAATGGAAAAGCGATTAAAGACGCCCAGAAACATTATGATCATAGGTCAGTAACTGTCAAAATTCATAGAAGAAGAATTTCTCGAAAGAAAGATAATGGAAGATTTATGATTATCACAAGTCAAAAAAGTCCCCCCTAGGAGTGATGCAACGTTGAATTGTCCAACAACAACGCTGCTTGTGACAAAAACATGCAGGGCAAATTAAAGAATGAGAACAAGGGATTATGGAAAAAGCTTGAAAACGTATCATTAGATTAATAATCATGTGAGAACGCCATAAAACTCATAAAAAGTTAAAAAGCAAAGTTGGAAAAAGCAGGAATTTCGAGCTTATTGAATATTTCTTGAATAGAAAGCCCATGCCTTGTAAATAAACTAAAATCGGTTGAAAACCAAAACTTAGACTGAACAAAGAAAAAAATTCGGTTATGGAAAGATTGTTGAATCTCATTGATTAATCCAACTTCACTGTAATCTATCAAATATATTTGATTTTTGAACTTGACCTAAAGAGATCAAAAAGATCTCTGCATGAACTCCTGTGAGTAGGTGAAGTACTGAAAGTTTAATTTTTTCACATACGTTTTTATGAGTCTCGAAGGATTTGGAAATTCCCTTGAAGGCTTATATACAAAATAATTGAAGTTGAGCTAGTTTAAAAGGTGAGGATGATGATAAAAAAATTTTTTTATAAGGCTCGAGGGGATAATATTGATGATTTTTTGAAAACGTGCTTGGGAAAACGGCTTTCAAAAAAACAGCGAATTTCAGGGACTTTTTTTGAGAATTATCACAATAAAAAAAGTTTATTCTGTCATTTTAGATACGGATTCAAATTGACCAAAAAAATGTACGAATCTCGTCCAATCGCTCAAGTTCCGTTCGAATGTTCTCATCCGGGATTACCGCACAGCAAAAAAAGTGGTGAAGCGGTCACCTACTTGATCACCGAGAAAGAAGAAGAGCCGGAAAGTGGCGAAGACGAAGATTATCAACTTTACTGGACTGAGGTGGAACTCTTTTTTCCTTCTAAAGATAATCAGTTTCATCCAGTCATCCGAATGGCCTCACCAAGGAATGAACTACACATTGACTTGCCATTTGACCTACTCAGGAAAAGGACCTTTCCTAGCGTACGTCAACAAACTTCAAACTTCTTGCCCACGTTGCTCCAATGATCCTAATGTTTGCAATAAAGTTACAAGGAATCCTCAAAAAAGATAATTTTAGAGCCCAGCGTATTCTGAAATGAATCGGATGATTGATAAAGGGATCCACGCAAAGATAAGGATACCAGAAATGAGCGCCGAAGATACCGGAGATTTTACTTGCTCCTGGAGCAGAGAAGGACGGACTCAGAACAAAGTCATCACGAAGAAAATTGAAGTATCTCCGACTGTAAATCAGATCAAGGTTCGTTGAAAAAACATTTTTTTTCACTGTGAACCAAAAAACGATTGTTGTCCGAATTTCTTCAAAATAAGCTTTTGAATAAAAAATAATCGTTTTGGGCATAGCGAATCCTAAGCAAAATTAGCATCATGGTGAAGAATTTCCACAACTGTATGTGTCCCCCGACCTGAAATGGTTTGCGCAAGGCATCTTAATAAACTTTCAAAAAATCAGCAGAATGAAATGAGTAGACAGTGGGTCGCTTTCAAGCGCAACGTGACCACGAAAGTTTCTGACTTTCTATTTGCAATTAGATTTTTTGGGTCGAAACTATTAAAATAAATCATCAGGTAAATCAGAACGAAGCCTTTCAAAAAGTGGCTCCAAAGACGCGGGAAACCCTGTCTACCAAAATGCCCATATTCTCACTTGATACCTGTTTTCCTGATTACTATATTTTTTTCAGATTGTTACTCGTAGCCCTTCTACTGTCAATGTTGCCGAAGGAGAACCGCTCTCTTTGAATGCGAAAATAGCAATTTATCCGAAAAATAAGGAACTTTATCGTACCAAATGGATCCGAGTAAGTTGCGAAATCCGAGTCAAATTTAATCAAAAAATCTTCTTAGAACGTCGTCCTCCCAATGGAGAGGGATGAAAAAGTTCAACTATTGGTCAGTGATGCTGACAAAACTATCAGCAGCGATAGCGAGGACAATGTTTTTGATGAATCTTTGGTTTTCAATGGGAATGCGGCTAAAGTCTCTTCAAATGGAAGGTTGGAACAAATTATTTTTGATTTAAAACAAATGCGATGATTACAGATACCTCCTACGGATTTCACATGGGGATGTTCAGGAAACTATCGCGTGGGATGTAAGTTGATTTAGTCTCGAAATTTGAGTTCGCAAAATAAAATAATTCAAACTTCTTTGAAAAGACTGCAATAGAAAATGGGAATAAACTTTTGAAAAAGTTCGAATTTCATGGTTTTATTAGGAAAAAGCTCACTCGTTTTTTTCAGGTTAACGTTACCAGCGAAAAAGTCCTACCAAGAGCCTTGATCCATACTGAGCCGAAATTCGAACTTTTCGGCCAGAAGTTCTTCATGTTGGGAGCCCTTGTTGAAGTCGATTGTATCGTTGCTGCGAATCCCCGGGCAGAATTGAAAATTGGAAGACGAATGTTAGTTTTTTTTAAACTAGAATGGATAATCCTAAATTTCCAGGAAGCCTCATGAGAACGGAGAGTTTGCCAACATTCCTCGCCTTTTTGACAGAAACGATGTCAACGGAACTTATGAAGTTGCTACTCGGTGGAGAGTCAACGTCAGAGAGGAGATGGAGGTTCAATGTCAAGGAATTCGTGACGGAAAGGTAACATTTTTCAATTTCGGAAAAATAGTCTTTCAAAATTGGTTTGCAGAAAAAAATCGAAAATTTCTTTATTTTTCTCGAATCCGACATTCATCTTCTCTAAAGATGTTGTAACAGTAAAATATCGGAAAAAATTGAAAATTCCGGTATCTTACAAAAGGGAGACTTAGGATTTTTGCGACATCAATTACAATTTTCGAAAATTGATTCTATATTGAATTTATTTTTGGAAAAAAACGGAAGAAGTTGTTTTTTTCAGAAAAAGGATGCAATCAAAAGATCAGAATAAAAAAATTTTTACGAACATGACGGGCCTTGATAACGCAAACCGAACGTAAATCGAACGAGTCGGGGCATATCCAGTGACCACTTTAGTATCGTAAGCATTCTTAAATGAACCCTGGAATTGTTCAGAAGCGCGCACGGTTTCCGTTACCTAGATCTGAAAAATCCTCAATTCCTTTTTCACCAAGATTTTTTCAGAGCAAAAATGCTCGTGTGACAATTTACGTGGCTCAAAATGAACCAACTGCGACAAGAAGAGTCGGCAAGCACAGAAATGCCATGTCGAATGAGGATGCAAGAGAAATCGTCGAAGGCGATAATGTCGCCATAAATTGCATGATTCCTGATTCTGTTGATTGGTAATTTTTATCGAATTTAAGAGAAATGAGATTATCAATTGTTACAGGAACGTGACGTGGTGGAAAGGAGACAAGCAGTTGGTTGCTGTACCTTTCAAAGATTCTGTCAGCAGACATGTCACGTCTTCTATCAGGTTCGTGAAAGAATGCGAAATAAAATAGATTATTCATCAGGATTTAACTGTAAAAAATTCGAACTTTATGAAAGGCAAATAAGTGTTCAAAAAATTATTAGTTTCAAAGCAGAAAAAGGTTTTGAAAGCTTCAAAAATCAGTGAACAAAGGGTTGTTTTCTTTTGGCTAAGCCAAAACGCAGTTGAAAGCGCGAAATCGTCCATTCCGTTATGAACACTTTAAGACCACGACGCGTTCAGCGGTACTTACTTTTTTGCAACATTATTGTTTATCGATTCAGGAATATAACAGTGGCTAATGGAGGAGAATACATCTGCCAGTTGCAAAAAGGAGATGAAATCAAGAAATTGTCCGTCATGGTGAACGTGAGTTTCATATGAGTACCTTTTAGAGAATAAATTCCAATCACGACAACTTTATCAAGCGTTTGAAGAAGCTCGAAATTTGCTAAGTGACTTTTGAAAACTGCTGTTTTAATTTTCATTCTTCTTGCAATCCTTCTCATTTTTTTCAAAAATTTATTTTTTCGAACAAATTTTTTTTTATGATCCAGTGAAAATTTTTGACTTACAGGTTGAAAAAAGCTCAGCTCCCACATTGATCAAGCCTCTGCCGTCACAGCCTCTGAGCTTGGTCTACGATGAATTCGCTGAAATTCCATGCAACATTGAAGGATCTCCTACACCTGAATTTGTATGGTCAGTTACTATCTTCGAAAATGAAGATGATATTGACGCTTTAATGTTTCAGGTACAAAGACAATCAAATGTACAGGCACGGTGATACAAACCTGAAGAATGGCTCTTTGATAATTCCGCGCGTTGGAGCGGAAGATGAAGGAAATTTTCGGTGTGAGGCTAGAAATCGCGCTGGATGGGCTGAGTACAAACTTAAAGTCAAGGTAAGAACTTGCCACTAAAAAATAAAAGACGATCTTTTATGAAAGTTTATATTGAAACAAATTCGATACAAATGTTTCCTTTCAATTAAATTTTCCAAATTGCTGCTTTGAATTTTTTCATTCGAGTTATTCCTTTTCCAGGTTCCTGATGCTCCTCAAGGTTTAACCACTGGTATCGTGGCAACTTTGGTCACCGCTTTCGTTGTTCTCGGCATTTGTCTCGGCGCAGTCCTTTTCTACGCGCGTTGGCAGAACAAAAGACTGAAGCTCAAAGAAGCGTATGGATTCATCTTCTTTAAGCTGAAATTCCGTCGTTTTTTAGTGCGATGCTGCAACTGTACGAGCAAATGATCAAGAGTCAGCCAGGACCTCTTACTGAAGCGAACTTGAAGCTGCCGATTGACCAGAGGGTTTATCAACTCCCTTATAAGAACGAGTTTGAGCTGGATCGAAAAAATTTGGAGCTGGAGGGTTTGGTAAGTATTTCTTATTCTGAAAAAAATATTGCATAGATTTATTCAGTTCCCACAAAAATTGTATTGTCCAGTCCTACCTATAAAAATATTTTTTTTAATTTCTAAAACTTTTTTCTATAAGAAAACCGGAAAAATTTCATCGCGAAAGCTTTAGATTCTCAAATTTTTTCAAACAAATCAAACTTTTTTTCAGCTTGGCCAAGGAAACTTTGGAAGAGTTCATCGCGGTTTGCTCAAAAAACCAAATTCTGACGCTGCCGAGGACCGTTTGGAAGTTGCTGTGAAATGTATGTCTCTTTTTTTGTGTTGACCGAATTGGGAATTTTAGCGCCCCTCAACAAGTACGACGTGGCGCAATATCGCATGCTCGCAGAAGAACTGAAGATTATGTGCGCCATTGGGAAACATCCAAATGTTCTTGCTCTTGTTGGAGCCGTTACCGATTGCATGAAACGGTTTTTGGCAGAATAAAATATTAAGGAAAATGAATGATTAATTTTTCAGCGGAGAGCTTTTCGTCGTGTTTGAGCTGTGTGAGAATGACAGCTTGAGGAACTACTTGTTGAAGCATAAAGCGAGTTTCTTGAATGAATTGAACAAGGTTCAAGACGACGATGACGGCTACATGCGACCAAAAAGCGCCCACAAATCTCAATACGCTGTGAGTTATTACTTTTTGGTTTAAAGTCTCAGGACTCAAAAAAACATCTTTCCAAATTTATCTAGTTCAGTAGAAGTTATACAAAGAAAACCTTAAAATTTGTTTCTCACTTATTATCTTACATGACCTAATAATAAAAAAAAGCAGAAAAGGGGACTTTTTTTAAAATAATTTCACTGAAAAGGTGATACAGGACATTTGAAAAAAACTTGAAATTTAAAGAAAAATTTTTTTCTGCAACCTGTTGCGATCATTTAAAATATAGAAAAAAATATATCTAATAACTTTTTTTAGTCGGAGACCGACCCAAACTGGGAATCCCAGCGCCTTTTGGAAGAAAACGCTTCGATGCTCTCGACTTCTGATCTCATCGCTTTCTCCTATCAGATTGCTAGCGGCATGGAATACCTCTCTTCCATCCCGGTAAGATCTATTTTTATTCACTCAAAAAATCTAAAAATGTTTTTAGTGCCTTCATCGTGACTTGGCTGCAAGAAACGTCTTGCTAACTTCGACTCGAATCTGCAGAATTGCTGACTTTGGAATGGCCAGGAAACAGGAGGGCGACTATTACAAGTACATTTTGATATTTTCTTCATTAATCGATCTTTTATTCTTTTTAGAACTGTCATGAACAAGAACGAAAGCGTCCCATACCGTTGGATGTCGATCGAAGCTATTCGCGATCAAAAGTTCACCGTTCAGGTACCAAATTAGAAGAAAAAGATTTGAAACGTCGTAAAAGAACTTCAAAAAGCTCATAACTGTAGCTTTTGCGCGATGTTCAAAAGTTCGAACTATTTTCGCTGCATGCGAATTCAAGTATTCTAGAAAATAGGACGCGCGAGTAGTTTTTAGTTGGATGCGATCAATTAATTGGTTTTTTTTCTTACGTCGGGTAACATTTTTTGCAATACACTTGCGGAAAACGGAAAGTGGTTTAACAATAACTCTTTTTCAGTCTGACGTCTGGTCCTTTGGAATTCTTCTCTACGAAATCTTTGACCTTGGAGGAGTGCCTTATCCTTCGTGCTCGAATTTCGATTTGTTCCCCCGTTTGGTCGCCGGATACCGCAACGCTCGTCCGCCTTATGCCCATGAGAACATGTAAAATTCCGATTAAATGAAAAAAAAGAAAAAAGATTTCCAGCTACTCTCTGATGCTCCAATGCTGGACATTTACTCCGGAACAACGTCCGTCGTTCTTGCAGTGCATGATTTTCTTGAAGGAACAGCTCCGAATCGCTTCTCCTAAGGTTTTTTTTGATTCATCATTTCTGTATAAGTAAACTCGCCGTTCTGATAATCGAACGCAAGTTGATCTAAAAAAATATGTAAAGAGATTTTTTTCGAGATAGCTCAGTTTGACTGATCTGTTAAATTAATATTTTATGTTTTAGTACTACTACAATTTGGAAAACCAGCTCCACGAAGAAATGCGGAAACAGAATCAACTGTCCTCCTGGCTGGAACCGTCCCACCCGCCTCAGAACGAGCCTGAGGATCCGCGCATTTTGGCCAGCTTCTCCCCCCAGCCATCAACTTCAACTGCTGAAAGAATCTACATTCCGGAGTTCCCTAACAAAAAAGACGCTGGAAAAATATCTCAGTAATTTTTTCTCCAGGGCTACTGTTTCTTCAAAAAATTATCTCACAAAGTTCTTGAAGAAATGGACACAGTTACGTCGTCCACAGTAACATGACCTTTCTTTCACTGTGAGTTCAAGAAAAAAATTTGATGACTTAATTCAAAAGGTCAAAAGGGCAAAAATGTCTCAATAATCTCAGTATTCCTCCAAGCTAATAGTTAAAGAAGTATTCTCAAAAGAGATTGTCATTTATTTTTTCGATTTCCATTATTCCTTTCTATCCAGAAAGGATTTTTTGATCGTCTGTTTTTGCTTTTCTTGTCTTTTTTTTTGCATTCTTGCCTGTCTAGGTTAGTTGTTTTTGTTGTATTCTATTCCGATCCTCATATCCTCTAGATATTTATTTGATGCCCCACTTCTTTTCTTTCTAAGTTCGCTCAAAGCTTTTCCTTCTCGAAAGTTTGTCATCTCAGGCGTTCCATAGACTGCCCTCGCCGCTTTAATAGTCAATAATACTTCTCATGCACCTTCCGAAATAATGATTTCAATTTAATTTTATGGTCTCCACCGGTTTTTTCTACAGGTGAATTAAGAGTTCCTAACTTGCTTCGGTTTGCTTTTCGCCAAAGATCATTCTCTAAGAGACTGTTAAAACATAATAAAGTTCTTCGTTCAATCTTTTCGGAAGAGAGTTTAGAGAACTGCACAAGATATAGATATTTTCTTACAGTGAGTCCAGAGCCTTCAAAAATATAAAAAGACCTGCGATGAAAACTTTTTTTTAGATTGAGAGAAACGCAACTCAAACTTTATTACTTAAAGCATGGCAAAAAAGAATTCATAGAATTCAACGGATTATAGGTGATTGTCAAAATTTTCGGAGTGGTCAAAGAGTCATTTACAAAGCATCAAACACTTCTTGAAGCAATCAGGAACTTCACATTATCAGCAAAAGCGTTTTTTTTTTCGAAGCTCGGGGTGGATAGAGCACTGAAATTCAGCAAAAGATGCTCCTGTAATCACTCCAGAAAGTTATTGCAAATAGGCTACAGGGAAAGCACACACGCAGATCTTTGATTGAACCAGAAAATTGTGGATTGGAATGATACAGTATGTAATATGAAGCAACTATCAACATCGGCTGACCGAATTTCTTCGGAATCGGCAATAAAAAAGAAGGGAATGGGGGCAAAGAGCGTCTCATCATACAAACACAGTGTTATGCAATTTGTTGCAACACGTCGATATTACCGCTGTCTCAATAGGTCAACATTGGTTGCTCCAAGTCAAATTCTTCGCCTTTTCTTCTCGAAACTTCCGAAGAAAGGGGGGCAATTTAGATGGCGTTGAGCGCCTTCAGAAGGACATCCTGACGACGTCTCCTTTCGACGTCCCGCTGCTCCTCATCGAGGACTTCAGCTTCAAACTCTCGGATGTCCAGAAGAACGTAGACGTAGAGCTGAAAAGAGTTCATGGAAAATCGTTCGAGAGAATTGACTCATGTTTTCATTGTACGTGACTCCTACGCTTTCATTCAACCGATGTTGTTGGCGCCATTGACGCATCGCTTCCAATTTTTTTTTCGGTATTCCAAAAAGCACAATTTTCGACCATCAAATGAAACTTTTTCGAACTCTTCGAGACTATTGTCCGCTAAATATACTTCTTGAGGTCTATTTGCACCTGTCCATACTGCAGTTCAACCAGGGACCATGCTTGCATGTTTTTTTCCAGGTGTTCTAGAAATAACTTTTTTAGAACTACTCAGGTATTCGCAAAAAGAAATCAGAAGTTTTTCAGCTTAGCGTTTACGAGTTCTGAAAAATAAAAAAAGTGACATTTATGCAAAAATGGACTTTTTATTAAATAATTTCAGGAAAGCTTGAAAAAAATTCGAAAAAAATATCTTTTAACGAGTAAAAATGGGCAATTGAACACTACATGCTATAGGGACAACTGACAAGTACAAAAAAATTGCCAGGTAGAAAGTAATAATTTATTTTTTTAAAACCCTATGGAATTATCTAGGAAGGAAATTTTTGAAATATCGAAAAAAAATTGTCGCGCTTCGACTTTCCAATTATTACAAGAACTGAGGAAAAAACTCACTTGGAAAACAATGACGGCGAGGAAAAGCAGAAGAACGACGCAGAGCTCCCTGGAAGAGACCATGTCGGAACGAACGGAAAGATCCGTTGCCACAACAGCCAGGAACGTGCGATTTCGGGAAAGCATCGTTAGCAGACAAAAAAAGGAGGCGGGGCCTGAAACACCGACTGTATAAACAGATGAGAGAGCAATTCGATTCATATTACGCACGACGTCTCTACGAAGTGACAAGGAACTGTTTGGTTTCGCACCCGCACATGGGCAGCCGTTTGACGTACAACGCGGACGCGTGACTCATTTTCCAAAAAAGGAGGGGCCGCCGACGGTTCGCCAAACGGCCGCACCGGTCAAAGACTGATAGCGGCTTGGCGGCTGTTTTGGCTGCTGCCGCGTTGGACGAGCTGTTTCAGAGTTCATTCACTAACGGTTGAAGCTTTGAGAGAAAGCTTGTAGAACATAGGAGACGGTAAAAACTTTTTTTCACAGTCTAACTTCATAATTTTCCGAAAAACTGGAAAAAATCGAAAACTTTTCCGAACAATAAAACTACTACAACTCGGAATCCAACTTTTTCTGAAAAATTGATTTTTACCGTCTCACAAAACTTCAGAAGTTTTAAATTTCATTCATTTTTGTATTCGAGGAAAATCCTTAAAATATAAAAATAGTAGAACCTTTTCTAACCTAAGCTTATTCATCATACTTGACAGCAGCGCAAGTAATAAAAAAAGCTAAAGATGATTTTTTTCAAAAGTTTTTTTATTCCTTTTATACTATCTAGAACTAGGTTAATAATTAATACTTGTGAAGATTCAGATTTCAAAAAGCAAAGTCAAAGAATTGGAGTGAGATCAGCGAAAGTTTGTTTCGAAAAGTTATGCCTCCAGATGAATACATTCGAATGTGGCTCCGCCCTTTTCAGAAACTCTCAAGAGCCTTTTCAAACTCATTTCGATACCGTAATTTAGCCATAACAATTGGAAAAGGGGATGAAATAATTCTGCAAGTTTTAAACAATATTTTCAATTTAGGAACGCAAAAAGAAAGTCTGAAGAAACAGAGTAACAGAATGTTGCGACAACTTGAAATCACACAATAGATCCTGGACAGACAGTGTGATAACAATGAAACTTTTTTGACTGTGTTGATGGATCTTTCTTATCAGAAACCGCAACTGGTCGTAGAAAAGTTTCAATGGACTACAAAGATCACTTTTCGCTTTTTTTTTTCAAGTTTTCAATCCAAGTTTACCTTTTTTTCTGGGATTCATTTGAGACCTAAAGTTAACCTTTTCTTTCAGTTCTAAAATCGCTTTATTTGACACCAGGACAAAAAAATTTAGAGAATCGCTTCAGACTATTGTCGTGATTTTTTGATAAAAAGACGCCTTTGTTTTGAGAGCCTTATTAAACTCAGAAAAACCTTTAAATTACCAGAAATGATAAGTTTTCGCTTTCTGAACCCCAGACAAACAACCAACCCACCCAGACAGAGATAATATCAAACTGGTTGTTTTTTCGTCTGGTTCTTTATCAGAACAGTTTACTTGTCATGAAAAAGTTCCAGTTGAGTACAGAAATATGGTTCTCTGAGTTTAAACTTTTTTTCGGTTCGAAACTGTTTTCTTGGGGAAATCAGGAGTCAAAAAACTCATTTGAAAAACTGTACCAAGATTAAAACATACGTATCTTTACCAGAACTAACACTTTTTTCGATTACTTCTATTTTAAGAGCCTTGATAACCGCTGAGAATCTTTTTTGTTTGTTGGTTTCAGGCATTTCTCAAGATGATTTCGAAACAAAGTAAACACTTCTTCTTTGAACTATCTGTTGAACAAGACTAACAAAAATTGATTAATTGGAGAGATAAATGATAAGATAAGAAAAACCGCGCTCGAAATGTTGAAAAAAGATTTTCACTGTACAAACATGCTGGAGCTTTGTTTTTGAAGGAATTCTAATGATCTGAAAAGTTTTGAAAGAAAGTTTTGAAGCTGATCTCTAGAAACTTTGATCACTTAATGAACTTCAAGTAAAGTTTTTTCGCTCGAACTTTTCCATTCGGTATTGAGAAGTCTCAAAAACTTCAGAAAGTCTATACGAAAATTAACGTTAAGTCAAAAAAGGCCAAGAATATTTTGAGAGAACGAAACTGAAAGCCAAAACGACGGTTAGTTGGGCGGAGCGACGAGAAAAATTGAAGAAGATCCGAAAATTCATCAAGCAAGGTGCCAATATTGTTGAGCGTGAAGGCCGTTTCAATGAAAAGATTGATGGTTTTTTCAAACATTAAAAATGAGCCAAAAAAAATGGTAGACATTTCTTGGAACGAAAACCACCAATTTCATCTTGCACGCAAACGATTATCGTTTCGAACCAGGTTATTTGTTCTTTTTGTTTTATTGGGTGGGTGTGATGTTATTTTCGACGATTGGAGATATAGAAAATTGTTTCTTGTCATGAAAATGTTTTGAGAAAATGGTGGTAGGGCGAACGCAAAAGTTAGTTGAAAAAAATAAGCTCTAGTTTAGAAAAGAAAAAAAGTTTGTCTATGACATTTTTAAATGGCTTTTTCCAGTTTCAGAAATCATTTTTTTAGAATTTATAACAGTTTAATTTCGTCTTTCATGCAAAATAAAAAAATATGAAATATGAGATGAAAAGATCCAAAAGGTTCTCCTGTGACTCAAATTATGTGATTCGTAGCGTTTCGGGTTGTTGACGCTTGAAAGTCTGAATGATGGTCACAAAAAAATGAGCAGCCTTTGTCACGGAAACAGAACACAGTTCATGTTTCAAAAAAAACGTCCTCTCAAGGATCTAAAAAAATAATTCTTAAAAAAATTGAGTCACTATTTGAAAAACCGTCTCATATTGTTTTCCCATGCCGTTACAAAAACAAAACCTAGGCTCATAAATATTTTTTCGTTGTTTTGACCGTTGGCCATAAATTCGGGAAGGCATTTTACGATGCTAAGTGCTTTTTCGGTTTCCTCGTAGGCGCAAGGTTTTTGTTCTTCCATGTTTTTCCCCTTCGCGATAGTACAAACGAGGTTTGCGAAGGGTTTCGAGGTGTGAACGGCCGGAAAAGAGAACTTTGCTGTGTTTACAGTTCTTCGAACTCAAAAAAATTTGGGAAGAGCTTCGAAGTCTGCTCAGAATGCTGTGAGATTCACGGAAATCTACTTGAAACATTTTGAAAAAAATTTTTCAAACTAAGGAAACTTTTTTAAGGTCAATTTCCAAATGCACAGAGGATAGAAGAGTTTCAAATTTGACGTTTCCAGTTCTGCAAAGTCGCGCTTGGAAAAATTTTATGCGTTCTCCAAGTGCCTTCAATAATCAAGCAATTTTCTTTTTCAGAAACATCTGGAAAAGTGAAAAAAAAACAGAAACTTTCGATTATTCCGCTTTTTGAATGAGACAAATAACTTTTTAACTCATTCACATAAAACAAAAGATTTTATAAAGAAAAAAACTTTTAAAAAAAGCTCGGAAAAGAAAGAGACAGAAGATGATCGCAAAGCGGAAGGCTTCCGATTCAACCACCGATTAAAGAAATTCATTTTCGGACCGTCCGAGAACGCGAGACAAGCGACACAGCGTGTGGACATGGGATGGGCCGGGGGCAAAGTTCGACACATTGTCTTGACCTTTTTGGGCGAGAGCCGCCGGTTTCACCCAGCTGAACCGCGTTTTTGGTTTCTCAAGAAGAAGTTGTGAACAAAAAGTCAATGTATACTCTGACCTTGGAAATGAAAGACGTCGATAAAAATTGAAGAGTTGTATCCTACTTCCTCGAAAATAAGTGAAAAAACAAAGTGAATTGAAAAAGTACGGCTAGATTTTGATAAACTATCCGTATCCGCCCACTATATTTTCCCCTTTTTTTCGGAAATTCCAGATTTTCACAAATTCCCGATGGGTTTGCTTAACAGTTGCAATTTGTTAAGAAAAAACAAACCGGCGCGGAGGTTGAGAGCAAATAATTGTTGACCGCAGCCCACGCAATCTCTAAAAACTTAGGTGATTTGGGGGCGGGGGCTTTTTATCAGAGAGGGGGACTATTGCTTTACCAAAAAGTTACTAAAAACGTTGAAAATTTTCAAAGCAAATGGTTTTTATAAGCAAATTTTCGAACAAACAATCAAGAAACATCTATACGAAAAAAATTCTTGGGATAAAAGAGTACTTTAACTATGAAGTTGATAGTCTCTTTTCTTTCAATATTTAAAAGTTAAACAAAGTTTATTTTTTCTTCCTTTTTAGCTCTTGGAACTCGACTGTAGCAAAAATATTTATAGAGTACAATAAAAAAAGCAAATGCAGTAGAATCGCAATTGGTCAGTCTTTTTTTGAGATTCATTTTCACAAGTTGTCCCATTCGTCGTAGGCAGAGTTCGGCTGAAGATCCTCATCCACCATGGGCTTTTTCTTCAGGGCGATTTGGTTCTGAATTTCGACAATAAACTTCTAAAAAAGGAATGATTGAAAAACCTGTTCTCTTTCGAACTGGTAGCTCTCGAAGTCGCGAAGGGTCACTTGGACATAGGACGTCACGAAATGTTGTTCTTCGGTTCTTTGGTACTTTTGCAGCAGGTCCAATGCCAATTCTTTCAATTCCGCCAAGTTCAAGGCCTCGCACTCTCCAACTAACCTGAAGTTGTAAAGAGTTTCCCTGATCTTTTTGCTGCAAAAGTACACTTTTTAGTGCGTGACTAATTTCGTATGGAATCATATTTCGTGATAAAAGATAATTCAATCATATTTAGTACAGAGATAACAACGCCGGAAATGCATTTACTGCGGGTTTTCAAAGACGTTCGTTTCCGGTTATTGTTTATGAAATGGAAGAAAGCTGATAAGAAAGATAGCCTATTTATCATTGGTCTTCTTCTGCAAATAATGGCTTTTACATTGAACGACCTACTTTGCAAGGTCGTCTGGTTTGCTTGGCAAAGCCAAAGATGGCACGAATTTCTCCTTCTTCAGTCTCAAGTAGGCAAGAATGTGGCGGAAAGTCTTGGCATCGCGGTCCAAGTAGTAGTTGCCACCCTGAAGTTTCACTTCTGATGAGTTCAGAGAAGTTTCGGAAAAAAATATATAAATAAGGAGTGATATGATAATGCGGGTAAACATCAGGTACGACCGACAAGCAAATGCGCTCCACGGACAAGGCACGCCAAAATGCTCAAACTTGCTCCATTTTGAAGCAAAGTTTTTTTACTATTTTATTAAAAAGAGTAATAGGATCTTTCTGGTCAAGTATAATATGATTTTGTAGCTGAAAAAAGGACATTTCTGACAATTTGTCTTGAAAACTCAGGCTTTCTTTTGAAAATGCCCGACCGAGGTAAATTCTTCAATTAGAGAATGGTTTTTTACCCTGTCTTTCAAGAACCGATAAATTCGTTCTTTCTGAAAATTCCTGAAATTAAAGAAAACAGTTAGAAATGTCGAGCACAATATCACTTTGTTTTCTATGAAATTTGTTTCGCAACACATTATTGACCTGTTATTAAGTTCTAAGAAGCTTAAAAATTCAATTCGTCATTATTCTCATAAATAATCTGGATAACACCTTATCTGTAGCGATAGGCTTCAGAGTTCCGGGTTTGAACCACTCGGCAAGTTTCGAACGCGGGTCGGCCAGCATATCAGTTCTTCGCACCTGTAAGAGCATTAGTTATTGCGTAGAAAGTGAGTCAAGATGATGCGGAATGAAGTCATATCTATGTAGGGAATTAAATTCTCTTTTTCGTTATTTTTTTCGTAAATTTTCCAAAGTTAAAGTAACAACCGTCCTATAAAATCTCAAAAATAAAACAATAAAAAAATAAAGAATGAGATTTTTTTCTGTATTTCCTGAAAAATTTCTCCTAACTTCCACCGAAAAATTTTTTTGAACATTAGATTTTATCTGAGAAATCAGTCCTTGAAAAAAGTGAAATGGTCATTTTTGATGCAGTTTGTAGTCAATTCATCAGAATCAAACACCTTCGAGAATTTTCTAATGTTCTGAAAATTCTAGTGGAATGATCTTCCTTTTTGAGTTGGATCTCAAGTTCTCACGGTATAAATATCGAGCAAGGATCTTTCCATTGAAATATTTTTCAAATTTGAATAAAAAGTCTCAAAAATCTTTTTCAAATAGTATCAAAAGAAAACTTGTGGAATTTTTCAATTTTGTGTGAATTTGCTTTTTTTCGGAATTTTTTTCATTCATGATCCGATAAAAAAATAGATATTTGTCCAGCAAAGCAATAATTTCATCAAGATGTCCTGACAAGCTCCTATTTAAAAAGTTTGAACAGCGTTTTAAAAAGTTGAATCGAAAGTTTCTTTATTTTGATTATCAAAAGAATTTTTGGGTTTTTGGGGAATTTCCTCACAAAGTTCATAAAGAATTTTTTTCTCATCCAATTCAAAGAAAAAAAAGAACAAACCGTGTACTTTTTTTGCCGCCGACGTTGATGTTGAGGATGTCGTCGGCATGGCGCGGACGCGACATCTCCTGGCTTTTAGATCGCGAAATGTCTGCGAGAAAAAACGCGAACGTTCAAGGGGCGGAGAAATAATAGGAGGAAACTTATTATACCTACACATGAAAATAGTTATCTTGTCCGTTCCACATCCAATCCTATCCATAACATGCCGTTCAAAACGTATCACAGCGGAAAAAACAAACTTGCTATAGAGGAGAAGTCTTGGGGCAGCTGCCAAAGGTCCAGGAATGGCTAAGAGAATAGGATAAACGGCGATTTGGATTGGGAGTATGATACAGCTCGGAAACAATTTTCTTTGCACTTTATTTCCGATTGCTCTCATTTTCTTTGCAGTAATCTACCTGAATGATTTGCAACATGCTGCACTTTCCAGAGGTAGGTTCAGTGGTCTTATGAACTTTTAAACCTTACAAAGGTGGTCATTCTTATTTGGGATAAGAAAATTTCTATAAATCCGTTCAAAAGTTCTATGAAGGTCCAGATAGAGCTCCCTAACAGTCACTACCGGCGCAGATTTCTAGTTTTTGAAATAAGACTCTCAAATTTGCAGATTGTGAGGTTCATTCCCAACTTTTCGAACTTAAAAAATGATTATCTCAAAAGTTAGAAAATTTACCGTTTCGCAAATATGAGATAACACTCAAGAGATGTTTTTCCTCTAAAAACTACTTCTTTCAAAATCAATTCGAACCCTTTCCTCTAAAAAAATCGAAATGGCAAAACTGTTGAGACCTTAAAACGTGCTTTTCTACTTTTTTTAACTATTGGGGTTTTTCATTTCAAGAAAGAAGTTTAGTCGCTTCTCGGAATGCTAATTGATAGTTTAGTTAGTTTAAAAAAACCTCTTGCTCTGTCCTTCAACTGACGCGATAAATTAAAAAAGTCATTTTTCACTTCTTAGAGGAAATTGCAAAAAGAAGCACCACTGCTAAATATCCAAAGACTCTGATCTTTTTCATTAGCGCAAAATATAGTTGTTGTGTAATAAATAATCATTTTTGGAATAAAGGCGAGCAACCGTGCGAAATGAGCGGGTTTGGGGCAGGTGCATCTTAATTGAACCTTTATGCAGATCTGGACTACGGATCAGGAGAATACCGTTAAATGTATGTGAGGGATGTGAAAAAAAGACGAAAAGCACATTTTGACGCAATATACAGCCGAGACATTTGTACGTCCTTTTTAGGGCTCAATTAACCTTGCAGCTGTTCTGCCTCTGGTTCGGATAGTTTTCCTTGCATTTTCGGATATCTTCGTTCAAGAGGGCACAAAAAGTAGTGACGACGCAAGGAAAAAATTAAACTTCAGAAGATTTGAAGAAAAAAACAAAATCAAAATGATTATTAGGTTCATAGATCAAAAATCAAAAAGAAGTCAAACTTGTTGTTTCAAGAAAAAATTTCAACGATTAGAAATAAGACTCGCTAAATTCTGGCAAAAATAAAAATAAAATAATGGAGTAACTTCAAACCTCTTTGTAGAAAAAAGTTGTGAATAAATAAATAAATTCATCCAGAATTTATTAATGAGCAACACTGCGATCTCAACTCTTTTTGAGTTTGCAACGAAAAATCTTAAAAAAATATATAAGTTTATGAAAAAAACTCTGCAACAACTGACTTCTAGCCGTCGTTTTTCTTACATTAAGCTTTTTTTGCTAATGATAAAGTTTGAATAATCTCAAAAAGCTCTTTTAGTTCGGGTTCCATGAATGAACTACTCTTCCCATTTCTTCCATTACATGAAGAAACATTCATAATTTACGGAGAAAAGTAATGAACAAGAAGTACTGGAAGATATCGACGAAACGATTAAGGTGCGTTGGAGCAAGTCGAGTGCAATGGCGTCGCGTCCGTTCGCCGACCTCTCCAACCAAATCCAACAAAAACTTCCCCCAAATATTCCAAAATGACACTTTTTTATTACATGTTGTGTGTAGTGTACATAAGATCCTTAAAGCGGAAAAAGAAGAAAATTGAGGATTTTCAAAGAAAAAAGAGTGGCTTATTTTCATCTGAGCTCGAAGTCGACCGTACTTCCTTTGACGCGCAGGGGATCCCGTGATTTCACCCTTTGCATGATCACTCGCTGAAAAAAACGAATTCATAGTTCAAAGTTATTCAAGTTTATCCAGAAAAGGCGAGGGAGGGAAGAAATTGGTATTTTTTCTGAACTTATTAAATCTTCGCCACATTCTCAATACCTCAATAAGTATATTGAATCCCAAATCAGATAGGAAAATTTAGATTTCTGTAACTCGCTGTCGTTGTTAAGATTTAACTCAAGTTCAAGAAATTTTCAAGTAGCTCTCCAATTGATGTTTTTCGTCGCCTCAAAAAATAAGCTGAGCTTCTATGTTTTAAAAAGCGATCCTGTAACCACTGTAGAAACTTGGCTCTTTATCCACTCTTTTTTTCTACCGAAGACGCCTCAAAAACAAGCGTTTCAATGCTTTAGGAATTTCCATTTTTCAAACCTAAATAAACAGAAAACTTGAATTAGTCAATTTCGCTCCATAAAATAGAGTAGCTACCTTTTTATCCTTTTCAAACCCTTCATTCCAATTTTTTCGAAAGTTTGCCACTCCAAAGATCAACCGAAGGCTTATGAATCGACTATAACTCACGTTCGTAACGGCTTCACTGGAATCCTTGTAAGCAATTAGTGGCGCCATGGGCGAATGCCTGAAAAGAATGGTTGGACCGTATACTTTGATTGGCCTCGAACCTCATCGTCGGCGACCCGACGTCAATCAAGTCGCTATTCCTGGGCCGGGGAGGCCTCGCGTAGCTTTCCGGCTGTCGGCCTGCGTTTCCTGCAAAACGTCGCCTCGATTGGTTTCCGAAGCTTCTCGACATGGGAAAAAACTCATTAATACACATTTATACTTTAGACACTGTGATTTGAAACTCGATAGGAGCAAAAATAAGAGTTTTGGCCGAGGCTTTGCGTTAAAAAATTCTGGTTCATGACAGCGACAACAAAGCCGTTTTCTTGCGATCCCTGTTATATGTTTCTTTTTCCAATTAGAAAAATGCAACAGACCGTGAGGATCGGGGTTCACTCTATAGATTTGGATAAACCATCAAGCTTATCGATGGCAGATAAGTTTATTCAACTTTTGGAAAAATTTGGCAAAAAATATGAAATACGGAGTTTACAAAGGCATCAAGAAGCTCAATCGATGTAATTAATTACCTGGTAAAAACTACTGAGCCGGCAAGGAAATTTACAATTTCATCTTTTGAACTTTTATGAAGCTTACCCTTTTAAGCTTCGATTAAACCTTTTCACAAAAAAAGTTTCTCGCTTATCTCGCAACTCAGGATGAAAAAACTTTGAATAAGATATTTAACGAAGCTTTACCTCTTGACCTGGATGAAGGGGTAAAAATATCGTCGTACTCAGATTCTTCGTTAGGACGTCTGATTTTCTGAGGCCTCTGCCTTTGTCGCTGTGGCTTTGGCGGCTCTTCTTCTCGATCTTCCTGAATTTCGAAGTTAGATTAAGAAAATCTACAAGATCAACCTCGCCACGATCGTCTAGACTGCTGGAGCTCTGTCGGGAGCTAACGAATCCTGTTCCTGAAATTCTTTGGCTTAAGTATATTTTTTCCATAGACCTACTACCTTCTCTAGGCGGGCATTGACAGTATCCGCCGTCTTTTCCTGGAGGTCCTTTCTTGCCAGAAGGACCTCGAAGCCCGTCGTCTCCTTGCTCACCGACCTCACCAACTGGTCCAGGATAACCCTCCGGACCTAAAAATTTGAAAAAAGGAGTATTAACAACAAATTGACAAACCTGGCGGAGCTGGATCACCATTTTCTCCTGGATCACCTCGAAGTCCTGCTAGGCCTGGAAGTCCAATTGATCCCTTGGGACCAGGCAAGCCAACAAGCTGGACAAAGTCTTGACCAGGTTCTCCATGTTCTCCTAAAAAAGTTCGGAGACTATTGAAAACTGAAACAGAAAATTTTTCAGAAAAAGTTCAGAATGATTGAACATTTTGTATCATGACTCGATTTCTTACGCCAGTGTCGCGTTTTCGATCCTGTTAAATCTTTAAAAAAAAACAAAATATAAACGTTTATTTGCTTCTTTTTGTCTATTGATAATGAAACTTGGTATTTTTTTCAAAACCTCATCGAAAACTTGAATTTCCCTTTTGGAGTGTTGAAGGAAAAAAACTCATTGACAGGTTTGGCTTTAAAAAAACTATTGAAATGTCCGTTCTTTGAATCAAAAATTGAATATTATTGTGCTTCATTTTTTTATGTCTTGAACTTTCCGGCTGAGATAGAAGGAAGCAGACTAAATAGAGTTTTTTGGAATGTGGCAATATTTTTCTTTTTCATCATGACAATCTATTAAAAAATGGAGGAAAGACAAAGAAATAAAATATAAAGATACCTTTCAGTCCGGCCCTGCCAGGTTGTCCACGAGATCCCGGATCTCCAATCACCCCAGGCTCATTCGTTCCATCTTTTCCTGGTTCTCCGGGTATTCCAGGCTTTCCTGGCTCGCCTTGCTCTCCAGGAGCTCCATCATCTCCTGGTGGACCTCGAGGGCAAGCTGGACAGTCTGGCTCGTCGACTTGATAGATTCCGTCAGTTCCTGGCTTTCCCGGTTCTCCTAAAACTTGGAAGGAAGTTTTTCATTTTGGATAAGTATTCATCCCTGGCCTGCCATCCGAGGCTGGATCTCCATTCTCGCCGCGTGGTCCTCGTGGACCTCGAGGACATTGGATCACCATGCAGTCTGAAAAAAGGGGCTTTTATGAGAATGATTTGATTCTTGGCAAGTTTCATTCAATTTGTGACGACTAACAGTAGACTGTCTCGGGGATTCTTTAAATTCGAACACTTTTGAGAACTATAAATAGTAAAAAGGTTCTGTATAGATATTTCGATTTCATGTTACATCTGCGAATAATTTTTTTCATAATCAGGGAACGATAAAAAAAAGGCCAAACCATTTTTGTGTTGCACTTTTATCGGAATTTCATCATCACTGATAAAAAAAATGACTTTTTTGCATTTTTCTGACTTTTTCGTGGCATTTATGCTCCATCGAACACATTTTCCAAGTAGCACACTTAATCTTCATGAAGAGCAATTTCGCTTAGGACATTAGTTTTCTCACTTCAATTTTTTTGCAGTTTTTACTCACCATCTTAGTTTTAACTGAAAAAAATAAAAAGGAAAAAAATTTTACTGAAATTATTCATACGTTGAAATTCGGCTTTGAAAAAGGGTTCAAAAATGGTGTCTAAGAATATCATTTTAAGCAAAAATTAGAAATAGATGGAGTAGATTGTCTTGATAAATATATTATTTTCTACAGCTCCAAACTTTCAAAAACCAATAGTCTATTAAAAATCACCGCAAATTTTTGGAGCGTCGCCATTGTTGCGACGACGACCGCTGCTTCTTCCACGCTCTTCATAATTGGACCACCGATTTCTGTTTCTTTGTGAAAACGTCTGCCTCGGGAAACGAAAGTGCTCGTGTTCCACGGACTCGAGATCGTCTTCAGCGCTTTTCCTTATTTTCTAAACACTTTTTAGTTATCTCAAGTTGATAAAACATTCGAATAACTCACTTGTAATGAATTTATGTGAGCGTTCAGATCTTGCACTACTGTTTCGATGTGATAGGCCATACAAAAGTATAAAGATGTGCAGGTGATTATCGTGAATAAGGAGAGTAAAGACGCAACTCTAGAAGCTCTCTGGATGATTTTGTCCTTCTCTACTGATTTCTTTGTCATCTGAAATGTTTAATCAGATTTTTAAAAAATCAGAAAAAAAAGATGAAGCAGAGAAAAACATTTAAAGATGGAGAAGTCCAGAAAAAAAAATTTTAGAATTGGAAGTGAATTAATTCCCAAAGAGGAAAAATATAGAAAAACTTCGGATCGAGAAACATAAAAGTGCGAATCAAAAAACATAGTTTATTCCTGATTTTTTGTCGAACCGTAAGGCTCAACTTTGCGCACCAGCAATTCAATGAAGAGGAGAAGATCGACATTTTTCAACCGCTGTAATTGACTGAAACGGGATAAAGTTCTAAAATTCGAAGATGTGCGCCTTGAAATCAAAGAAACTGAATCGAAACTGATTACTCCTAAAAAGTTCTTAAGCTGGTTGAATCAGGCAATTTTCATTTTCATTTTTCTGAAGAGCCCCGACAAACCAAGATGAGCCTATTTCAAAATCTAGGTATTCTATGAATAAAGTTTGACGGATCAAGAATCCACGGAGTCGAAAAAGACCTTTTTGAATAGACAAAATCGAAGGAACTCAACTAAACTGATAATATTTTTGAAACATGAGACTAAATACCATCTACTCAAAGTCTCTGGAATTACAATATATGATGTTAGTCGAAAAAAAAAGAAATACAAATCAAAAACTGCAAAAGCATAGCGATCAACTTCACAAAAAATTCAAAATGGATGAATAAGAGTTCAGAAAAGGCTTCAACCAAGTTCTCAGCTTGGCTGAAGGGTTTGAAAAAGTCGAGCAACGTCATCGAACAACTACACAACGACTAGAAATAGTCGAGTCACAATGCAGAGTCCATAAATATTCGACAGTAGAATATTGATGGGGACAAGTCGGTTTGACAAGCGGCGGAAAGGAGAAGCAACGACCGTCGCACCATAATTCGACGTGGGGCGCAGTTTCAGGCGGGCGCCGGCCGTCCGGTGCAATTTCTTGTGGGAAGAAACCGGCCGACCCACTTGAACCTCTCGATTCTCGCGAGTTTTACCTCCAAGAATGTGTCTTCAAGCAGGAACAATGACGCCGACGTTTACGTTGTCTGGGCTTCGACGCCGGCAAAACGGCTCTTCAACTTCGGCTTCCCACTTGAAATAGCTCACTCATTTCTTTTCCTTGTGTTGCTTCTGTCCTTTTGTACTCGTCAGGTGATTGAAGTAGTCGGCAGGAAGTCATTCTTTGGAAACATGAATCGAAGAAATGAGGTTCAAATAAGAGAAAAAGCGGGTTGTGAGGTTCAAAAAATCACTGAATATTTTTTCGGTGTCTGAAAATTAAATTGAGAAAAGAAGAAGAAAAGGTGACGAGCAAGTGGACTTTGTAATTGTTGGAAAACAGTACTTCCCGTTTTCTAAAGCTTAAAATCATCCTTTCTAGAAGATTATCCTTTGCTCCTTATATAAATTCATAACAGTTCTTCATGTATTTCTATCTAAGGCAGCTGAAAATTGTACGCTTTGTTAACAGGTTTTATAGTTACCCCCAACGATGATAACAAAAAAATGAAATGACCTTTTTCGAAAAACAAAACGATCGGGATTGTTGGCAGCGATTCAAGTTATTGTTTCACCATAATATTATGTTCTTCCCCAATTTGTTTCCCCATTATCTTCACCACAGTTGTCTTCTGTTTTGATGTTTTCAGCTATTCTTTTTTGTCGCGGATTTGGCTTCTCAATTGTTAAATGCTTCCCGAAAAGGCTTCAACGAAACGTCTCGGTTATTGACGACTCAAAAGGCATTTGCGAGATCTTTGCTCCCAATATTTCGAAAGTGAAGTTTGACGTCCGATTACTGAAAAGCCGCTCATACTCGGAAACAAGGAAGTTGCGATATATTTCAGATACCACAAGTTTACAGAGTTTTCCGCATCTTTTCACATATGATTATTGCATTTCCCGAACAGATATTAAAAAAAAAAACAACTATCCCTAGCAGACTTCAATGTTTCACCTCGAAGTTCAACAGATCAAGTATCTCTTTTTCCATATAATCAAAGGAAACCAGTTAGTATTTTTATTCGGTTCTTTTTTTCCATTGAGTTCTTTTTGAAAGAAGAAGACGATCAAAACTTGAAACAAAATCAATTTATTTATTTCCTACTTTGATCAAAAATTTTAACTAAATCATCTGAAACTCAATCGAATTTGAAACCTTATCATTATATACTACTTGGCAATTTTATAATCCAGCTTCATTCGCAATTTTTTCCAATCAGGGCCTTTTTTCATCTTCGTGAAATGGGAATGAGTCTTCAAAGCTTTCAATAATCCATCGAATATTCCATAAGCTCAAAAGCTTCATTCAAAGGGCGTTTCTGATTTTCGAACAGCAAGGTGTCGAGTTTGACGAGCTGCCCCAAGCAAACACACCTGCCGGCTGAGGACGATTCTGAAATTGGTCAAAAACAACGGAGAACTGTATTGATGAGGCGGATGGTACGATTGCTTCATTCTCGGCCGTTGTTTGGGTGGATCCGCAAGAGCTCACGGTGAGAAGAGGACACTTGACGGAGCATTGATATTATGTACACAGCGGGAGCCGGCCCACCAGTGGCTTTCTGTAGACGCCCCTCGGCAGTCGTTCCTTCGGTCAGCCGCCTCTGTATTCTACTTCTGATCTTCTGATTACATCAGCTAACCCTTCTTCTCGGCCAGACCGTTTTAAGTAGTGGTGCCGCTGGTATTGTCACGGCATATAGCAGTTGCTCACTGCTTAACATGGTTACGGTCGCTTTTCTGTTTCCTTATTTTTTTTTTCATTAGACTACGCTAATAAGCACAAACTCAGGTATTTTTGGTGTTTACAGTTTGCAAAGCTCTATGAAAGTTCAAAAAATGCGGGGTGAAATAGTGCTTCAAGAGTTTTGCAAAAAAAAAGGGCGACACTTTTTCGTACCTCGGGAAGGTGAATTTTTGCATTCCGTACGCTTTGAGCCATTCTACGTGCGTCAATTTACGACGGCAACGTCAAGAGGTTGACTTTAGCATATTTTACTACATGCCGTATTTTTTAAACCTGACCAAAAAAGTACCTTTCAGAAGCTCCTTTTCATTGATTGCAGTTTTTGAAAAAACAGTTTTTTTCATTGTACCTCGCAAAAAAACTGCTAAAAAAACCCAAAATCAAAATTATTATGTATCTTCTTTTTCAGTGGATAATTTCGCAATTAGTCTTACACAACACGTAGTTTGGATCTTCATTCACACAGAAAACGCAAAAATCAAAAAGATGACTTTTACAGAACAGCTTTATCAAAAAATAAACCAAATTAGCACAAAACTATTAAAAACAAAACAGTAGCATCTTGAAAAAAAAACGGAGAATGACATCGAGTACCCATTTTTCAAAGACTAGCAAACTTTTTCTACATTGGAAAAAAAGATCCTGTCAGAAATCATTCATCGGCATTATTTTGCTATAAATAACTCTAGTTTGGGGCCTATCCGGGGGTATTATTTGTACATGATGGCTTGAGGTTGAGCTTCTTGAAGTGACACTCGATAACCGGCGGACTGAGAAAAGTTCTTCTTTTGATTTGAGAGCAATAAAATGAAATGAACCTCCTCTTCTAGTCTGATGAAACCTGTCGAATTTGACAGCTCCTTCACTTTCATAACCAAGGTACTGAAATCAGCAGAGTTTTAAACAGTCGAGAGGCTTTGATTTTTTTTCGAAAAATAGGAGTTTTTTTTTTAAAAAGAAAGTACCTGAGAAAAACTTTTAAAGCGCTGGACCAAAATTACAAATTCTTTTTCCGAACCGAATAAAGTCTTGAAAAGTTCAACCAATCACCTTGTCCAAGTCTTCATCGTCGATTTCAATTGCCGATTGTCGGCACATATAACGATGCCGATTCTGATGATCAACTGATAATCGGAGTTCCAATGGCAAGTTTCGAGCAGACCGCTCTGAAAAGAACGGAAACTATTTACTGAAAAAAGAAACAAAATCTTACCGATTTCATGAGAATCAAGGACATTGAAGTGAGGGCTGAAAAACAGTTTATAAGATTTCAAAAATAGAAAGATCTTGATTAAATTATACTTTATGGTTAATTTTAGGCGATAAATAGCAAATTTATTTGGATATGAGACTATAGAAAGTGAAATAACAAAACTTCGTTAAATTTTGTTGAATCGCTTGTTGTTGGTGTTAGTTAGATGCAATCAATTGAAACGTGAATTCAAGTTTTGCCAGGTCAAAGCTAAAAGAAGTTTCACGGTTTTTAGTCGTTTTGTATGGTTATCACTCAACCCAGGTTAACTCGTCATAATTTTTCAAATGGTTACCTAATAAAATATCTCACTTGCCATTAATGGCTTTCAGAAATTACTTTCTTTCGATTGAAATTGAGTTTTAAATTGATTATCCCAATTTTTACTTACACTGGACCATCAACCCACCTCTGCCGTGTTTGCCCAAGCCGAGGTGGCCTTCTCACTCTCGCAGAATAGTACAAGTCCTCATCATCTTCACTTGCAATCAGCTTCTTGTTCAAACTGTGAAACGAAAGCTATCAAAAGAATAAAATCGAAAAAAAAGGAGTTGTTCTGACAATAAGTCAGATCATTGTGCATTTGCTCAGCGATAGCTATGAAATTTTGAGATTTCGCTGGAACACAAAAACGACTTTGGTTTAACTTTTTGGGTTTTTGATCACTTTATCAAAGTAAATTTCTGAATTTTCACTGTGTGGAGACGAGGAATAATAATTTGAAACTTTACAAGGTTCTGATTCTCCTAAATTCAACAAACCCATATATAAATATGTAATTTCAAAACTTGAAAAAATCGGAAAGTTTTCATTGATCAAAACCAACCTATCACATTGAACTGAGACTCTTTTGTTTGCGGCAGCTGTACTGGCTTCCACGGCCATGTCACTTGTAGAAGCGCCAAACTTGGCTTCTACGGAACGAGTTCCTGAGTTTCCGACAATTAATAAGGAGACTGAAAAAAATGGAGGCAACATATAAGATCAAGTTTCAACTTTTGAGAGAAATGAACTGTGATGAAAAATAGAATCAAGTTCTAATTACGAGTGGGCAACGAGGACAGGATAATTTTTTTTTAGGATCCACAGCTCGACAAGTAAAATCAGATAAAAAAGCAATTTTGCAACTATCGTTCCTGCTCTTTCCTTTTGGCTCTCAGCATCTAACTCTTGAAGCACTATAAAAATGCACCCAATCTGTGATGTCTAATTTACTTGGTCATCATCGGACGCATTATTCGAGGGAAAAATTGAATTCAAAACCCGTTTTAATGAAGAGGACAAAGGTTTGGAGGACATATAAATCAACCAGGAAGAACAATTTGAGGGCAAAAACAAACTGTGTTGGTGGACGGACGGACGACGCGGCGGTTCTGATGGCGATGTAGATAGTTTTGTATTGATCGTCAACACTTCTGGCATCGGCTTCGGGGCTTCGATCGATTTGTCTGCAATATTTCAGAGCTTAATCTTGATCTGGAACAGAGAACTACGAACCGGTTCTCACTGAGGTTCCCTCAGTACGATCTGATGACTCATAAATACACATTTTAAACACGTGAACTCTGTACATACAGGTATGAAGAGGAACTAAAATTTTCGAAAGAAATTATCCAAGCTTCTGATAATAAGGAAAAGACCAAAAATTGAGATGAAATCGAGTCTTCCTGCATGTTGGAAGCTTCTTAATTCTCTGTGGAAAAAAAGAATGCGTGGGAAATCCTTCTCAACAACGGATTGTTGTTAGATCTTTCGCATTATTAAATTATTTGCAAAGATTTTTTTCTTTTTTATAAGAATTTAACTTTGAAGATCAAGAAACAGTTGGGGAAATATGGCTTTATCGAGTCTTGAAAATTAGAGAGAGACAAAAAACCCCGGAGGATTCCCTTTCATGAACCATCCGGGGTCGCTCAACTTCATTGTAAAATTAAAATTCTTAATCAATCCTTTTATCTAGAACTTAAATCATCAAGAGGTCATCTGAAACAAATTTTATGGTTCGAAACATGGATATTCAAGCAGACTCTACTCAACCGTCCTGATGAGCTGAGATTACACATTCCTTTTGGGAAAAGACAATAAGAGAAATTAATCTCACCATCTATCACAAAGTTCTCTTTCTTGGAGCAGGCGGACTGAGCGACGAGCTTGAAGAGGAAAATGAACATCTCCATGAGAGTGATGCAACTGCATCCCATGAACAGCGAACTCGCGCCACCAAGGTAACCTGTCCATTTAGATTTCCGTCGCTGTATTGTTTTGGAATTTTAATCCTAGTCACACAGCCCATTTTATGGCTGACCAGGGGATTCTGGTTATTTTTTTGCTATTTTCGTTCTGTTTTGAAAGTCTTCAGTATACGAAATGAACTATATTACAGTTACTATGGCTTGGAATATCATGACAATATTAAAAAAATATTTTTATGGACCAATGCCTCATCGATTTTTATCCTTTCATCCCCGTTCTAAAGTATATTGCTTTTTGATAGGAAGTCGCGCAAGTAGTTTGAGGTCTGGCGCACTCTATCGTGAAGTATTGAAAAATGTCCCGCTGACTGCAAAAATATTTCAGCTGATGCCTTCAAAATTTCAGCGTTAACAATCAAGAGAAAAAAGTCAAGCTCAGGTGATTAACAGGAATTTAGTAATTGTTCTCAAAAAAAAAAAAAATTAACTTCAAAGATGCGTTTTCATCAATTTTAATGAGTTAATGTCTGATAGAATTTCGATATTTAACAAAACGGAATTTCGAACTTCAAAAGAAAAATAATGCTCACATAAAACGTCGACGATGCCCATTTTGCGAGTTTCTTCGAGGAGTTTCACCGTGGGACTGTGGTATATTGTAAATCGGCTCATAGTTTTCTCTCTCGAACTTTTCGATACCCTTTTGGAAACGCGAACGACAAAATCTCTGCATACCGGATAACAGGGATAATCTGCAATATGATGAACTTTCAACTTCGGTTTCAACTTTCGACTAATTTTCCTGTACTCACTGTTTCAGTTGATTAAAAAAAGAGTGAACTGGCCTCAATGATTTGAAAATTGCGAATAGCAGCGAAATTTGGCTTTTGAATTCAGACTGGAGAGTTCTCCAATGGAATCATGAGGTTTTTTTTTCAGAAAGCTCTGTTTTTCCACCAATAAGAATAGAAAATGAGAAAGTCGGAGAAACATGCTGTGAAATTTTGATAAAAAAAAAATATTGAGTTGGTGTTTTTGCAACTTTATGAAAAATCTTAGTATTTAAACTTACTTTTCTGAAGATTTGGCGGTTTCTCGATGACACAACTTTGATTGAATCCTTCATAAAATGGAGAAATATTAAGAAAATCACACTGCTTCGTGTCTTTTTTCAATAGAACGAGCCGCAGTTTCTCGCAATTATGGATAGAATATGGCAGTTCACTTTCAACACCCCACGGAAGGTCTTTCCAACCGTTACTGCACCTTGACCGCGATGAATTCAATCTCTTCACCTGGAAGATCTCTTCAAAAAGTGTAGAAAATCCAAAGAATATCATTTTTTTTTGGGAATATCAGAGAAAGAGGTGATAAAACAGGTGAGATACACACTTGCCCACTTGTGTGGTCTCCAGAACGACGTGTTTGTGCAATCCTGCTGCTGCGCTCATCTCGATTACACTATCATTGTCACCGAGATACATGTCAAAGCCTGAAAAAACCTATTTCTTTCCGAGGAAAACACAAATCACCTGTGAGTTTCGAAGAGAAGGTAAATTTATAATGACTTGGCGAGATTTGAACGCAATTTGATGATGAGATATTACTACAAACTGGTTCTTTTGAAGCGAATAGAAGATCCTCGCAGTTAAACCTGAAAAAAGTTTCTGCATGTGCTAAAAACTCAGCTGAATTGATCATTTAAATCCGCTTTTCCGCAATTCACATCGGTCAAAAATTCCTTGAAATGGCTCAATTATTTTATACGTGATGAAAACAAATTCAAACTTTGGAATAACCGCATCGCCCCGAGCCAACTTTCAAGTTTCAAAATGTGAATAAAATGATTTGAATTGAAAAAAAACTACATAATACTGAAGTGAATGCCCTGGTCAATTTTTCACGAAATTATTTTTTTCAAAGAAACCTCTTGTTTGAGCAGAAACGATATTTTTATTTCACTGGATTGGATTGTAGAATAGTTGACCCGTTGGAAAGTAGCAGCGTAAGCATAATTAGTGATCATATAACCGCACTGAAAAAAATTGGATTTTTTTATTAATAACGAAAAAAATAGTTAAGATTTTTCTTATTTTTTTTTTTGCTCGTCAGGCAATGAAAAAAAGTTTGGAATAGTTCAAAAAGCCCGACCAGGACGACAATGAAATGTCGGGAAATATAAAGTTAAAACCAGTCGGGTATACGAGCCAAACTCACAAAGATCATGTAGAAAACAAGACAAGAAACCACAACGAAACACCAAAAAATTAACGAAGTCCAGGTCGACGATTTGAATATTCGGATCTGAAATATTTAGTATAAGACCACTAGTTGACTTTTTTCTGATAATTGAATTTTATCTACAAAAAAAGTAAATGAATACTTTTTGAAGCAGCGCCCAATTTTACTGACTTGATTCGAAATTTGATCTGAGCCCAACAAGCCTCAGAAATTGAAAAAGCGCTGATAAATCTTTTGAGATACGTGAGCTATCAGAAGTGCTGATATCAAACATCAATCAGGCAGAAGATAAATAAAACAAACAGTAAGAGTCATGAAAATTAATTTACACTACTATGACTCAAAAAAAGAGATACTTTGAACTTCCCCAAGCAAAACATATTTCAAAAAAATTTAAAAAAATTTGAAAAGAAATCACCATCCCGTGGAATGTCGTCAAGCCGGTGTATTCTTCACATCCACTGTGTCCAACATGCAGATAAACATTTTTGAACATCCTCCCAAGATTCCAGATCATCTTCTTCGAACGTTGAGATGATTGTTGTGTCAGAAAAGTGAGTTTTCGTTGAAGAATTGGGGCAGAAAAATAGTGCAATTCCCCGTTGCAAACATTTTATTTTATCAACATGATAATTACAAAGGTTAAAATTTTCATAATTACGAATCAAAGTTATAATGTCGAACTTTTCGAGTCACCTAGATTTTTGGGAATGTACTCCTACTTGGTTGAATAAGGAAAAATACCAAAAAAACGTAAAGAAACCGTTTTTCTTTTTAAATTTTTTTCACGAAAAGTTTATTTTTTTATTTCCATTTTGATTACCAAATTTACGGTGTTTTTAAGTTTTTTTATTTCCTTGAAAACAAAACCTAAACTTCTGAAATCACTGAAAAAAGTCGAATAGCTGAATCAAGGGTTTTTCACTCTTATGAAAAATTCACACATGAAACTTCAATCCACCAAAAAAAAAACTTCGTGCAATAGAAAACGGGCATAAATTCAATTTAATCGATTCCTTTCCATGAATAGAAAAAAAAAGACTCAATATGATTTTTGAACTCGCAATCTGCAAGTAGTCGCAAAAAAAAAAGAAAATGGGACAAACCATCGGCTGAAGCGCGACGCATGCGTTGGTGGACAACTTCCACATTCATTCGATTTGACAACTGATTTTTTTTACGTCATTTCAGTCCATAATTCCTTCAAGCTTTGATAACGTAACAAGATGAAACTGATAAGGACCCAGTGTGATTTAACAACGCGTTTTTGTGTTGTTTGAATGATTACTGCAAAAATAATCCTCACGAGAAATTTGTTCCACTTTGCACTATGAATTCCGTGGGATGTGCTCAGCTGCTCTTTGAAATGCCATATACAGTTTAAGTAGATCTCATTTTTCTAAATTTACTTTTCTTCAATTGAAAAAAAAATCTCTGAAATAGATCTAAATTAATTTTCATCAAAGCTACAGTAGAAAAGTAACTTGGGGGTAGGTGAGTTGCCTTTTAAGGATTTCTTGTGGGTGTATAAAACGTTGAAAAACCAAAAGCTTTGAGATTTAAAATGACCTTGTTTTATGAAATGTTCTTTTATTCTTCTGACAAGGCGGTGCTTTATTAGATGACTCTTTATTCTGGGAAAACGAATTCGATACGGGTCTAAAAACATGGTTATCAAGGATTTCAGTTAAGACAGTCCCGAGATTCTCCAGGATACTCGGCATCAAGGTTCAGAATCCCAATGTCGAAAGTCTTGGCGGGATTTTCTCCTTCGGTGACGAAGTCGTCAGGAATGTTGATTTCGATTTTTTTCTCCAGCATTCCTGAAAAAAATTATAATTTAAAGTCTGAAGGGAAAGTTTTTTTGTTATGAAAGCGAAGAAAGAATTATATCCTGAATTTTTTTCGAAAAAAACAAGGAATTGCAATAAATAAACGCCCGCCAGAGATCTTTTTCGTTGCTTTTTCAATGAATTTTGCAATGAAGTTATTCAATATTTTAAAAAAATGGGAAGGGGATATTTGAGGGTAAAAGTTCAAAAAATCAGAAAGCTTATTTTTGGCTATTTTCTGTTTGTTTCAGATATAAACCTTCATTGAATGTTGCTAAAAGGTGAAAAAAAAACACTTGATTGAAAAGTTGATTCTCAATTTCCTGAAAGCCTTGGACTTTCATTCTTATCTGTGAGGGCTCCACAGTATAGCAAATTAATAATCTTCGAACTTTAGTTTCGTCGTGGCAATTGTGATAAACATTCAGTTTCGGGTCGATTGTGGTCCATTCAGTGTCGTTTCCAGACATTTGGAACTCGCCGCTCTCGTTGGACAACGCCTCGCTCATCAACGTGTCCTTGACTGAAAATATTTAGAGTTTGATTTCTTTTTGGAAAATCAACTCACTTGGATCAACTTCATAGAGCTTCAGGCGAGCTTTCTCGTAAGGCTTTCCATCGCATAAAAACTTTCCTTTGACCGCTGTACTTTGGACTTTTCGAATTTCAGGGATCGATGGTAGAAGACCAGGAAGTGGAATGCAATAAGCCAACAAGGGCAACAAAACGGCTAACAAACAACTTTTCATTCTGAAAAATGTTAATCTAAAGTCAATGCAGGAAATAGGAAATAGGGCAATGAAATGAAATGGATTGCAATCAGTCGAAGATTAAAAGGGAGCGAAACGGCGGGAGGTGAAGGTCGTCTGAAACAAAAGCAAAGCCTCTATGTAGTCTCTTTCGCTTTACACTGTCAGAAAGCATTTCCACATAAGCACAGTCGAGATTGAAGTTCATTTGCACTTCTAAAAGTGGCGATGATAACTGGATATTTGAGAAAGAAATGGAAAAAAAGAAACATAGAACTTTGAAAATTACACGGAAGTATAAAAAATGCTACGGTTATCAGTATTCTACACTTTTCCAGTTTTTTTGATTTTTTTAATGACCATTTTTTTCGGATATTTTTTTCGTTATCAGCTAACTCAACTTCTGTTTGCTACCTTTTTAATTTCGAATTTTTTCTCATAAACAACCTCAAAAAGTTCATCTATATCATTTTTTTCTGTTTTTAATGTCATTACTAATAACATGTTTCAAGAAAATTTTTAGAATTGAGAAATTTTTTTAAAATTTTTCTTCTTTAGACAATCACTTTTCACCTCACAGAAACAAAAAAGTTTAGAACTTTATTCAAAACAGAACATTATACGAATAAATAATGGCCTGATTCAATTTTAAATATGATATTTCTGGCATTATCTTGATAAAACTTCGTTCATCTTTAAGATTTTGGACAGCTTTCACGTAATATTGTCTTCAAATTCGTTGAAGGAGCTACCGACACTGTCATATCTCCTTTTGCCACCAGAGCTATCAGTTTGCGACTGATCCCTGCAAGAAGTTTTCGACTTTTGGTTTTTCCCATGAGCTGACCTGATCCTTCCCGAAATGCGTCTCTAGCATTGCTGGCCATTGTCGTTTTGTATTGGAGAACTATTTTATCTATTTTGGCTGGACCAGGGTCTCGAACAATCTGGAAAATGAAAATGAAATGTTTTCCTCCAATAATTAGTGAATTTTTTAAATTTCTTGTTGAAAGCTCTCAGTAGTTAATAACTGAAACGACACATAAAAAAAACACTGATAGTAAATTTTTTGAAATTTGAATTGCGATAGGAAAAGTTCCAATGGACAAAAAATACATATAAGTTCGAAAAAAAGCTCCTCGTTCGAATTTAATAAAATGTGCTCCAAAATTAAAAACAGCAATCATAACTAAGTCTTTCAGCCCTCATTTGGATAATTTTTTACTTTCACCTACATCCTCAACTGTCGGTTCATCACAAATGTACACTCACTTGCAACCTCTGCGCATTTCCCGGCTCAAGCAGGCAAAAAACAGGAGAAACGCGGAAAAGGTCGTTGTCGCTGCACTTTATCTTCACTGCCATCCTGGTCGTTTCTCGTTATTGTTACGGCAGGAAATTTTTTCCTTACCTGTGACTACTTCCGTTGACCATCATATGACGTGATGCTCCTCCTTGAGCTGAGGAAAAGAAAGATATCTGAACATTCTTTTGGGCCTATCAAACAATTTTTTTTGCGATTGGAAAACTAAATAAAAACGCGAAAAAACGATGAATTGCCCGAATCCATCAAAAATTTGCATGAAAATTTGAAGTTTAAGATCTTTTTGAAACCACACTTTTTTCTTCTTCAGATGCCAAGAAATTTAAAAATATTTTTTTGATTATACAATTTTCATATAATTTTTTTCCATGGAACTTTTTTTCTTTTTTTGGTATCAAAATTCAAAGGTTAACTTTTTCTCCATTACTTACCCTCGGTGTGATGAAGAGATCATGGTCTTCGAAATCGTAAGACATCTGAAATATAATGAAATATTGCCCAGGTAAATAGATTTACCAAGGACAAGAAGGTAAATAAAAAGTTATGAGAATATATCCGAAGAAAAAAATTCAATTTCATTGATGAAGATAATATATTCATCTGAAAGGAATATGAGTGAAAGTTTGAAAAATTAAAAATTGTTGAGTTGCTCATCTATTCACAAAAAAATAATTCTAAATATTTCTGAAATTCATTTTTCCGGCTGCTATCCTGCTAAAGCCGGAACCAAAATATGCATAGATGCAAAAAAAGAAGTTATAAACAAAAAAGAAAAAAAGCACAAATGAGGCGGCTGAAAGACATCTGAGCTGAATCTATTGCGAACGACATCCGCGATGCGACGAATGCGACGTCGGGGATTTCGCGACGTCATCCTCTACTTTTGATGCACCGCTTTTTTCTTTCTTTTTTTCCTTTATTGCCCTTGAGCAAGTAGAGCCAGAGAAGGAAATGAAAAAGCACTTTCGAAACATTTCTAATCACACCCAGGAGGCTATTTTGATATTAGCGTTCCATTGAACTAGAGAAGAAGCGAAAAGAACAAAGGAAAAATATTTCAGATCTTTTTAAATCTAAAACAGAAGAAAAAAAGAGAGGTGGAAAAACAAAGGATTTTTTTCTGATAAAAAAAGGAAAAACGAAAGGAATACAGTATTTTTTTGCGAGATTTTCTCTTCTCCACGTCCAAGTGAGAGGCGTTTTTTTCAACAGAAGCATCCAAAGAAAAAAATAATTTAATACACGGTTGAAAATATTTGGATATCAAAACTTTCTCAGAAGAATCTAGTGAAGGGCTTGAAATCTCGATTTTTGAATTTTTGAGGAAACTAGGCTCAAAAAGCCCTATTTACAGTCGTTTTTGTCGTTTTTGTCGGTTTTTTTGACTTTAGAATGAATTGTTCAAAATTTAAGACTTTTGAGATTATTTCGTACCAAAATTTTTTCTGACAGATTTTTGAAATTTCTAGAATGCTAAATTGCCCTCATTGTGACCTCCTGCTTTTTTTCATACAAAACTTTTTAATCAAAGACAGAAATCTGTTTCGATTTTCACAAGACTTCGAAGCTCTGAATAAAGGAAAGCCACCAGGAAGAAATATTTGAGGTCAGACAACCAAGAAAAAGAAAAACGTCAAACGTCTCAGTTAATTTGATTGAATATGTAGCGACGCTTTGTTGGTTTTTCTGGGAAGGCGAAACAGAAATTAGGCTGAGTAATGTTTTCCTCGCAAAAAAAAGGATGAGAACTTTCCCGGTGAGTGTTTTTCAGCTTCGCTTTACATCTTTTTTTGGTAATTAAATTTTTTAGAACGTCAGAGCAAAACAACAAAAATCGAAAAAAATTAACTTTGAGATAAAAAAATTTCCGAATATTTTTTTCTTTTTCAAGGTTTTTTTGCGGTTGCGAAAAAGTTTTTTTAAATTTTTCAGAACAGGTTCGAAAAAAAGATCAAAAAGAAGGCGGAATATTTTATTTCATAAACATATCTCGCAAAAAAACTTGGCGCTCGGCTTGGACTAAATTTTTCGTAGTTTATTTTTTTCATATGAAAAAAAGTTTGACCTTTCGAATGACTATTTTCTATAAATCACTAACCTTGCCCCTTGAATGAGTAAAATTTGACACCTCAAAATATCTCACTGCTTTCTTTGAAATTCCAAGATATTTTTCTTTCACCGGACCAGTTAAAAAACAAAATTACATCACGAGTGAGTGCTTTTCTTATTTTGAATGAACAATTATTTACTCTCCGCCGCTAATATTTGAATATTGCTGGGCCAAAATACATCGCTAGGTTTTTGATGAGAGAAGAATTTGAAAAAGGGAGAAATTGTTCGGATAACTTTTAGAGCTGTCAAAAGATGATTTGAAGAAGCCGCGAAGAAATTCGAGAAAGCAGACGAAATGTGTCAAGGAATTGATATCTCGTGTCAGCGGGGCAGACAATGAAGCTCAAGATGAATGAAGTTATTCCAGATGTTCCTTTGCTTTTTGAAGTTTTGGCTCAAAAAAAGCACGCATTTCATTCTTTTCGCTGGAAAACTTGATCAAAAAAGAAATGATCCTTCTCAATAGTTAGTAATTTTACAACCAAAAAGCTGATTAATAACCTGCCATAAGGCCTAAAAAAATATGAAAAACGTTTTTTTCTCACTTGAAAGGATTTTTAAAAGCTTATATAAAAAAAATAAACAATTTGAAAATACTGGAATGAAAAAGAAAGAAAAAACTGAAAACATCAAAGATAAATATTTTTTCATATTTTTTTACATCAACGAGAATAAATAGTTCCCGGACTAATGAAAAAGACACTCAAAGCAATCTCGAATAATTCAAGTGTAAAAATAACGAATAGCAATGAAAAGTTGAAAATGCGAACAAAAGATTTGTCACGTCAGCTTCTTTACACTTTTTAACTCTTTCCAAAAAGCTTTAAAAATCAGCAAAAAGTGGCCGAAAGCTGAGTGGGTTTAACAAACTTTTACTCAAAGGAAGGAGATAAGCAAAATGGCGGAGGATATTAAAAAGGACCATAGATGGCCGATATTTTCCCTTTGGGATATCGCCACCCTGTGACATGCCGTTGTCTTTGTCGCCGACTTTTACTCAATCTTTTTTTTGTCTCTCAGAACTCGCATGAAGGCTTGAAGGACGACGATGGCGGTTAAGTGAGTTCTCTTGAGGGAATGGGAAAAAATCATTCGCTGCGAAGTGACATCTAAGCGACTTCCGCTCGGGTTACTATCCCTCAGGAGGAACGGAAGGAAATGAAAGAAAAACAGTTGCTTTAGAAGATCAGCTAGAAGATCAAATCAGCTGTTTCATACAGTTTTTAAGGTTTCGATATCTGGAAGGTTGAATAAGTGTGATCGAACACTTTCAAAGTTTTCATCACGACGTCATGAACCTTCCAACTCTTCTGCAAAATACACATCCAGACAAAAACTTTTGGAAACGTTTTTTTGGAATGGTTAACCGAATTGAAGCTCTGATCTCTTTTGATCAGCTTTGTGTTCTTTATTTCTAGAATTCCATGATTTTGGCCAGAACCACTCGAGTTGTCACGAGAACTTATGATCCGTTCTTTCTAGGTGCGCCAAACTGACAAGAACTCAGAAAAGTCTCTTACGCCTTTCCAAGATAACTCACCAAATGCCACGATGGATGCAAATTTCGAAACACCAAAAACTTTTTCAATCAGTGCGCCTGCGAAGGTGTCGGTTGAAAGAACTTCACTTATAAAACAATGAATTCTGATAGATCAAATAAAAAAATATCAAATGTATGTAGCTGTTAGATCTCCGAATCAAATTCAAGATTTTAAAAGCTCTCATGGAGGCCCTATGAAAATACAGTTCCCCTTTCTTTCATTTTAAGAGCAAAAACACCCGAAAAATCAATAGAATCTAGAATTCGCTAAGCTAAAGTTATACGGTGTTTGTAAAAACGACTACAATTATTTCGAAATCATGTCAGCAATACAATCTGAAAGATTTTTATTTCCAAAGTTCCCTCGAATCCTCAAAAATTTCTTCGGTTCATTCCTTTTTAAATTTTTTTGCCAAAAGCCACCATTCCAACCAAAGTGAGTCTCTTTTCTGTTTTTTCAGGTTTAGAGAAGTTTGCAAAATCTTTTCTCAGACTATAAAAACTACTAAAAAGTAATGGGCACGCAGCTGCGTCCTTTTGGAGTAAAAGTGCAAGTTTAAGACGACCCCGTTTTTTGCAATTTTTTGCAACTTTCAAATTTTTCCTAAAAAATCAAAAGATCACGAACAGAAAGGCTAATAGGTATTATCAAAACCGGTTGGCAATTTGTGCCTTTTGGTCATCTGTTTTTTTTTTTCAATCATAAAATAATAAATTGGGACTTTGCAATAGTTTTTAATAAAACTAATCACGAAAAATTACCTGTTGAGGTTCCAACCTAAATTAGGGAGAATATTCACTTTTTTTTCAGTGGAGCTCCACCGTGTCAAAATGCTTTGCTTGCTTGTTTGTTTAACTACTTTTGTCAGAAAATCGAAACTTTTTCCAGAAGACTTTCATTCGAAGTAGGTTCCTGCAAATACTCGACCAGTCATCGAAATTCCAACCTTGTGAGAAAAAAAATAATACATCCGAATCAAGTCATATTGGTTTTTTGGGGCTCAAATCTGCTATATATTAATTGAAAAATAGTGCTTAAATAATTCAACGCGATTTCAACCATTGCGTAATTTTCACTCGGAAAGCTTTATCAAGGTACGAAGATTTCCGAATCCGGGCTCCCCCGTTTTCGAAGCTGACCATATCAACTCGAAGATGTTCGTGCAGAAAGGCTGGGTAATCGGAACTTCAATTCAACTTTCTACAAAACGGAGAAATAAATTTTTTTTTACATGTGTTACAAAACGACTGCCATGATAGAAATTTGGAAAGTTTTTTTTCGGAAAAAAATGTTTTTAACCAACCTTTTCCCTTTTTTTGTTCGACAATTCATTTGTTCCAGAAGTTAGAAAGTCGCACTCGTTCACTTTAATTCGATACTATCGCTTTTGTTTTTGGCATGAAATCAAAAAAATTGTCACATTTTTGCAAAACCGTACTGTAGCGTAAGCTTTTATAAAACTTTTTAGGCTGCTTATGAAAAAAATTTAATGAGCGCCTACAAAAATAATTCAAACTAATAGTCAGGACCTCTTTATAATTGTTTCGATTAAGATGTGGCATAAGTAGCGGACCTTTTGGTACACTCTTTTTCCATCTTATCGACTTTACAAAAGCCTTCTAAATGAGGAAAAATTAATTGAAATTTTTAATATTCTGTTTCACTTTCTATTGATTTTTTTGCAATTTCGCCGTTAATCAACGATTTACCATCATCAAGAAAAATCTTTTGAAATCTTTCCTTCGAGCTAAAGTGCCCGATCAACTTTTTATCAAAGGTTCTCTCCATCCGAAAACCCATCTATGGAATCAAGAAAAAAAAAGGCAAAGTAAAATATGAAGAATACTTTTCAGAGGTGATTTTCTTCGATTTGTTACAATTTTAAAGTAGCGTGCTCATGGATACACGTTAATACATTGATTAGCCAGCGACTAGAATAGGCCGGCGGGTGTAACGACGGAGACCATCAATTGCAACAACGTGACCATCGTCTTCTCTTTACTTTTTCGCCTCCCAATTACAGCTACTCAATCATTCCGTCCGGCCATATCACTTCAAACATGTTGCCGATTCTGATTAGCTACAATCTTTTTCAGACGTTTTTTTCTTGTTTCGTTTTTCCCGCGTTCGGTTTCTCTTCTTAATAACGGAAGAGAGAGAGAAAGTTTGGAAGTGACTGATTTTTGATAAATGGAAGGAACGCAAGTAACGAAAAAGTTTTGGTGATGAGTTTATTGATGAAGGGAACGGTCGAATCTTTGAAACGAGGTTAGAGAACCCGCTGCAAACGACTTTCAACCTTTTTTTTCTTCTTTTTCTTTTTTATTGGGTTGCTGTTTTACTGCTTCATTTTATTTGGGTACAGTGAGACGTTTAGTTTCTGTCTGAGAATTTCAGAGACACCGTCTTTTTGGTCAATTCCATCAGTTGATGGCTATGTTTTACTTTTCAAAACATACTTTTAAAATTGGGATTTTTTCATTAAAATTATAGAAAATGAGTTATTTTTTTCTCAGAAAGTGTTTTTATTCTAGCGATTATTCACTAACATAAGAAACGTGACCAAATTACTGAAACCACATTTTTTCGAAATTCTCAGAACTTTTTTTTCCGAATTTTGTAGTGGGAAAATTTCTTGGAACGCCCTTCAACACCAACAAAATGAATCACTGAATCTTGAGATAAGTTATTCATCCACGATTTTCAATTTATCAAACCTTATGAGAATTATTTTTCATAGATTTCCATTCGATAATCCATATCTGATAAAAAAATGAATAAGATTTAGAGATTTTTTTCGAAGTAACTAATTTCTAATAGGTAATAATCGATAGTGAGCAACTTTAGAATCAAACGAGAAGCCCAAAAATTTTGCAAACAGTTAAAAAATACAGAAAAAGGAAAATGTTTTTGAGAGCTCTGAAGATCATTTCCACAAAACAATTTTTTGAAGTTGTTTCTATAACTCAGAATTTTGAAAAGCTGTTTTGATATTGAAAGCCAAGCCGCTGGCCACTTTTTCCCATGCCTTACCGATAAAATGGAAAAGAGAAAAGTTTAAAACTTTTCTTCGGGTTTGTGGGTATACTTTTCGCTTCCGTTTCGGCAAAAGTGTCGTCTGCAGACCCATTATTTTTCCCATTTCGAGAGTCCTGATCCACAGTCTGTCGCACCGCAATGGCACCAAGTTGCCCTTTTGAACTTTTTATAATGCCGCCATCCTTATAAACGCCCTTTTGAGGTTTTTTGCACCTTCGAAAGATTCCTCTTTTTTTTACGGTTGCTGACCACGCCTACATACACCGTCTGGAAACATTCACGAGTACTTTTCCTTTTGCAGCGTCTGCAACTCATACCCTCACTAGGCTCTCTGAAAATCCTACTCAGTTTCAGTTTTTCAAGTAGTTATTACAAATTACTTGAGAGTAGTCTATAATAATTTATTCCAGGCCGCTTTGGAAATTTTCTTATGCCTCACATGCGGCTTTTATCGAAATTAGAGTATAGAAAACTTTTCTCATTTTACTCACGTCTTTAAGACCGATTTGAACCATGAAAATTATTGTGAATTTGAACTTGATCCAAAGTTCAACCTATTATTTGCTTCATAGTGAAGTTAACAGCAAACGGTTGCTGACTTCGGAATTTCTAAATACCATCGCCAAATCACTGAAACTTGAGAAAAAGCAATCACCTGGTCCTCATAGTGAAAGAATTCAAAAAAAGGCTATAACTAGATTTTAAAAGAAACGCACACATTCAGGCTATCAAATACAAAATTACAAAGTTTCAAGCTTTTCCGATGTCATTATTGGTTATAAAAAGTCTAACTTTGAGAATCGCTACCACATAGAGCTAGACGTTCAAAAAAAAATTCATATTTTCACGGTGAAAGTTCGGAAATTTGTAGTTTTCTAAGCGACACGTGTATTGCGCCTGTGAAAAAGTCTGGCGGACGGTTTTCGAAAAAAAAATTATTATTTTTTTGATTTTTTGCTTTTGAAACCAAAATGAGCTGTTTCATAAAACTAGACAAAGCTTAGGCTTTTTCTACCCGTCAGTTCGAATAAAATGAACAAACTTGCTATTTTTGGTTTTGCTCCGTTTTCTAAATCTTTTCCTGAAATTTGAATTTGAACTTAGTCAACGGAATGTGAATCCCGTATTATGACCCTTTTAAATCTATCAAGGATTGTTTTGTATTCTTCGGCATTTTTTTCTCATAATTTCAATAAGCAACTGAATTCTTGTATCTAACAGAAAAAATTCAGCCCACGCAACAATTCTTTCCTCTTTTCCACGCATAAAATCAGTGGTGGGCGGCCTTGCGCACAGATCGCGATTCGTCTAAAAGTCACATTTCGATTATTGAATTTGTCTTTCTTTTTTTTTTATGATTTCCTGGCCTATAAAAGCGCCGGGAACAAAGATTCGGCCAAAAATTAGCATGGCGCAACGTTTGAAAGGCATAAATCTGCTGCTGACAACTTCCTTGACTGAATCAATTCATCAGTGTCGGCGTTTCTTTTCCGCCCGCCGCACTGTACAATCATCGTTGCTTTTCTCTCGATCTCTGAACCATCTGATCTGAAGTCGTTCCATTCATTCCCTTCATGTCTTCTTCTCCTGCTCATCTTGCCCTTTTTAGAGCGGAAGTCAACAATGACCGATCACGAGAGCCCTTTCAAGCGCAAGTCATCTTTCCGCCGGCTTCTGACGGTCGGTTTGAACATTCTGAAAAAATTGAAACCCAGACAAACCATCACCGAAAGTGACATCCTGCCTGTGGTTCGTTTCAGTTAATCGAATTAAGTCTTTAAAAAGTGCCAAAGTACCGGAAAAGAGATCTCTGATCGGGTAGAAACTTTTTGTGAAAGATTCCGAAGACAAGTTTTCGAGTACTGTTTAATTCACAGTTGTAGCGTATACGATTTGAAATGTCGCAAATATAAAAATGATCACTGTATATGTTACTGTGAAGACGAAGAAGTATTGTGTTGTTTCTATTTCATTCTGAGCTTTCACAAAAAAATCCTATAATTTTTGACTTAAAGGCTGAAAAACAATTGAAAACGAAGGAAAAATCAGGGCATTGAAATTTTGTGGCAAGCTTCTGAAAATCAATAAGATCGCAAAACCGCCACCGCGACGCTTTGAAACATTCCACACACACTCACGGTTTTTGATAGAAATCACTCAAATAAAAAGTTTTCAAAACTTAAACTTTTTTTTGTCAACGAAGACTATTTGTTTCTTCAGACCATGTCCATAGAGAAGCTTCGAAAAATAGCCAAAAAAAAGCTAGCACCACTCGAAAACAAGCATTTTTCTTGAAAAAAACTGGACATAACAAGAAATCTTATGCACTTGATTTTTAAGCTCAACTTTTCAAATTTCAGAGCAGTCTGCGTCGGTCCAAGCGTTTCTTCTCGCGCAACAACTTTCCTGATGATATCCCAGAAGAAGGAAGCGAGACCGTTTTCCTGGTCCGCGGGGTCAGTTTTTATTTATTTTTTCTCTTCTAATTGTACTTTTCTCATTCTGCAAGACTACAATTTCAGGCGTCGGTGGAAAACCTCCGGGTGGTTGGCCACTACAACTACGATCACGTCTTCACTTCCAAACCAATTGAGCCTCCAAGAGAGTGCCCCATGGTTCGGTTAGTACTGAAATCAAGCAGACGGAAAGAAAGAATTGAAAACTTGCAGCTACTTTCCCAAAGAAGGCAAGTCTTACGACAAAACGTGCCAGCTGCACAGCTTCGAGCGCAAGCGTCGGTAGGAGTGGACCCAAAGCCGGGTATAAATATTGCTTACTTTCTCAGGTCGCACCAGCTTTTTGGAGCTGATCACCACGCGATGGAGGCTCTTTTCTGTCCTCTCCAGGCCAGTCAAGTCGAACTCGAGTTCAAGTCGGTGGCTCAACACGAAACGATCATAAGAGTTAGTTTTTCCTTTGGTTTTCACGACTTGAGAAGACACGACGCGGTCTATTTGGCTAAAAATGGAGTTTTAAAAAGTATTTGTTCTTTATTCGATTATGAAGTATTCTCTCTGCAACATCCAAGTGAACTCGTTAGGGTTCCGCTGATCCGTCAATATATTATTATTATTATAAACATCAATACAGTTTCAAGCTTTCGAAGTCGAATGAAAACAGGAAACACGAAAAAATGACGAAAACTTCATTTTTTACAGATTCACGCTCCCAGCGGAGAGACCAGTCCGTACTTGTATCCAAACAGCCATCGTACTGCTTCTTTCACTCCTACGGCGGTAAGACTTTTCATTTCATTCCCTTGTAGCTCTTGAAATATCAGAAAAATAAGGAACTTTTCCAGGCTGGATGTGGACATGGAAATTGGATTGTCGAGATCGCAATCCGTACTGGCTGTCGCTTCAAACATATCGCTACTGAGACCTTGAACCTCAAGGGACACGGTAATTCTTGAATGCTCCAAAAAAATCTTCATTTTTGGTTTTTTCAAGGACTTCGCGAGTACATCATCCAGACGGACTACACTCTCGCTCAGGGCGAACGTCTTTGGATTGACCACGTCAACTAATTGACATTCTCTTAATTATTAATTATTCAATTATTTCATCTTAATTTTATCTCACGTTAAAATCCTGCCTAAGGGTTAACCTACGGTATTTTGGGAAAGCTTTTTCTTCTTTTAATTTTAGATCTCCTCTTTGCTTTAACGGAGTTATCGAGTAGCGATTTTCGGATCGGAAAAAAACAAATTCATGACTTTGTTGGATTTTTTTAGAACCCCGTGTTGACTTTTTTGGTTTGGAATAAACCTTGTTGGTGGAATCGCGGAAGATTTCTATAAAAAAAGTTATTCTATCGAATATTTGGACTATTCTTTGAATTACTCGCATCACGATGTCGTCTGACAAGGGTCGTAAAATATCCGGTGAAATTGATGCAATTGAATCAAAATCGATTGCTCGGATTTAATTCAGAAAAAAACCAACTTCTACTGTGATCATAAATGAGGATCAATTTATTCATTATCTAGGATGAATGTTTTAGTATAAAACGAAGCAAGTCACTAGAAGGCTTCATTTTTTTCCCGCTGCGAAATTCCCGTAATTTACATTTTTCGACTTCAAATTATTTTTTTTTCCTCTTTCAAAGCAAGAGAAAAAAAACTGCTGTTTTGTTGATTGTCTACAGAGAGATTTTCAAACCGCAGTGAAGAAGTCAACTGAAAAAGATTGAAATATTTAAAAGCGGTTCTTATAAATAATTTGTTCTCAAAACCCTTAGCTACGTAATTTAATTTCGGGCTATGAATTTAATTGAGTTTTTTTCTCAACTCGAAATGCTGATTTTATTTATTGCTATCTCAGTGGGAAAAATTAAAAGAAGAATCTATTTTTCCTTTTTCACTGCTGATTGTGAGTCTCCGACCAGCGCTGAATGAGTCATAGTGTGCTTCTCGTGAGACGGTCACGTTTGAAAGAAATACAGAGAAAAATCTACCTGAAACAGAGTTCTTTTTGTAATTTAGGTGGAAGAAATTGCGAAGACAACCAAAAGCGAAGGTCTAGAAGCGGATTTTGGTCAAATTTGGATTGGTATTTGGTCTTTTTTTTTGCAGGAAAAAAAAGACAAGCTGGCACGGAATGAGGCTTTTATATTGAAGGAAAAAGGGAATACACGGGTAAAAGTGTGAAAAAAGACGGTAGCCCAGGTGCTTCGGCGGCAGCTCGTAAATCCCCGCACATCCATCCAGAAGACATCGTAGAGCGGCTCCGCAATATTTGCATTAGCAATTGGTTACGGAGTGTGTATTGCGACGGTTTTTCCACCCATTTGCACCATATGCAAAGTTTCCGGTAGTCGCCATATGGTGTGACGGCCGACGCCACAATGCAACCCCGTGCTCGTCATTTGTATGTCCGCAGTGTTATTAGAACTCTGCCGAGGTGACTTTTTTTGATTTTTTCTCTTTGTCTGCTCTTTTCGAAGCCTTTGGTTCCAGAAAAAATCTGAAAGAATTCGTTTTTGAGTTTTAAAATCTGCGAAACTGTAAAATCAGATTTTACATGAAAGGGGATTGTTCAGGTAGCAAAGCTCTTTTTTCTAGGCGCTCTGGGATTCATTGAAGTTTGCAGAAGAATTTTTTAATTCTTCATAGAACATTTGATAATGCTTTGCTACAGTTTCACAACTTCTTGATCAGAAAAAAAGTCTCCTAACGGTTGTTTTTGAGTCATATTTGAAAGCTTGCGATAGACAAATTTCAAGGAAAAAAAAGAATACTTTGAATCTTTTAGAGCGACGCAACTCGACGTTAAGGCAAAAGCAAGGAATATCTATTTTTTTTTCCAGACTCCGAACTCTATTTTTTGAACCAAAAAGTGAATGGAACGTTTCTGAATTCCAGAACTGAATCAAGTTTCGATATAAAAAGATAAGTCAGTACCTAAGTTTCCACCAAAAAAAACCTCAACAAGTCAAGTTTCTATCGAAAGGCTTGCTTCACAAAAGTCGGGACTATCCGGTTGAATATGTTTATGCGGAAATCTGTACGAGAGACGATGGACGCCTGCTGCGTAATCTGAGAACCAATGAGGATCTACCAATCTTCTCTTCATTCGTTTCGCCGACCTCGGGTCGTCCCGTCAGTCAACTCTTCTTTCACACTTTTTTGATGGTTTCTTTAGAGTTGTCTTAAGAGTTTTCATGCCTTTTTATGATGCAATCAATTGAAGCCCCTCTCTAAAATCGAGTACAGAAATAATAAAAAACGAATCACCTTTTGAGGTGTTACCTAACTTTTCAACTTCTTAGAAAACATCAGAGGAACCCAAAAAAAAAACTAAGAGGATTTTCCGAGAACTTTGTACAAATTTCTCGAAAACTTGTCAATTCAGCAGCTTCTCTCTGAAATTTGGTCCTTTGGAGACGATTTTGGGAAAAATCCCGGATTAAATCATTTTCCCGCTCCGTATTGCTTCTTGTTCCGAATTTAATGCTATTTCTTGTCATATTCAAAAAAATTTCGCGTTCATAATTGAATGATATTTGAGAACGAGAACAATGTTCCCCTTAAAAGTATCTTCATTAAAAAAATAATCAAAAACGGAACAGTTTTTCACAAATATCGGCAATCTTGACTGAAATTGTTCTCAAGCAGTGTAGTCTCCGTTGAAACTTTATTTTTTAATCTTTTTTATTTTTTTCCCAAACATTTAGACAAACTTTCTTGCATTTTCTTTGCAAGTCTCAAGAAAATGATTGGGACAGCCGCGGACGGACTGTCCATCAGCAGATTGATGAACAGCCGATGCGCGAAGAAGATATCCTCCCTATCTCGTTTCTCTATCAACCAGTCGAATTTGTCAAATCAGTTTCGCTCATTAACTTTCCAACACTTAGGCAACTAATCTCTGTACACACAGCATGGTTTAATTATAATTTTGCTTTGTTTTGCCAGTTTCAATGACAAGATTCCTTCGGTCGAACTGTGTTTTGTGATTGCAGCGCTAGGGCGCCGCGTCGCCAAATTTCGCGATGGGCGTTGGCCGTCATTTACTCTGTCATCTTCTCTAATTATACTTTTTTTCTTTTGGAATTTTGATTTGATTAGGCTTTTTTGAAAGATTCAAAAAATTTCACACTAGAACGGTGTTGCCGTGATCGACTCAATGAAAACATTTGCAGGAAAGTTCTTAAAGTTAGGATTTTTCTGGAAATATTGAAGCCATACCAAAAATAATACTTTTAATGAACTGTTCTTTGTGAATTTTAGTTCACGAATGTTTCCAAAGCTTGATGCTTTTGAACTCGAAATTCTTCCTCTGCAATACTAAATGAAGTTTTGAAGGTAATGACTCATCTTTTCCATATCTTATATTTATTTCCTTCAATGGAAATCGATATTTGTAATAAAGTTTCTTCGGTGTCCAGACTTCATAAAAACCTGGCATAAGAACATTTTCGGAGGAAATTTTTCATTAATTGACCTTGCGTTCTGTATTCACTTCTCAACTTCATCATACATTTCGAAAACCTGTTTTCATGAATCCTTTTCACTCAGCCAGAAGAAATTTATCATTTTGATCTATTGATTCAAACGCACGGCGGGAATATACGTTTTTCATTTTGGAGCTTGCGTTGGGAGTCATTTTTTTTTATCTTTGGGATTTCACTCTAATTCCGACTTGAACTTCAAGTTTTCGATTCAGAGGTTCGGAAAAAACTTCCCGTTATTCTGTTGATATTTATAACTTGTCAATGTGCTGAGTCATTTTTTTATTTTTGAACATAAATCCTTTAAAAAAAGAAAATCATCTCCGGAGGAGAAAACACAGATCGTTATCGTTTTTAACTTTTCATTAATTTTTTTTGAGATCAGCTTTCATTTTTTTATAAATATAGTTCATTCAGGCAAGTGCCGCAACTTTAAAAGCACTCAATCTGAGCGAAAACTCTGAAAAAGCTCAGAAGAATTTTTCATTTATTCTACCAAAGGTGAGACTTTGAAAACACAAGAATCTTGGAGCGATAGCTTTTTGAAAATATTCATTTTGCTTTCAAACTTGAAATTTGTTCCTAACAAGATTTACTGACTGAGCCACCGTATAAAAGAAAACAAAAAGATTGGGAAAATCCATTTTAAGACTGAAGTTCACTTTGATGTTTTACTCTCCAATTCCAACCTTTCGAATCTGACTATTGAAGAGCATCTATCAAACCCTTTTCAAAGGGAAAAGCCAAAATGTTGACGGCGTTTTTGGCACGCGAGTTGACGCGCTTCGAAGACTCGCGAAATTTCAGTCGGCCGCCCTGTCTAGCGCCCTGTTCCTCTGCGCGCGACGTCGTCTCCTTCATCTCGGCCATTGCCCCAAGAACTATCGATTTTCTTATCATTTAATCTTTTACTAGCAAACTGTGCCGACGATTCGTTATGGGGCAAAACTGGCTTAGCGCGGTGATTGAATTTTTTTTTGAGTTTTTGAGAATTTTATTTGGATTGTCCTTATCTCTTGATTATCCTGTAGTTTCGGATCAGAAGCGAGACTTGCTGTAAAGCTTCTTTTTCTTTTGCGTTTTTTTCGTTATTTAAATCTTGATGAAGTTTCATAATTCCATTATTTCAATCATTTTTTTCTGTCTATTCATATTCCGAAATATTTTCCCAATTTGGACACAATCAAAATCCTTAAAGAAAAAAAAACCGACCTAAAATATGGACTTGATGAGTTGCATTCCCACAAGTCCGATTACCAACAAATCACTTCAACCGTTTTTTGCAAGTCTGTTTTTTTTCCACATTCTTCGTCCATCTGACAAGACAAAGCCGATAGTCTCAAAGTTGCGAATGGTCGGCCGCAGAAGCCGCGACAAATTGCCCGACGCTCTCCACTCTGGCCGAAACTGTGTGGGAGCCGCGTTCAAAAACACTATGTGGCAGAGATGGATGCGTTTTTTTGCCGTGTGAGAAAACTGTCGCCGGCCGCTCAGCTTCCCCATCAATCGTCCCCATGTTTCAAAACATCTCACATCCGTTTCCTGTCTTTATTCGCTCCATTCGTTATTTTAGTCGTTTTTTTTCAAAATGGCTGTCTGGAAGGTTCAAAAAAACAGTTCGAAGTTTTTCTTATTTGACTGCATCACATTTGCTTGAAACTCCCTCTTTTTTTTGTTCATCTTATTTTTTTATGCAAATAATCTTTTATCATCGCTAGCTCTAGACAAAATAAATTTTTACATTTTTTCTAACTATGAGTCATTAAATTTTGCGCCTAGCAAATAAGAACTAAACTTCTTGAAGACGGAGGCTGTTTCTTTTCAATAACAATGGATATATTTCATAATCAAATCGCCCTCCTGAAAAGTGTTTTCTGCGCCGGCGCCTGATATTGATCTCGAAGAACGATTTTTTTCTTTAAAATGAGTCATTCGATGAAAGTTTATTTTTGGTCTTTTCAACTTTCTCAGAGAAAGAAAAAGCAGCTTTCATCATAAAAATGACTCAGTTCTGTGCAATTAAAAAATGGAAAAGAAACATATGAAACAGTTTTCAAATTTTAAGAGACTCATCAGAAAATGATAATTTTTAATAAAATTGAAAAGAATGACATGCCTCAATGTCTTAGAAGTCCTTGAATTTTCAAGATAAAGCAGTTGGAAATTCTTTTTGTTTTTATGATCAATCGCTTTCTTTTTTTATCACTTTATCTCCTATACATATCACTTTGAAATTTTTTAAGAATGATGAACGCTCGATAGCCGAAAAAGATGTTGAAGCTTCTGATCATCTGTGCGACAATTTCAGTTGTCGGCTGCGTTGATCACAAATATCGAGGTAATTTTACAAATTATTGGAATTTTTGGGGAAAACGGAAAACTGTAAAAAATCTGAAAAAAAGTCTTTATTCAAAAGTTGCAAAACAAATAATTTTATGGTTTGCAAAATAAAAACTACGGCTTTTTTTCGGAAACGACATTTTTTTCATCTGGCCTGAAACGGTTTATTATTTTTTTTCTATAGTCAAGTTTCGGTTATAAAAAGAAACTTCGGAATTTCCCATTTTTGTCATTTTACCGGTTTTCAGAAACTGTCCCGCGCTTTAAGACACCATACATTCCCAGACATGAGGTGTATCTAGGTGATAAGGTAATTCTTCGAATTTCAGTGAAAGGTTTGAAAAAAGTCCTTTCAGGTTCGTTTGAACTGTCAAACGACGTCCGTAGGACCTACCACTGTGGAATGGTTCCGCAACGGGAAACATTTGAAAGATGAGCTCAATGATCCACGAATAAAACAGGATTCCAACCAAATGACGCTGGACGTTAAGAGAGTCGACGTCTCGGATCAGGTATAAATTTAGAGTTTTTCTTCAATTTGTCAAGTTTTAAATATTGATATTATGTTTTTTTGTCTACAGATTCGACACATCTAAAATCTGATGAAAAAAATGCATTTCAGCCTGAAAAAAAAATTCCAGAAAAAAAGAAGATGAGCTATGAAAACTTGAAACCGAGCGGTGAATGAAATTTTAGATAACTCAACATTATTTAGTTTTTGAGAGAATCCATGAAGTTTTCAGGGTTTGTGGTCATGTACTGTTCATAACCCGGTCGGCCAGATTTCGAGGAACTTCACTATTGAGATAATTGGTACGTTTCTGATTCTTGTGCAGTGTGATTTTGTGTGATTTTCAAGTTTTCTCTATGGCTATCTGTGATCACTCTAGAGCATGATAGTGGATTAAAAGCTCTATCGAATTTTCAATATTTGAAAAAAAAAATCGAAAATTTTGAATTTGAAGCCGTTTCGAACCTTTTGCGACTTTTTCGAGGCGGGCTCTATTTTTCTCATTTCTTTTTTCGGAAAAGTGCTGTGGTGATTCGCATGTGTGAGTTGCAGACTTCTGCGACTATTTCATGATTCCGAGGATCGACCGACGCCGAATCCCGATGGAATGTGTTTGCCTGTGGCGCTATACTCGAGAAAAAGTCCGAAACGACGTCGACTTCTCCGTCGCCACAGAGAAGACGTGCAGCAAATACGCATCTCGGATGATTTCTCGTGCACGAAAGCCCTTTACCAAAAGTATCTGTTTTGATCCTCCGTGTGAAGACGGAGCGAACGCTACCGCCACTCAGCATGTCGTCAAGCATGAACTCGAACTCGAAAGTGAGACTTCTAGACGTCTTTTACTCTTACAGATCCCATCAAGCTGTTTGACTGGCTCACGGAGAGGAAAATCGAAGATGTGACCCATTTGTTGCCTCAGCTTGTGCCTTTTGCGGAGATGAGACGTCTGAGGAAAATGTTGAAAGACTGGCACACTTTGAGCCCTCAGCAGAAACTGGAGAGAGCTCGGCTCATTGTTGAACTGCGCAGTGAACAAGCCGTCGGTAGGCGGGAATCGTGAAAAAGCGAAAAATATCGGAGTTCAAAAATAGATGTAGCGGAACACTGAGATTTTTCTGAAGCTTTGAGTTAAGGTTGATATGTACAAAAACCAGGTTCATAACATGGAAATTTTTCTACACAAAAACTGTAAATAATTTTTTTCGGTAACTTTTTGAACCTTAATTGAGGACTTTTTTTGCAGAAAATAGGAAAAAATCTTTGAAAATTAATGCGAAAAAACCACCATTTTCCTGATATCTGAATTTCATCCTCTCTTCTCCAGACCCTGTCAGCGAAGAAGAGGATGAAGACATCGTGACAGGCGAATTGGTCGCTCCGGATGCGATGCCACAGCAGCTCAACACTACAGATGGTCGAAACACTTCCGGATGACCCAATAATGGCAATTTTTTCAGCTCCTCCAGTTTTCAAAGACACGGACCTCGTAAAAACGATCGCCGTTCCAGCTGGAAGAACTTTGCGACTCAACTGCCGCGCAGATGGATTCCCAGAGCCGAAGGTGAACATTGAAATGAGCTTTGTTTTTAAACTAGGAAAAATCTGAAGCTTTACAAAAAAAGAGCCATTAGCCAGACTCAATCAGATGTTTTCTTAGAAACTTAGAACTGTTGGTTCTTTTGACGAATTATTTGCGAGTTTGAGAAAAAAACTTTAGAATTTAAAATTTTGAGTTAGAAAAAAATAAGTTTGGTTTATGGATAAGGCATCACAAACCAAAAAAAGATGTTTATTCATTTCGAAGGGTATTTCAAAATAAGATGTTTCTCTTAAAACAAAAGTATTTCCTTCTAAACCTCAATGTACCTTCCTAATTTGAGGTCGCCTGGTTCAAAGATGGGTATCCTATCACAAAAGAGTCAATGAGAGCTTCTGGATCAGACTACAAAATCCGTCGTTGGACTTTGGAGCTTGAAGATGCAGTTGAATCAGATACTGGCATGTTTTATTGCGAGGTAATGATAGAAAATGAGCGCTCAAATCAGGAGCATGATTGAGGCTTTCAATCATCTCGACTCCGCGAACAAAACTTTCAACGTCACGATTGTCAACCGTATGAGAAGACCGCCAATTATTGTTCCGAATGTTTTGAAAAACCAGACGGTGAGATATCTCTTTGGTTTTTCTGTAATGACCAAGATTCAGGTAAACGTGAACGGAACTGCTCAGTTTCATTGCAAAGTGGTTTCTGATCTGATTCCTCACATCATGTGGGTACGGGTGAACAGAGTCAATGGAACTTATCATTACTTCAATGAAACTGCAAAGGAGTTTATGTTCAACTACACAGAAGTTGAGAAAATCGAGGTTTGTTATATTTTTTGGAGGGAAAACTGCTTGACTTTGTCCAAAAAGCTCAAAAAAAGTTCAGAACATCATGAAAAATGTATTGTGATAATATCATTGAAATTAACAGGAAATAATTTTTTTTTCGATGTTTTTTGTGTTTCAGAACGCCCACGTCCATCACCGAGGCGACGAATCTTCCTTGACATTGTCTAACGTGACAATGGATCATCAAGGACTTTATGCTTGTCTCTGCGGAAACTCACTTGGAACTGTTAGATTTATCTCTCAAAATTCATCCTAATTTTTTTATTTTTTTCAGACAATGGCTAATGCAACCCTGACTGTCAACGATTTCGTCACAATCCATTTGCTAACTGGAGAAGAAGAGCCGGAATCTACGCCTTGGAACTTCGGTACCGAAATTTTTCAATGAACTTCTATTATGTCGAGTTTCAGTGAGTATGCTGGCGGTGGTATTAGCAATATCTTTGCTCATGACGGCTACGTTAGCGTTCATCACTTGGAGGAACTACAAAAGGAAATTGAGAGAAGATGCGATTGGGTTGATACCAAAAAAGAAGAAGGTAAATTGGTTATTTATTCTAGAGCTTTGTTGAAACTGAAAAATAAGATTACTAATCTGATGGTTGAAAAACAAAAATAAAAACATGGACATACATACTTTATAAACTTCTTCTTCTTTCTTTTAGTAATTTGGTAAAAGAGTAGTAGGAAAACCTCTGAATTGGAAGAAAAAAACACGAAAGTTTCTTCGTTTAAAGAGCCTTTGAAACTTCGGAAAATCAGACTGATTTTGATGAGAAATAATTCACGAGTATGACATGAAGCCTTTCGAACTTAGCTTTGACAAAACTTCTGAATAGCATGCTAGTGTTTTGTATGATTCAGATTCCTGAATTTCTCTTCCAAAATTTTTCAAAGCTTTAATTTTTCAGGTAATCGTCACTCACAAAAAAGCAGCTGATGACAAAGATTGGCCAGATCTTCCTCCTTCCTATCACATCCAGGTTTTTATCAACCTGATTTAAACCTGAAAATATTTGTTAATTTCAAGATCATCGAAGAGCCCATGCCAAAAAACGCCGGTCGTCGTAGGCAGAGGGTCAATTCCGAAGCAATGCTTTCGGAGTATGAAATCGATCCGGATCCAGAATGGGAAATCGACCGAACTAGGTTTTTATCATTGACAAAGGCCAGAAAAATGGAGGAATTTGTAGATTGCGGCTGGTTGATGTATTAGGAGAAGGCGCGTTTGGAGAAGTTTGGAGAGCGATGTTGAAGCCGGATGAGAAAGAAGCTGGAGAGGTAACTTTTGAAAAAGGAAAAAGTTGTAAGGAAAAAAACATCTTCACAGGAAATTCCGGTTGCTGTCAAGAAGTTGAAGTCCTCTGCCCATGAAAAAGAACTCATCGACTTGGTGAGCGAAATGGAAACCTTCAAGGCGAGTTCTTAGAACAAGTTTTGAATTTATAGAAGTTGTTTCAGGTAATCGGTTATCATGAGAACCTTCTCCGTCTTGTTGGTTGCTGCACAGGTACAGGTCCTCTCTACGTGGTGCTCGAACTTTGTCGGCATGGAAACTTGCGGTACATCCGCCTTTTCCGGACTTCTAATTAATTTAAATGTTTCCAGAGACTTCCTGAGAGCTCACCGACCAAAGGATGAAAAAACAGACAAGAAAAAAATGGATGGAGACTTGATGGATTACCTCGAGCCTAGAAAAATCAACGATAAACAGCCCGATAGGGTGAGTTTCCTTCTTGTCATGCTATTCCCATGATTATTCAAACTTTCAGGAGCTCATCCCACACTTGACCCAAAGACATCTTGTTCAGTTTGCTTGGCAAGTTGCCAGAGGAATGGATTTCATGGCCAGTCGGAAAGTAGTTTTATACTGGTCAACCAGAAAAACGAGTTTTCACAGATTATTCATCGAGATCTTGCTGCCAGGAACGTTCTTGTGGCTGATAACCACACGTTGAAAATTTCTGACTTTGGTCTCTCTCGGGACGTCCACTGCAACGATTATTACAGGTGAAATGTTCGAAAAATGTGAAAAAGAACCGAAAGTTCTTCCAATCAATTGAGTTCATAGCAAAATTTAAAAAAAGAACGTCCAGGAAAAAAATAGAAATTTTGACTTTCGTGAAACAGCAATGTAATCTAAAATTTTTTTTGAATTGACAAAGTTCCAATTCGAATTTCTACCGTCATATAATATTTTGTTTTCTAGGAAAAAAGGGAATGGCCGACTTCCGATCAAATGGATGGCTCTTGAAGCTTTGGATTCCCACATGTACACCATCGAAAGCGATGTGTTAGTTATTTCGAAAAACATCATTTTGCTCAAGTTATTTCTATTCAGGTGGTCATTCGGAATTTTGCTTTGGGAGATAATGACCCTCGGCGGGACTCCATATCCCACCATCGCTATGCCACAGCTTTATTCCACGTTGAAAGAAGGATATCGGTATTTTTGTATAGGTTATTCTGCTTCTTATTTCTGGATTGCAGTATGGAATCGCCGCACAACTGCCCAGAAGAAGTCTACAGCATCATGGTCGCTTGCTGGCAGGAGAAACGGGAAAGTCGGCCATCTTTTTCCACGATCGTGGACTATCTTGACTGGATGCTGGCCCAGAGTACGAATGTGCCCACTGATGAAGAATTGGTAATTTCTCAAAAATGCAAGTGCTTCTTCATATTTTATTCAGGCCGCTCAACTGCTGGACACTCCTTTGAGCCAGAACTCGCCAAGTTCGGCAATCGGCCAATTTTCAAAGCCAAGACGCCAGAGACCCCTTTCCGTTCCTGTTAATCTCCCATCAAATGTACGTTTTATGATTGTGAAAATCCATTATGAGCGTCTTCCACCAAAAGCTTCAATGTTAGTTCGGTACATTGGATGTTCATTTCATTTCAGAAGATTCTTATGAGTCTCTAAATACGCTTTGAACAAGACGATCACTAAAAAGTGGCTCAAAATTGGTTAATTTTTGAAACAAAGGATCATTATTTTGAATTTCAATTCAGCCACAACACTCAATTTGTGACGATGAAGAGGAAAGCGAAGTCCTCAACAGTACTGACTACCAACCTTCCATCACGACTCCGTTGATCCAGGACTACTGCAACAGTGATGACAACGCCAATATCCGGTTGCCTTTCCAGAGGATGTTGCCTCGTCAGCAGACCGGTAACCGTTTTGATAAATTGGATGCTCTTCTAACGTCCCGACCTGTGCCAAAAATACGGGGACCCTTCGAAAACTTCTGATAATAGTTTCCCTCTTTTTAACTTCGAGGTTATCTGCAAAGCCGTCCTCAAGATATTTTAAACCGCAAACCGGATTTTGTCGAACGACCTAAAGCAATTATTTCAAAAGCCGATGTCGGTCATGATCAAAAAAAAAATTCTCACAAAGACACCTTTATTTTTTTTTTTGAAGTATAACATTTTTTCTCTGCAACCACAGCAATTTTAATTGAATCGGATGCAAACGGACAAGAAATCTTCACTCAATCTGGAATATTCAGACCCTTGCTCCGAATCGTCGGCAGATCCAGGCATGCCGGACACCTTTGGGTACGTGCGGCCAGCCGCTCTAACGCGAGTTACCAATCTTGCCAACCAGTCGCTTGACTCGGCGATTGGCTCGCCGGCCTGGCACACAAATGAACGGACCTCTAACCAAAATCTCACCGGGGGTGCTTGTTTAGGTTCGTGCTTAATCGCTTATTACACTTCACTCTGTGTGCTGCTTTTTTTGTCTTTTTTGTTAATTTTTAGTTTTATTCTGTTGGAATATTCTCAGTTTAACGGAAGTCTGTGAAATCTAGTCTATCAAAGAAGTCCTACTTGGGTCTTGAAAAGCCCGAAGAATATAGACAGTTTATCTTTTCTCCAGGAGTCGTCCAATTCCGATTATTTTTTTAAAATCCCGAAATACATCTTTTTTTGAGAAAAGTCCAGCGCTTCTGAAAGTTCGCCAAGCCTTTTTTTAACACTCAGAAATAGAAAATGCAGTAACGTTATTAATTCATAATGAGATGCCAAAAAAAGCGTATAAACACTTTTTCGAAAAAAACTGAAAACTCCAAATAAAAAAAGTTTTGAGAAATCAATTTTTTTGTTCACCCCGTGAAAAAAATCCTTTAGAAAAGCGCTAGATGTAGATACATCAATTTTTATTTCGAATTAAAGAGTTTAATCCACTTTAGCACTAGAAAATTAGTGCCAAAATCTAACCACATACAAAGGCCATAGATCCAACTTTATTTTTCATTAGTTTAATTCTAGCTTTTTTCTGTTTTAGAATAAACCGCTGACATGCGAAATTCCGTTGCTTTTTTGGTTGCTCTGACTTTTTCCTTTTATTTTCTTCTTTTTGTGGACCGCATCTTAACCCACCCCACCGTTTTTCTCTTTTTCATTCTACTTTTTGTGGGAATTTCAGAAAAATGATTCTTTTTCAGCTACAGACAGCCCTTTGACTACGCGACATAACCGCGACTACATCAACATATACCCCAATTCCTTTCAAAACACGCGTTTTCCATTTTCCGTCGATAATTGTAAAGAAACGAATATGAACAGGTTTTTTTGAGAAATAACGGTAATATTAGAGTATTTTGAAAGTTTCAGGTCAAAGGACAGTGCAATCAGCGACGTTTGTCATATCACGCCTCATGGCAAGTGCACGCCTTTTTCGACTTCCACCTTAGTTCATCCCACTACTTATCCTGCTAACCGGTGGTGAGAAATTCATACTTGATTTTATACAAGTTTAGAAAAAAATAGCTTGAAATACCTCGGTCGTGTTTTTTTTGGAGTTTTAAATGGAAAAAAATTATTGATTGAAGGTTTATTGAGCGCTATTCGATAGAAGAAAAGTATTTCTTAAGTAACCAGAGCTTGTAAGACTTCAGAAAACGGAAAAAAAAACACGAAAAAAACACTTCTTTCAGTCGAATCCTTCCATTTTCGGAAAGTTTGTTTTCCGATTCTAAATTAACACGTCCCCTCCAAAACAACAAAAGTAGGTTGACGTATTACATGAGTTTCCTGTTTCAGGCCTTCGTTCGCCGCGCGCGAGCCGCTCAAGGACACCGAAACAATCGTTTAATATACAAAAAAAAGCCATGTGAAATTTTTTTCTTTAAGAACTACGGGATGCTCGTTTTCATCGTTGCTAGCTCTCTTTCATAGTTCAATCTGTTGTTTTTTTATCTACTTTTTTTGTAAAACATGATCTGAAACGCTTCGTTTGGTCATTGTATTCTTTCATGTATGTATACAATATTCATCGCTAGTTTGGGAGAAAACTTTTGAAGAAGTGTCTAAAATTTTTCCACGCTAAAAGTATTTTTAAAACTTCTCAAGCTGGCGTGAATGAACTATTAACCTTATCATCTCTCAATCTCACGATTATTTCCTCTCTTTATTGATAAACTCCAAAATCCCACGACTACATCCGGTTCAGTTTATTGCCTGGGAAGTTCTCACATATATAATAGAATCATTGACAATCAAATTTGAGAGGAGGAGAATGTACGGGAACACTGGAAAAAGGGTGAAAACATCAATCGGGTGACCAAGGAGAAAAAAACGACGACAGTTGTTCTTATTTCCGAACGTCGAGCCTTGCGGATTGATTCCAACACTCTTTGCTGACACTTTTTCTCTCTTCCTCATTTTTTTCGCGACTTTTTTTGATTGACATACAAAAAAACTAATTCTACTCAAGGATTTTTTTGATTGAAAAAAAGAGAAAAAAATTCTGGTGGGATTTTTCATTATGCTTGATTATTTTTTTGAAAAATTTTGATATAAGAAGTAAATTACTCTGGAAAAATAGAACTGATAAATTTTATAGGTGCCTAAAAATCGATGCTGCATTATTTTTTTGTGGCTTCAATTTGAATAAGATTATCAATATCAAAACTTTTTTTCAAAATCAATCATTTAAGGGCTTTTTGTAACAACATTCGTCAATAATTTTCAACAAACTTCCAAAAGTTATTCGACTCATCAAAAATACCTTTGAATTGAGTACCCATGAAAAAATGCCTACAAGCTCGTTTTTTTTAGTTAGAGTTCGAGTTTCATTAATTTAAAGTCATTGTTTCACATTATTTCTCAAGAAAAGTTGATAGGAAAAATAAACGATTCGCCAACTTTCGACAAGAAGCTGTAGGGTTTCTGTTGGAGCACTAATCCAGTCAGGCGCTCTGCTTCGATAAAAAAAATGCAACACATGCTCCTTTTCATTTTTGCTCCCTGCTACTGTAGCATTTTTCGTCGTAGTGTGAAGAAGTTGAGGTTTGTTCAAAATTCATTTTTCGAAAGTTTCTCGTTATAGTCCATTTTTCCGGTGTCAAAAAGGAAGACCCTTTAGGAAAAGTTCATATCAGATGAACAAATACCCTATTTCTGAGAACTAAATTTTGAATTGCAATATCCTCCCATAAACTTCGTGGACATTAGAGTTTTCAAATGTGAGAATTTCCTGATAAGGTCTGTTTTGGAAGCTGGGGCTCATCGGGATTCGACGAAATCAAGGTTTATGAAAGATCTAAGTTGACACTTCAGAAATCGATCAGAGTTGCAGTAATCGCTCAAAAAATTAAAAATTTATTATCTTTACACTCATATGCATGCCGCTTGTTTTTCTCAAATCAAAAAAAGAGAATTCAATTCCAAAAGCTCCTCCACAAAATCTATAAAGTTTGGATACCGATAAGGCAATTTTTATGAGCCTTTTCACACGATCAGCGAAATAGTGCGTAAAGAGAAGAGATTCCGACGTTGTGCGAGCTACAGGTTGATGGATTAGAGGTCGCACTCCTAGGAATTCAGTTCTTTAACTTTTAAATATTATCCTTCTATAACTCTCCTAAACAGATTGAATATCCCTAAAAGTGACAGGTTTTATAAATGAGCCTGGGTAAAACTTCTAGGAACTTGAACCATTCTACAGTATAGCTGATTCACGGCTGGCTTGAGCCACCGAAAAAAAGGTCCTGACACGATAATGCACGAGACAGCGCCTGGCTCGTGAAGAGCGCAGACAGGACACGCCCCCTTAGCGTCCCAAGCTGGCCGTGAATCAGCTATAACTCGTCCGGAAAGTCATAATTCAAGGGTTGCGTTCGTTCTTTTCCAAGAATAAAGCGTTGAATTTTTTGAAAGTTGAAAAGAAGTGATATTTTTTGAGAGATTCAATCAGGTCACACTCCCAAAACGGCAACTCTTCTCCGGAGCTCCACCCGAAAAAGCGAAACGGAAGCCGCCAAATGAACAATCTGTCTGTCATCTCCGCAATTTGCATATTCTCAGACGTCGGTCGGTTGCCGAGGTCGCCGCGTATTCGTTTTTTCCTAGACGCCTGAGCCACCGTGCGCGTTTGGGTGACCTCCATAGCACTGCGCCTCCTTTTTTCTACGCTACAATCACGCTGATCTGTCTCGCTCACCTCGTATTGTATCGATTGCACCGTTATAACCTTTTTTGTCACGCTCCTTATCCGACTCGCTTTATTCTTAATTAGGATCAAGTAAGTACGTTTTGAGGAAAGATCAAGTTTTGATACTTCTTGTGAAGTTAGTGTCCTAAGAAACTGAGATGAGGACTGCTTTTTCAGTTTTTTTCCTCACAATTTCTTCTGTCTCAGTCCTATGAAATTTCTTCAACAATTCCAGGTGGGATAGATAAAAATTATCCTTGTCAATTTTTTTTTCATCTTTTGAATATTTCTTAAATTTCCCGAAAGTTTTTTTCAAATTTACATTGACCTGACTTCAGTCTTCCTATAATTATTCTCCTCACCTGAATTTATCTCTATGGTATTTGTCGAGTTCAGAGCAATGTTTCCAGTGAAACTCACTTTTTCGTTGAACTCAGCTTGACGAAGGTCAAAGTAAAATTTTAAGGACCTCAATAAGAATTTTTTAGAAATTTGCACTTGTTTCAATTTTTTTCTTTCAGTTTCTAAGCAAAACGATCAAGGTCGAAGTTTGGAGTCTGCTTTGATTTTTTATTTTGCCCTAATCTTAAACCGTACGATATCCTTTCATTTGAAAATTATCAAGTTGAATAATATTTAATAAGAAAGTTTCAAACTTTCAAGTTTGTCGAATTTCTGAGTATTGGCTATGTTTAAGTTTTTTGCACCAAAGCTCTTTTTTCAGATGAATTAAAGCTTGGATCAGTGGGGCGGGGATTGAAAACATTGGCTTACGCCTTTTTTGTAGGCTTTATCATGAAAAACGAGGTACTCAGAACCCTACTCAAACTAAAATTGTTTTTCTTTTTCTCACTTCGATCGGGATTATTCAGAAAATAAGTCAGCTTTTCGAAGTCCATAGTCTTTTTTTTCAACTTTTGGTACTTATCCGTTCCAATCCAGTTCAGCAAACATTTTCAGAGCTTAGAGCAAATGCTGAGCTTTTTCAAATCTTTTTTTCCGGATTTTCGAAATTTTTTGCTCCAAACTTTTTCTAGCTTTATCGATGAATTTGAATTAATTAACTTTTCAGTAACACTTTGAGATTGAAATTAAGATGAGAACTTTTCTTGAAAACATACTAATCAACCATCCCAGTTGTAAAAATAACGTTTGCACTCTTTCTCACGCTTCATCAATTTCAGAACCTACTCACTTCTGTTTTGTCGTTTTCTTTTTTGCCGGAATACAGTTTTTGAGAAAAAGTCGGCTTCGTGAAACACTTTTGGTAGTTTTTCCGAAGCCGTAAAAGGATTTTATTGCCTCATTCAAGCATAAAAATGTAACGTTGCTCTTTCTTGCAGGGAGTCATCCTCTGAATTTTGTTTGATCTATAGTATCGTTCATAGTTTGACTACAAACGTTTTGGATTATATGAAAGCGTAAAGTCATCTTAAACTATTGCAAATTTTATTTTATCCTCGATCTTCTAAAATTCGTTGAATCATAAAATGGATTTCATTAATTGTCCAAATTGTAACAAAATCAATTTTTTTATCTTATTACATTCCTAGCCAGTGAATTGTTCCGAAAATTGAATGAAGATTAGTAGTCTCAAAGTTTGAAGACCAAACTAGCACATAAAGAGAGCTACAAAAAAAAGACCAGCAAAAATCTGTGAAGAATTCTTGCGCGCAAATTTGAAACCTGAGGAAAGTGCGCTCCACCGAACTTTTGCACGCTCGCGCTTTTTGAATTCTCGGTCTCTGCGGCGAACGTTTAAAAGACCTGGTTGCGGTTTTTTGTTACATCCTTCAAGCGTATTCTCTTTTCTGCTCACGGATCAGTGAGTTTTTATTTAATGCAAAAATTAGAATGTTTGATTTTTTTAACAAACGAAATGTCAATGCATTTTGTAAATTAAAAACTTTTTACTGAAGTTAGTTTTTTTGAAATTTTTCTGAATTCCAAGAGTTTCTCATGTCTTACCAAAAACCGTTTTTAAAAATAATCTATTTTTGCCAGTTTCAACCTCCGAAAATAAAAATAACAACCACCGGTATAATTTGTTTTTTGTTCGACCAAGTTTTGTTACAGCTCATTCGAGGGCTACTCAATTTGAAGACGCCAAACGAATATTTTTTTTTGAGCTAATTCCTTGTAATTGAAGGATATTCGAGTTTCTTTTTTGTAGCATTAGACCACAGAAATGGTTTCGAAACCTACTTTTTGCTTCTGGTTTCTAAGCTTCAAGAATCAGAAAGCTTCTCCAATATTTTGACTGGTTAGTCAAGAGACATACATTTGTCCGTAGGATAAATGAGTCAAAGGCCTCGGTGGATAAATGTTGGTATGGATGCGGAGGACGGGGGCGCTGAATGGAAAGCAAAAAAAAAGGCGAGGGACGAGTGAAGAAACCTGTCCCTTTTGCTTTACGTGCTCCTCTTCTTATTCGCTTATAGACAATTGTTGTTGTTGTAGGTTTCCTCTACTCCCCAATTTTTTCTATTTCACAAAAAAATACTTTTTTTCAAACCAAAAAGAGTCAAAAACTAACAAACTTTGTTTTTCAACATCATTTCCCTCGCCGCTTGCTTTTTCACGCTTCACGCTCCTGCCTTCGGGGGAAAAATAGAGGTATCTCTGCGTTTGTAAATCATTCACCAAATTTGGAATTACGCCCTCACTCCGCCTTTTCTGGGAGAATATAGGTTTTTCGGCCATTTTTCAATTCGAAATAAGAAATTTAAATTTTTGTTACCTTTTGATTTTCTAGATCATGTGGAAAATCAATATCATTCAGTATGAAACAGTGAAAATTAATCCCGATTCCTCGATCGACCGATTATATACGTTTTGAGAAACCCCTTGAAAGCTAGGTAGAGCGGCTTTTGATAATATTCCCTCTTAACATTTTTCATAGTGATAAATCAAACCTAACGGTGGTATGTTTTAATCAAAAACAGGAATGTCAGGCTTCCGCTCAATGAATATCCAATCTTTTTTTGTTTTCTCTGCTCTTAGCGCATATCTGAATTTGTAGTAATTTTCCTTTCTACTGGTGCGACTACAAATTTTCGTTATTGCAGATGTAGGTATACGGAAATTTTTAGACTCAGTACAGTGTTCAGAGTTCAAAAGAAGATAATCGTAGAGAGAAAACAAAGATTAGCACTGAAAAAAGGCGACTCTCGATTTTTTCGCGTTTTAATTAAAATCTTTGTACACGAAGGTTTTCTATAACTGGAAGTAAAATTAGCCCCGTTATCTTTTTTCTTGTGAGGAAGTTTTCTCGGAGTCATAGTATTTCATCTCCAATTTTAAACTTCTGAGCGAAAGACACGAAACTTCAAGCTGAAATAGATGAAAATTATCTTTTACAGTAGGAAGAAACAGTTCCTTCCCTAGAAAAAGTCAGAGATCTTCATATTTGTGAGTCTTGATGAGCGGCCGTGAGCGTGGGTTCTTCCTATTCTTCTTCTGTTTTCCCACGACGGCCTCCAGGCTGCCATCAAAGATTTTTCGCCGAATCCTGGCTTCTTCTTCCATTTTGACACTTTGCTTTCGCGGAAAAGGCCGAAGAAGGAAAGTCCCAAGCAGCGATAGAAATGAAGAAAAGTATAATCGCGTTTTTCCTATTTTCTCTTTGAACTCCATCCGGTCTTGTTCATATTGCGTCTTGTACGGTTTTTGGCTTTGAAATAAAAAAATCTCCTTTTAAAAGTCGAAAAGTGTGAGGCCTCTAGATTCGACAGATTTTTTTTGGTTGAAAGAAAATGCATAAATTCCATCAGTTTTGACTTTTGCGAAATTCAAACTTCAAAACATTAGTAGATGGCAACGAAAACGAAAATCGGAGCCACGTTTTTTTTTTCCAGTGTTCCGGAATCAGTTCCTAGAGTACACTTGAAAATATTCCCATTAAAAGTCCAACCGGGGGCCACAAAACGTTCCCTGATTAGATTTTTAGCGTCCTTTGTGATAAAACGAAAGAACTTCTGACTTTTTTTTGAAGTGAAAGTTGTTATCGAGCTCTCTCCAGTGATTTTTAAGAAAGCGAAAATAAGAATAATTTCATTTTCTAGTTTTGGGATACTCGAAGGTTTTAAGACGGGCTATGTTGGGGAAAAATTAATGAGTATAGAATCTTTTTCGAAAATCGGATCAATTTTGCAAAAAAAGATCTTACATTGTTCACAACATCGATTTTTTTTCCGATTTTTTGAACAGGGAAGTTTTTTCTTCGTTTCTCTATGTCGTTTTCTAATTTATATGTCCGCTAGACGCTTTTTTCACACACACAGACGACAAGCCACGAGGCACGTTATTCGTGGATTTTTTTCACAACCGAACGGCTGCCGGCCGTTCGGCGGGGCTTTTGTTTTTGCTTCATTATTTTCGATGACGTCGGCCGGGGCAAGACCGAACTAACCAACGAGATTCTGCCTCATACGACGGCCGCCGACGTCTTCTTTTCCTTTCTTCTTCTTTTTTTTTCTTCCGTGTTTTGAAAAAGAGATGGATTGATGCACTTATTGGTCTCTCAGTGGTCAGAGCGTAGTTGCCGCTATCTTTTTGAGAGAATTGGTCTTTTCTCGAAACCGCTATCCCTTGTGATTCTAGAATTTGCTTCTTGGAATGAATCTTCTATTTTATTAGTTCTTTTTACAGATTTTTTGGCTCTTTTCTCTCTTTCATCCTTTCGAATCTAATCCATTATTTTTCGTTTATGATTGAACAATAGAAATACTTACCTGAAAATGGTAGTATAAAAGTAGTTAACTTTAGAATGGTTTTTTAAATTGATTTCCTAGCAATAAATTCAGCGTTTCTTCCTCGGTATCAATTTTTCTGAATGAATTCTAAAAGCATATTTTTGAAAAAAGATACTCTTGTTACTGGAATCTGCCTAGTTAAAATGATATAATTTTGCGTTTGAAACTGAAAAAAAGCTAAAGCTTCTATAATTTTTTTAATTTTGAAAATTCTGGAAAGAAACCTCTGATGAATCAAAATTTTGATTCAAAATCCAGTTTCGTGAACAGGATTAACGGAAAAGGGAGGGTTAGGAGCTGCACTTTTGATTGGCTTGGTGTGACTTTGATGTCTGGAAGACCTACAAAGTGCAAAAAAGTGAGGAGGATCTTTTGATTTCTCTGGTTTCTCAAATTTTTGTTCTTTTCGATTGCAGCTGTCGGAAAATGTTCGTTTGAACTTTCTGCCTTTTCAAATTTTCCAAAATCTCTTCATGTTAAAATTGGAGTCTCTTATGGAAATGTTAGGTCAGGTCTTCGTCGATAATGGTCAAAAGCTTTAAAGGTCTTTGTTAAGGGTTTCAAGTTGTTTTTATTTTTCCAAGATGTTCATTCAGTAGTTAAAATGTCAGGAGCGGATCTAATTGTGTCAAACTTCCTACCAGTTATTCTTGTATTTGAAAAACGTTCGGTGCAGATTTTAAAAACTCTACACGCGTTTCAACTTCAAAAAAAAATTCTAAGAAGGGTGATCTTAAGAAATTTTGAAAACTTCAAACTCCATTTCACTGTTTCAACCTTCCTACAAACGAATATATTTTTTCCGAAATCCCAAGCGACTGACGTATATTGGAGTAGTCAAACTATTCAAATAATATTTGTTGTTTTGTACACGCCACCTTATTCTTTATTTTCCGCCTTTCAGAGAAAGGCAAAAAAAAAAAGAAAATTCCAAATAGCATTAGTTTTTGGAAAATAAGAAGAGTGAGGGACGAGAGTCGGTGTGGGAAGAGGAAAAGCGCGGCGAATTTCTCGAGAAGCATATTTGTGAAGAAGGAATTTCTTCTTGTTGTGTGTGTGCCGGAGGGGTGGATATCTGTGGTCCTTGGGACGGATATGGCGAGGCGCGTTTCGACGGCAGAAACAACCGACTTCCCATAGATTCAACTCATTTGCCCAGCTTTTCCTTGCAACGCCGTCGACTGTCGTGAGCCGTCCAATTGACATTCGGCCGCCTTTTTTTCTGCCTTCCTTCTCAGCCCTCCTTTGTTTTTGCCTTCCAGACACCACACGTGTACCCGAATTCCCTTCTTTTCTTCTGGCTCCTCCTTTTCTATCGGTTATTCGATTCTGTCTGGAACGAAGTTGACAACAGTCTGACAGAGATGAACTGTTGTTTCAATGCAACGCTTTCATGAAAGGTAACTTTTTGAGCTTTCGACTGCGGCTTCTTCTGAGGACCATGCTTTTTTTTTTGATTTCTGGTTCCCAGCTTTGTTCGGGCAACTGAAATTACATTCTATGAACTGTTTTTAAGAACTTAGGAAAGTTTTTCGAGAACAGTTTCAAAAAATAGTCCACTTCGTTTTTTCCAATATTTTGTGGTTAAACATCATCCATGATGCGCTGAAGTTTGAAATTGAGTTTGATTTAAAAACTCTGAATGGCTTTCTGATAAATTTACCTTTTCTATTGATTTTCCTTCTAATCAAAGTTTTCATTTCGAAATTTTTATTGACTGCAAAAGGGAAAAACCCTGAAAATTTAGAAAAAGAAAGGTTCCACAGCTTCCACAGGTTTTTGAGAGTCATTTTCAAATGTTCCAGTTTGTGAGGAATAGTAAACTCTTTTTTGCTTCCTCTAATTTATTCTCAATTTCTGTGACGCAAAAAATCAATTTTTATAGCGGTTTAGTAATCATTCAGCATTAGTTAAAGTAAAATTATAGTGCAAGTCCTTAAAGTTTTTTTTTGGTTCTTGAGCAAACTTTTTTCCAAGTTTTTTTTTAATGAACTTACTTTAATAAACCGAAAAAAGTCTCTGAAGCTGGTCCTACTGGGTTGCAAATTATTTGTGCTTGTGTCGATAGACTCTTTCCAAGGTCGCGTTATCAATTAAAAAGTTTCTAACAGCAGGTCTCTTATCTTCAGGTTATCAAAAAAAATCCTCACTCTCGTTTCTTCATATTCTAAGAGTTGAAAAAACAGTCCGAAAACTTCTTCTCAAGTTACTTCTTTCATATTTTCAGAAGGAGCTATAGATGGCATATTTCCTTGCCTAAATCTCATTTTATGCTCTGCTCGGAAGGAAAAATCTAGCCAGCTGTCCTATGCGGTAAAGTATCGCGTATTGGGCTGGAACCAAGAGTCATTTGCCGGCGCTTTCGAATGTTTTTTTCTTTTGGAAAGAGAATGCGACGTGATGTTGGCGCTAGTAGTAGCGCCCTCAAGAGCTTCCGCTTGGAGCGAAGAAGAAAAAAAGAAGAAGCCGCCGCATCCTGCGGCGCTTCCTTCTTTGTGATTCATGCCAGCCCGATAAAAAACCCTTACGGACACTAACCTGCTTTCTTCCAATTGTCTTCGGGATTCAGAACTTTGTTATCTCCTATCGATTGATTTTTTGATAAGTGGTACTTGATCTACAGACCACCGTTTTCAATAGGTTCCCTAACGTATTCAATTAAAATGAAGATTAGTGAATTTGATAAAACTACATTTCTTTGACTACTTTCTAGATAATGTCTCGAGTAGCATTGCTCTCATTGAGAATACCGATCTTTATAGCAAAAGATGACGTTTTTTTCATAGCTTGAAACAATATTTTGATATTTCCGAAAGTTTATTCGAATGCACCCTTTTTCCTTTCATCGAAAATATATTCAGAATTAAATGGACTTCAAAAAAATAAGAGGGACATTTATTCTCTGATGAATTTGAACCTGAGAATTCCTAGGGCTTCTATATTCTTTCTCCTACGTGCTCCTAAACTGGCTCAATTTTTAAAGAATCGAGCAAAACTTATGGCTTCCCTGAGTCACTTTTTTTCGCTTTCAGGGTTTCAGAAATTTGATCGTTTTTTTTTTCATTTTCTAATTGAAAAAAATGCGGAAAGATTTTTTGAAGGTTTATACACATTCTCCTCATAAGGAATTTCTCGCGTTCCGATGATCTCATGATAACTTTAAACAAGAAAACCATGAACTCATGAAAACAGTTGAAAGAAGATTGATATGATGCGGATAGGGATAACCTGAAAGCTTTTACAGTACCCTAAATGTTTTTTTCGGTCCACGAGAGAATCATTCCCACTGTTGATGATCAGACGATTCCGTTCTTTTCTTTTTCATCATTTTATTATGTTATTCCAATGAATACTTATTTGATACTTTCCCATATTTTTTCCAGGAAAATGACATTTGACTGGATTCTGATTTTTCAGCAAAACGTTGGCCACGGCGTCAATCGGATACACGGGACGCTCTCCCATTGAGAGCATGCAGAACATGATATCTAGTGCTGCTGGCGGCTCCTACGGCCATGGTAAACTTTTTGAAAATGCTTTGATCATTTTATACAGCTCAATATAATCGCGTTGAGTCTTATGATCTGATAAATGAAATAAGATCAAAATTCTGAAAAGTCGAAATTGCGAAGACCGAAAATCCTGATAGTAATGACAATAAGTATCAGATTTGTGAGCTTTCAATTCGACAAAATGAATTTTACCTTAGAAATTAGGGAAAATAGGAAGTGCCTAATTTGTAGAATTTCAGGTTATTAGGAAGTGAAAACTGTTCTTGTTGAGTTCTTAAATCAGAGCTCAACTGAAAAACAAGATTACTGCCACGCGTTTTAAAAATCACACTTCAAAGTTCAATTAAAAGCTCTCAAAACTATCGGTTTTTCAGAAGTAAACGTTTTTTGATCCTATTAAAACACGGCAATTTCTTGAAATTATTGTTTATTTAGTACACAAACATTTTTTTTGTATTTTGTACTTTGCGCTTCCCACAGAATATCGATGATCACTGGTAAATTGACCTCAAAGAAAAATAGGTGATATTTCTGCAATTTCCTACATTTCATAGTAACTGCGCGAGTGCAGCTGAAACTTTGAATGAAACTTGCAGATTTTTTGATTTAACTAATTTGATGTTTTTGAGTCTCCTTCACGTAGTCAATTTTTTCGCTAGCTTTTTTTTTGAAAAGTTTGAGAGAAGCTTCATTTTTTTTCGCAGAAAACTCATAGATTTAGGATCATCCGCGCTTAACTTAGACTTTCATTTTTCAATCTCATAAGTCAAAAAAAGAAAATGCAACGCCTAAAAATTGAAAAGACGCGGCAAACCAGAAAGTTTCGAAATGTAGGGACGGAAAGACAGGTATACTGTAGAGGTTTGATGGGTTTCGCTTGTTTCAAATCTTATCTTTGGCAGACGAGGCAATGCTTTTAGAGATTACAGTACCCGGTGGAAATAGAATGAAGGTTTTGTTTCTTCTCCTTCTCGGAAAAACCCTTCGAACGTTTATTAAACTGGTTTTATCTGAATCCGATAGGTTTATCGAAATTCTCTTCATCCTTTTCTATAAGTTTGCAGTTTTAGAAAAGTGTTTTGACTACGATTTTTCCTATTGAAAGCCGTTTTTAAGTCAATAAAGCTACCTGTTTTATTTATTCGTTGCGTTTGATGGAATTAAGAGTTTTTCCGGTACAACAGACAGCTTCATTCATTTGATTACCGCTTGTTGTTGGTTTCAACTGTTTGGAAAATAGGCCTTTTTATTGATTTTATCCATTTCTCACCTCTTCAAAGTTCTTTCACTAATTACTTATAAACGCGTGATTTCCCTAAGTCAACTTCATATCAAACTTCTTTTTTTGATGTGTCCAGATAAGCTCTGAATAGAATAAAACACGAAATTCGGAAAGAAAGTAAATTTTTCTTTTTTTTTAGGCTGTAGCTCTTGAATACATTGAGGTTCGCTGATATATTTAAACTGCAAAGCCCATTTTCGCAATTCAAAAACTCTTCCGATCTATCACGGTTTGCGCGCGATCGCTTTTGTAAAATTGAAAAGAACTTAAAACCTGTTCTGTTTCTAAAAGAATAAAATAAAAGAAATCTCGTTAAACTTTGACAGATTTAGACAATATCCGATATTTAGAACCAAAAAAAAAATTTTTTTTTTTGATTAAATAATATTTATTCCAGTGAACATGATGCCGATGGGTCAGCCGATGACATCGCCGATGAATCCTGGAATGAACCATGGGATGAATCCGGCGATGAATCCAGGAATGAATCCGGCGATGAACGGACGGCCAATGAGTTTCCGCGCTCCCGGCGTTCCACCATCGTCCTCGATGGCGCCTGGACCAATGGGCATGCCTCCACAGGATACCACGTTAGTTCATTTCTGCTTTCGTCGATTTTTTGTTCACGGATAAATTAACCTTCTACATGTTTCTGTGCATGCTTCGCTCTTGCTCTCAAGGATCTGCTCTATTAATAACTGTATAAGCGACATGATGGAATAAAAGCTAGCAAAGTTGGATACTCCTGGGGAAGCTCTGAGTCGAAAATCAAAATTTTGCGCTTTTTTAAAAGTTCAAATTTGAGATTTTGTTTGAAATATTGAAGAATGCTCGCTGAAGAAATTAGCCCGAACATCCGAGAAAAAAATAAAGGGACGCGTGGCCTGAAACCGGTTTTTGTCAGGTTGGAAAAGTGACATCATGAGTTTTACTGATAATGTTATGAAATTTTTGGTCAGGCTCGATTTTTTTTCTTTTTCATTAACATTTTTTGTGAATTTTGACTAGATATAGCGAACTATGAATAAATAAAACATTTTTCATTAAAACCATCTTTTACTTCAAACTTAGATGATCCGATTATTATAGAAAACTGGCTAGTTGAGAATGGTTTTCAATGTCGTCAACTTGAAAATAAATACTCGACCTACCCTAATTTTGCAATAATAAGGCTGTTTACCGAAACCTTTCAAAGTCTTTCATTTGACCTCAATGTTCCGTGCGATCCTAAAAATAACTCACAGCTTCTTCAAGAGTATTTTGGCAACAACCTCGGCGAAAAATTTCGTCATGTCTTCTCCCTTTTTTGCATTGCCTCAATGCTTTAACGAATAACAAGCCGTCGCACCTTCACAGCCAGAATGTTTATGCAAATGTGAACTGCATTTTGAAGTGCCATCACCGAGATCAATATTCAACAATAACCCGCTTAATACACATTCCGGTTTCAACTCTCTCCGCGGCCATACACTACTTCATGAGTAATTGCCGATTTGTGATGCGCTCTGGTTATGTTGGAAAAGAAAAAAACTCAAATCCCACCTGTGTTGGATATTTACTTCTCTTCTGATTTTTCGATAGTTTTATTTCCCAATTCAGTTTATTTACGACTGTTTTCCGCTGTAAATCAACCATCAATCAACGGAATTGTAAACGGCGAGTCTGCGACAGCCGAATGTCATAATTCAAAAGGGCTTGACTAATTAATTTTTGGGCCGGCTCAAGCGTAACGAACGCTTTTCGGCTCAACTTTTCGATTCAGTGTGCTCCATGTGCCGCGACGTAGATCACTTCGATCGCACGTGGAATGACTCGAAAGTTGTATTTCATTTACGGTTTTCACGAGAAGGCAAAATTCAAAACTCCATCAAAAACCACAGGGTGAAAACAAAGCCTTGAGCCATTCCACATGCGACCCCGGCGTTTAAAATCGCTGAGAATTGACTTCATCAACTCTTAGAAGACCGCAGTTCGTGCTCGCCACGTATTATTCGTAGAATTAGATATTCAATGCATAGAAAAACGAGGAAGCACGGCAATTGTCGTTTATTTTGTGTCAATGATTCCGGTTTGCCGACACACATACTCCAGAAAAAAAATGGTTGATATAGAAATTAAAGATGATTTCTGAAGAGTTTGAGGATGTGGAAAGACATTAATTGAAGCTCGCCTTTCACCTTCAATAAACTTTTTTTTTCACTGAAAGAAATCTGAAATTCTCTTGAAAAGCCTATTTCTTAGTTTGTACTGTATGAAAAACAAATCATAGTTAGTTTGTTTTTCTTCGACTGTTTTGCTCCCACGGAATTTTCCACGAAAATTACGAGAACCTGCAATAAGGCTACCTGTGAAAAAAAAATCAGTTTTCTTGTTCGAATAAACAAACCTAGCTCATTTTATTGATAAGAACTTTTGAAGCTCAATTCCTCTGAGATTTTCTGACTGATTCTCTCAACCAGCTTGTATCCTAAACCGAAAGGAAAAGCCTTGAATTTTATTTTTTCTTCAGTAATAACTTTCATGACCCAAGTTTAACATAAGAAAATGCTTTTTCCGTCAAAAATGTTTCATGGTTTTATCTTATTCGAACCCGTTTTATGTTTAGTTACTTGAGCCACAGCTGATAAAATATCTTGGTAATATTTTTTCCTCCTATACTTTCGAAATTGATATTTCCTAGTTTGATTTCATTTCGAACGAAACATTTCAAAACCGAAAAATTTTCAAACTTACGTGGTACTTATAACGTGACGTCATTTTCCGTTGCATTCGAATACCAAAAAGCCCTTTTTCGGACTCAATCCATGAAAAAGTTAACGTCTTTTTTGCAAAGCTTGAAGCTCACGTGTTTCCCACAGTATGGCGTCATTCTCTTTTTTTCTGCATTTTTTTCACCGACCAGCCATGTTTAACAAAGTTTCTTTTCAAAAAAAAAACTTCCTTTTGGAATCTTGGCCTTTTTATTGTTGAGATCGGATGCATTTTACATGTTGCCACCCACAAAACTTTATAAGCTTTTAGAAGATAATGTTTTTCAAAGCTCCAAGTGCCGAACCGCTTCTTAATTTGAAGTTTTTTTTTTCATATTCTTCTCACTTCCAGCCAACCCAGACAGTTTTTTCTATTTCTAAGAGCAAATGTTTCAAAAGCTCTTCTTTTGGGATTTTTTCATCATAGTTCTCCCAAACGTTTTAAAAAGTTTTTTGAAGTATTTCACGATTTCTTGAAATATAATGATCTTTTTTCTCAAAGAAGTATGTTTTTCTATCCAGCTTCCACCTTTTTTTCGATTCAAGTGTATTTTTTTATTGAAGTCTGTAAGTCCTCCGTTTCTCAGGAATCTATGTCTTTTCAATAGATCAATTTGTACTCCGCTTATGGATCGATTCCTTTTTGGTTTCGCTTCTTTTCCAACCCCTATGGCTCATTTTGGGGGGTCAGCAGCTTTCAGCTTCTGAAAAGGTCATGTCTTTTCGAAACTTGAAGCTCGATGGCCAAGACAAAGTCCCTCATTTGCCAAGCTCTTGTTCGCCGTCGTTAATTACAAACGTCGAAGAGCGCTGACCTCTGAAGCCTCTTGGGAGGTTCGGAGGAAGAGGATACCTCTTGGCGACGTCGTCGACGACGACCCCCATACGCTCGATCCGAACTATGTCTCAACCTCTTTCCATCCCTCATACCACCGACGGAAGGGTGTGGCCAACCTCCAACTGTTTGCGCACGCTTCTTCTTCCTCGTGGTGAGCGCTATTTTGTCGCCGACCTCTTCTCTCCTGCCTCCGTCTCGGTTGCGCTGTTTTCCGCCGACCAGGATGACCCTACCGCATGGACTTTCTCTGCGTGTCGCGCCTACACTACGCTCACGACAATGCAAGCGTGTGTGTGAGTGCGAGTGTGAGCTTTTCCGTGAGTTCTCTGTGTGAGCGTGAGAGCGCGACTTGCTTCTCTCCGCTCCACGAGCTCATGTCGCATTGGCTGATTCGACCCAGTTGTGGCGGCTTTTCCAAAATTTTTTCGACGAACACCTCTCTTTGGTCCACTAAATGGATTTGAACCGAAGCTAAGATTCGATAGAAAAAATTCAAAAAAAATCTAACCATTTTCAAAGGTTTTCAAAATTGTGGAAAGATTTTATTCCATTTTATTTTTCGCTCGAAAAATCTTGAAAATTTTAACCACGATCAGTTTATCAAGTTGAAACTAAACATTTAAGCCATGTTTTTGTAATAGAAGCATTTTTCAAGTTTTTCTAAAGGTCAGCTTTTATGTCCTCGAGTCGGCAAAGTTCAGTTTTCAGACTCACGTTTTACTCCTTTTTTCGTTTTTACAGCCATTGATGATATTTCAAAATCTCCTTTTTTCTAGCTTTAATCACGTTTCAGCTTATTTTTATTTTCTCCAAAGCCTTGATGAGTCGTCTTAAAAGCTCAGCCAAACAATTTCCAGCCGATCTACTGGGAATTTCTCTAAAGATCAGTCACTTTTGTTCTTTTTTCTAATCGCTTATTGCAACATTTTTGTTGCGGAAAGCTCAAAATTATAGGTTGCTCGAGATAATCTGTTTTATTTGAACGGCTGTTCTCAGAGAAAAATGCTAGGTGTAAAATTTCTCAGGTTTTTTTTCGGAATTTTCTCACGAAAATTTTTTCTGTTGACGAGTTTGTGAATAATTCGATTATGACGCACCTTTTGAATTCATTTGAACTTTGACCTAGAAGTTGGAGGTTTCAAATTCCTGAGTATTAAATTCAAATCGTTCCTCCTTTTTTTTTGAGAAAGTTCAAGATCCTAAAAAAAGTGGGTCCGAGAATCGGACCGACCTTGACTGTTGCCTCGTGTTCTACTTAATCTTGTTTGGCCCACATTTGACTACTGTTCGTTTCGATGTCCGTTGGTTTTTTCGTCCATTCTCGTTTACTTCTTTGCAAATGTTGGCGTTCCAAAGCTGGGGAGACAATTAAAAAAAGGAGCAAAACTTTTCAATTAAGCTCAGAAATGCGAGAGAGAGAAACAAACGTAAAATTCTGGACCACTGATATCTGGAAGGATATCAATTATTTGAACAGAAAAATGACGAGAAAGGTCAAAAAACTTATCCTGTTTTTTCAAAAAAAAGTTTAGATTTCTAGTTCAGATAAAAACTACATGAATTATTCCCTACCAAGGATCGGAAAAAATTCTTTTTAAATTTTGAATTGAAAAGTTTTTCGAAATTCACCCAAAGCTGGGCTTATTAGAGATAGGACAAGTTGAAATTCAAATCTTGCTTTTTCAGATTACGAGGCAAGCTTTTTTTGAAACTTTCAAATTATCTTATTCCATGAAATGTTTGAAAAAAACGTAAATTTTTTTATTTTTTTGTATATAAATTTTTTTCCACGCCCAGTTCAACTTCTTCCCGCATTTTTTTCAATTTGCAAAGCCAGTTCCTTGTTTTTTCAGTTTTATTTTTCTATTTTGTTGTGTGGTTTTAAATCAAAAAATCAGACAGACACTAATGACATGTAATCTAGTCTTCGAAAAATTTGCTCTCTCTGAAACTTTGCAAAAATGTTATTTTCCAGTTGCCATGTTACTTTAAGATTTATTTCAAATTCATATGTTTGGGGAAACCTGTTGAATCTTCCGATTTTCAGTAACCTTTTCGAACGCAAATCATTCTCAGCTGTAGAAATCGTGTGAACTTCCGTTTCTTTTAGACTACTGTACCTTTTTTCTGACTTTTCTTTGAGACTTCTCTGCTTTAATCGTTCCAATTTCCGAGTTTCCAAAGCTCAAACGCAATTTGAAACATCGTTATCTGCTGACCCGGTCGTTATCCTTTGATTGCGCGTGCAGCTGCCGGACGTTTTGCAGCTGCGCGTTCGTTTTGCCCATTACCGGCTGATCCGCTTGTTTCGTTCTCTTTTGTTCCTTTTCAGTAGCGAAAAATGCAGGGAGTTCTCCTACAGTTCTGGAAATTGTCGAAATTATTTGGTCGGAATAAAATTAAACAGCGATTTTTTTAAATTAATAATAAAAACCATTTTTTTCTAGGTCTTGAACAGATTACGCTCTTTTTTTCCGAAAGAATCAGATAATTGCAAACTTTTTCAGCGTTGACCTACCTGACGAATGTCTAACTTTTTCCAAAAAAACCATTCTATTCAAATGAAATCTGAAATTTGAAAAACTAGCTGCCTTATGAACTTCCGATTTTTCGATTCTTCGTGAAACTTCGAAAAATGGTATTATTTTTGAATTATTTTTCGTGATTTTTCAATGTTTCGAGCCTTTTTTTTTATCTGTAAACGTCAGCCCATAGACCATTCCGCTAATCTCTTTTTTTTGACACGTATTGACCTTATTAACAGGATTAAGATGAATAGACTTTGCCTACTTCTCTAATAGAACATTTCGGTTTCCTTTTTATACTTTGAACTCTTTTGCCGATTGCTCAATGAAGGAATATAAAAGTAATAGATTGTAGCTTTCAAATAAGTTCAGGAACTCTAAAGAACCAGAAAAGTTCTCTCTTTACCCAAATCTTTTGCATCCGCTCTTTGGCTTGTTTTCTGAATTTTTGACACGGAATTCCGCAAGCAACAGCTGTTTCTTCAGACGCTCATAGTTTGGTTTCTTATCAAGCCTATCGTTTTTCTTTCTTCCTTTTTTACAGTGTCAGACACTCCGTTCCTTTTTTTGCATGTTGTCCTTGCGAGTGTGTTTGACGCCATCCAGTGGTCAATTGTACTCTGGTCGTTCATTAACTAGATTTCCTCATTCTTCATGTCTATTTCCGTTCGTCTAGCCCTCTAATTTTAGATTCTATGCAGAACTTCGTCTTTTGTAACACTTCAGCATTGTTTTGCAATTTTTTTCCGGTTGTATCACTTTCACTTTTACGATTGATATGAACCTTATCTTCCTATCTTTCATTTGCGTTCCGCCACGTGAGTGAGAAAGAATTATTAGCCGTCAGAATGTTGCGATTTCTAAGCTTCATCTCAGTTTTGAGCCGAAAATCGCGTGAATTTAACCCGCTTTCTTGGCCATTCAGTAGTTTACGCTATTTGGGCGGCAGGGGAGGAATCTGCTCGCGCGTTCGATAATCCTGTCACGAGCTTGAATTTCTCCGCTTCGTTTTTTTTCTACGATTTACTCAGTTAACCTTTTCTACTTGGGTAATTGCCAAAAGTTTCTTAGGGTTTTCTTTTGAAGTTTTCTTGTATTTTTTTCGGAACGTTACGAAGATTCTAAGCTATTGACGGCCTCGATGATGATAAAAATGATAATTCAACCATTTCAGCTTCGAGCTGAATCTTTTTCATTCCTAAAGCGTTTTATTGGGATCAAGTCCTGGTTTTATTTATAGTGAAAAAAGCTAATTGAAAATAGCTCTCTCCATTCATATCTCGGAATGGTCAAATCTCTGCTTGCTCGTTTCATGTCTCGAAACTTACGATTCATCTCATTTATCAAAAAAATTCGCCAAAAAATTTCATCATACTTCGAAAACCTTGAAAAATTGTCAAGCTTCTCTTCTTTTTGAACTTCATTGTTTTTCGAGCTTATATGTGAATTTTGATCTCACCCACGACTCTCAATAACTTCAACTACATCTTAGCGTAGTGCCTATAATTATTAGCAAGAAGCTGCAATTTCATGTTCTTTTTTTCTTATTCTCAGAAACTCCCTCGCATTTTTTTAACTTTTTTTCTATGAAAATTTCTACTTTCCCTGTTCCCATCTAATATATAAATAAAGGGAACCATAATTATAGGTTTAGTATTCATAAATTAAAACGTAATATTATTAGATCTAGGAAAAAGTCCGTTTATGATTTTTAATCAAATTCTGTTGAAGATTTATAGCCCATTCTCAACTTGATAAAAGGTTTTTTTTTAATTTCCAAGGTTGTTGTCCTGAAATTAGGTTTTATTGTCCACGCGCTTTATTTATGGTTCTTATCGTCTTTCGAAGAGAAAGTTTGGAAAAGAATAGTGAATTATTGTTCGAATTAAAGATTTTTTTGAAGAAATTCAGAGATTATTTTTCAGTTGAAATCAAGTCCAATTTTTTTCTCTTCTGAAATTTTTTTAATTTTTTTCAGATTTAACCTCAAAGCTGATTCACCTGAATCAAAGGTCTGAAGTTCGAAATCTCACCCTTTTTTTTCTCAAAAAATATGATTGTAGTCAGGTGCAATAATTTTCTCGTGGAGGCGGAAAGTTCCGAGTTCAGAACATCCGACTCTTTCAGTTTCGTTATCCTTTATTGATATTTTTTGGATTTTTTCTCAGATTTCAGTGAATACATCAAAGTGAGGGAAACAAAATGTCGACACTTGAAATTTCATAGATTTGCAAACAATTTGAGTTTTAAATTGGACATTTTTCTTTAATTTTGAAATATAGCCATGACATTTTGGAATAACTTTTACATACAAGTTGATACTTTGAAAAGCGAACTGCTCAAATATTCTATTTTGAAAAATATTTTCCTATTTTTTTTGAGATGTCTTTGAAAAGTGACCGAAAACGGGAAATGAGAAAGGAGTATTCAGTTTTTAAGGCAAAACAGAAAAAATTGACAATAAAATAAATTCTTCACAGAAGCCGATGGTATCAGAAAAAATACAAAACCCTTAAATGAAACTTTTGATTCTTTTCGAACTCTGGAAACTATCAGAATATCTTATTTTGATAACATGAAAAATGAAAAGTCATATCTTATTAGTAAAAAAGATTTTTCAATTGTAGTCCAATATTAAGTTCGAAAAATTCAAACCTTTGGATGTGACTCAGAAATTCGCTGTTCTCTCAAGTTCTCTGATTTGAATTAGCCGATAGAATTATTTTCGGTTATTTTTCAGAAAATCCATAATTTTCTTCCTAGTTTGAACCGAAAAATTCAACAAAAACTCATAAAACCGACGGCAAAGGTCGAGTGCCCATAAAAGGGATATCGGACAAACGAATCGAGGTTTCGCGTGAACAGCTATCGGTCGGGGTCATCTGATGGCTATCATTTAGCCTTTCTGATGACAGCCTCCCGCTCTTTACCATGCACTTCCAGCGCGTATATAATTCATGCGAGCACTACCTTTCATATCAAACTTCTTGCTTTATTTGTCTAGGGCTTTGTGATCTTATAAAGAAATTTTAAATCGGAAAAACCATTGCGACCTTTGTTCTTTTTTTTTCATTTTTGTTGAGTCTCCGCCTCTTTTGCCTCATGATGGGGCATACGGTCGTCAGCTCACGGCTTGGGGATTTCCCTTGGGGACACTTTTCGATCTTTTGCATGAAATATCGCCCTGTTTTGTCTCTTCTGCCTTTTCCTTTGAATCTCTTCGTTTTGGTAGTACTTGCTGTAATGTTTCGAAAATATCGGTTTTTTCTTTCAAAGTGAACATTTTCTGTTTCTTAGAAGGGCTCATCAAAATTCGTATAAGAGTCTGCTTTTTTCAAGTTTTACAAAATTTTTGGCGAAATTCCGCTCTTGCTCAATTTTCAAAACTTTCAGTTTCATCTTCTAATTTTCCATTTTTTTTTTTGTTTTCTCTAGGAGAATAACTTTTAAACCTGCAGTTTGACGAAAGTTTCAAGAATGTGTAGGTTCTTCCAATTCAAATAATCTCCAATGAAAAGAGTATAGAGCGTTGTTTGGTACTGAGAAATCAAACCTTTCACAATATTTTCGAAAGCTTTTAGAAATTTTAAATTTCATTCAATTATGTTCTGGTCCAAGGAAAAACGTTGTGATTTATTCCTCCGAATCGTACAGTTTCAACTCGATTCTTCCGTTTCCGTTGAGCTATTCGGGCTTTCCGTTTTACTTTATCTGATTTCTTGATGATTTAGGAACCGATTCAATTTGAAATAGTCTTGTAATTTGTTCAAAATTCAAAATCTTCCAGTGTAAATGGAAAAGTGATGAAAGTTTGAAGACGTCATGACTACTCGAAACTCCCTTGTATCTGGAAATATTGATAGAATAGAGATCAGAACAAAGCCTGAATAGTACTGCTCAGTTATTCTCTCACATTTTAGGCGTTACAATTTTTTTTCTAGCTTCTAGGTCTTTTCTACATCTTTAATCTGATCTGACATGTGTATTGGGAGAGTTAATTTTTTTTTCGATTTTTTGGTAGCACCCCTTTTTTCGAATATTTTCAGACAGACCTGTTCTATCTTTTTCATTACAAAATAATCTTTGTCAGCCGAAGAAGTTTTTCTCGAAAAATAGGACCTTTCGCTTTCTCACTGTCCGCAATGCGTTTGAAAACCTAGGTACATGTTTTGGAATGTTATCTGTCGAAAGAACGCTGGATCGAAATGTTTTGAGATAGAAGATAACCGAGGAAAATGTTTTGAGAAAACGTCCTCAATCATATCGTTTCCGAGCGTCTGCTAAGCTGATACACTCTCTAAAATCTGTGTTCGATAAGGTTGATCAAGCTATTTTTGAGTTCGAAACTTGTTTTTATTCTAAGGATCGTTCTATTCAAATCATTCCTGACCATCATTTTGGTGTTCGAAGTAAAATAGCGACGGGAAGCGGAGGACCAACCCAGCGACCCTCGTTTCCAACCTTCCCTCTGTTGTTCTCCGTGTTCTCCTCGACGTCTCTGCTTCTATCGATTCAAACAGAGGGCTTGTTTAGCATGTTGTGTTGACCTCCTGTCTTCGGAGGAGCCATCCGAAGACGTCAACGGCTTCTGGGAATATACAATTGTGTTTGGCAAGCGTGAAGAAAAACCACCGAGGCTTTGGGGAACAAAACCCAACGCGATAAGCAACCACCATCGTCAGAGGCGCTTATCAACCATTGATGAGATCTGTTCTGATGATAACGATTCGAGTGGAGCGTGTTTTGATAGATTGACTACGGCAGAGATAAGTTGTAAGAACGGAAAAAAAGAGTTTGAATGTTGAGGCACCGATGGTAAATGTCTCGATGGTTGTAAGAGATAAAATAAATTGAGGTCTCGACCTCAAGTTTTTTCCATTTCACAGAACTTTTCAATGATTTCAACTAGAAGGTTCAAATTAATTTAGCTGGCTTCGAAATAATCAACACTTAGTTTCTCTCCTGAAGATCACGAAAATGGTTACTGTCAAAAAAAATTTTATTGAAATTCATCTTTTTCATGAGATTCAAGCTATCGAAGTCACCTGAAGACTGTATACTCCAACTTCAAAAAATGACTCATTCTCATGCAATGATGATGAGAAGTTCATTTTTTTTTCTCAGATTACTTTTACCAAAAAAACCGAATCCGGTTCTATCAAGTAATGCTTCTCTTCGCGGAACAAAAAAAATGTTTGCGAATAGTTCAAGAGCGGGCGTCAAGCTCCGGAAAGGTGGAGGTGTACGAACTGAGTCATTTCAACCACATTCAATGCAAAAAGGTCCTAGCTTTTCTCTTATTTGTTCGAAATAATAAATCGACATTTTCTTTGGCGGCCCCTTTTTTTCTCAAGCCAAAAAGACGATCTCCTTGCCGGATGGGGCGGTTCGCGCGGCGAGGAAAACCTGTCGCACCGACCCTCAACTTGTTCTTTAGATTTGTTATCTTCTTTAAATAATCGCTATTTTTCTTACTTTTTTTATCTTGAAGCTAAGGTGTCAGGATTTCACCCGGGATCACGGTCATGTAAATCGAATTTTTCAACTCTTAGTCCATCCAATGAAATAGAGACTGAATTTCACTGAAGATTATTCAGAAATTAAACTTTTGCCTCCATTCGACATGAAAAAAAGTTGAACGAAATGATCTCAGATACCTCAAAAAGCAGTTTTTCGAAGGATCCTGCGCAGAGATCATTTTTGAGCTTCACATCCGTTTTTTTAAATCGAAACTTCAACATAAACTAGCGCATTTTTTATTACATGAAATTCTATTCGCACCTCTACTCCTGCTCCACAGGAACCAAAAATCTGGACATAGGCCTAATTTAACCGAAAAACGGTGATTTTGAAAAAAAAAACTTAGAAAAGCTTCGCTCAATCTTCTAAATTGTCGAAAATTAGCCTCTTATTTATGAAATTTTTAGCTAAAGCCTACGCTTATGCTGGCATTATCCTTTAGGTTTTGGTATGCATTTTGCTTCCAGTAAACATTTGCCTTGGCAAATATTATTTTCTTCACTTTGTTTCGAAAGGTTGTTGTGGGCTTCGTTCTAAAATTATCTTACTGATGTCACAGTAATTTTGAGTGCAGTTGGATATTTTTTTCATTTCGAACTATTTTAAACTTTTAGTTTTCGAGCTTCCAGAGCCAACTTCCTTATTTCATATAAATGTACTTTTCTCTTCACGTGAAAAGTTTATAAAATTCAGTTAGAATGATTTTTTTCTCCACAGCGCATTCACCCAATTGAACTTTCTTTTTTCAAGAAAAAACTTCATGTTCGCTCTCACGCTGACCCCGTCTTACTCATAGTATAAAAAAAAAGAAAAACTTTTGATGCTGTCCGCTGAAACACTTTTTTTTAGGGCAAACACGGACAATTCATGCCTTTGTGACTCGTTGACAGCGGAAAAAATTGAAGTTTTGTGCTCTTGAAAAAAAAAATACAGTTGAAAAAGTCTTCTCATTCTGAAAAAGTCTTCTCATTCAGATATCAAAACTTCCGGAGAAATTCAAGACTCTCATTCAAACTCATATTGACGTTCTTTGTTACAGAAACGTGCAAAAAGTGCCTAAAAATTTCATTCAGAATGTTTTTATCACGTTTATCCCAGAAAAAATGGAAAAAAAGTTTTTCTGTAGTTTTACCGGGAGCTTATTCTACCATGCCATTTCATTCTTGCTCGAAATTTTCAAAAAAAAATTTTGAAATTTCTCGAAAGTCATGCAGATAAGGAACCGAGTTCGGACTTGGGTCTTGACGGTTGGTATTTTTGTTTCCGTGTGGGGCTCTCGACAGTGCAAACAGGCACGAAAAGCGTTTGCGGTGGTGCTCCTCTCGCTGTATATAATCGTTCACATGACGACTGTCACTGTCACTTCTTCTCTCCTCGTCAACGCGCAAAAATCGAAACTTTCTGCATCTTGCCTCTCCACGCGCGCCCTAGGGCAACAAACACACGAGGCTAAGACGGCGACGAGGAGGCGCCGAGACGGCTAAGACGCCAGACCGCATACGTTCCGTTGAGCCGATCGATTGGTCAACTCGATCGATTAATTAGCTGACGTCATTAAGTCGATCGCATTTGGGTCGAGAAGTTGAGCTTGAGTTTGGCGAAGGAAATAGAAAAAGCCGCTGCTGAGACAGCTGAATTATTTTAAGTATTTACTATTATTCAGAAAAGTATGAGTTTTAAAAATTCACTTATTTTAGCAACTTCAGGGAATATACCAAGTTTTGAAAAATTCCGAAAACGACACAACTGGGAAAAAATAATGGAGATTCTTAATTTTTTTTTTCATAACTCAATCCGGGTAGATTCTGATTTCTCCAGCTGAAATAGTTTCAGTATCGGACCGAACTAAATCAATTCAAGTACCCAATCACTTTTTTCGGTCAGTTGTAGGTCGAAAATTCTGATGAAAAAAGTTAGAAACTTCTGGGAAGTCTCTCGAGCTTCTTCCCTTATTTTTTTAAATTCAGAGAATACTTCAAATTTCATCCATTTCGTTTTTTTGACGTCACCAAGTCGAACTGTTAAGAAATGTAAGATCAGGAAATCAAACTCGAAGCTGTGGAATTTGATAAATATCAGTACTTTCTACTTTGATCAATTGAGTTGTTGATAACTCCAAAGTTATCTATTTCATCAGCTTGCGCCATTAGGTCGAATGATCACGATCGATTTGGCTTTATACTTGATTTTTTGTCTCAGGTGATTGAGAAATTTTCGTTAGCTTCGATAATAAAGACATTTCGGTCATGTTTCTAACAGTCATTAAGCAAAGTTTCATTTACTTCTCGAAGAACCTGAGAAAGTCCAGAAAAGACTATCATTTTTGAAACCCTCATCAGAGTAGTGTAGGAGCTCAATCGGAGAAAAAGTTCTCAGAAGATCAATCTCGCTGACGTCATTAGATCAAGTGGTCGCAACGCGGCTGTTCTGTCGAGTTGGGTCAGAAGCTTTCGTAAAAATGAATCCGCAATCTTATTACGTTACCTTCCATCTCAATGACAATTTGAACTCACTTTTCATAATGATAAAAATGAGATTCCTTCCTCATAAAACTTTTAACCACGAGCTCGTTTGTCGAATTTCTGTTGGAAGTCATGATTACCACGAAGAAAATGGCCAGGTACAAGCTATGTAGAAGATCAAAGCTCAATTACACGTTAATCATTCTATTGGAGCAGACAACTTTTATCTAACTAATTGGGTGAAGCTCACTCATTACGCAACAGAATAGCAAAAAAAGCGTTGCGCAACATCCTCGACATTTTCGAATTTCTTCGCATTGTCCTTTTTTCTTGAAAAAAAGAGCTCCGTTCGTCGTGCAAAAGGTGATGCAAGGGCTGACTCCGCCTCTTACCGTATTGATGTTGCGATGACCGAGGCTTTTCATTCTCCTTTTTCCACCTTTCTTTCGCACTTTTTCAATTTTTAATAAGAGTTCAGTAGTTTGTTAGTTCTATATTAACTGCGTTCAAATATTGACAGGGTGGGTTTATCTTGGATCAGAGAAACTGGTTGGAGGGAAGGCCGAATGTGATTTTCTGACGAGTGAACCCGGAAATGGGCTGAACTGAATCCGGTTATCCAGCCTCTCCGAGGCGCCTCGCGCGTAGATTCGTTACGATCTGAGAAGTCAAAGAACTCGAGACTATTTTTTTTCTGCTTTCCTTGACCTTTGCGCCGTTCGGTTTGACGATTATCGACTTTTTTGAAGGACGTTGTGAGGGTCAGGGAATATTGAAATTATCTGAAAACTTTTCTGCAAATTCATGCACGTAAATTTCAGGTTTAACTCTTTTCACGATAAAATAAAGCCGAAAAAAATATTTTCATTAGAAATAGGACTGAAAGTGCTTTTGAAGGATCAGAAACATAGTTGTAAATCTACAAAAAACTTTGTTCGTTTTTCAATTTAACGGGTTAGCGCCAAATTTGTAGATCTCATTGTGAATTCCACTTCTTTTTCGTGTTTGATGGAAACTCCCAGATCCTTTATTAATTTGTCCATAAATGTGATTGAACTCTTTCTCGGAACCAACTTCACCGAATTCTTCATTACGCGACCTTCTTTTGAAGCTGTGTCGAAAAAATTAGGATTGAAAATGACTGAGAAAAGCGAAAAACAGTCAACATCGAATGTGAATTTTGAGCAAAAGTACATTTGCTCTTGGTAGTTTTACTTCCTCTAATGAGAGTTGGGACTTCCTGGAAACAAGCGTCATTAGCATTCTACTAAAACAGTCCGTTGCTTGGCAATCTCCAAGGCTCTTCCTCTGAATTTCCCCAACCCACTCTCTTACTCATCCTTTCCTTACTTTTCTTTTTTTTTCCAGATTCTACCAAGAGAAATTTGAGTGGATTATTCAAGAAATCTTGGCTTCAAATTATGTTAATTAAAGTCCTTTGAGGATTGTCCTAAATTTGTTGCAAATGCCTGACATTGCTCAGTTTTTTCTGGTTATCGGAAGCGCGCACCTCGATTTATCTTTGTCCATGTTCGGTCTCTTCTTCGCAACATTCTCAGTTTTTGCGCTTCCTTCTAGACGTGTTTATGGTGGGGTTAGCTGAGAATAATCGCAGGAAAAATGGATAATATTTGCAAGTCAATTTTCTACCTGAGGTGTTTTGAAGCCAGTTTTGTTGATTTATTCAACCTCTACTCGATTCTGTTTTCCTTACTCACACAAACAATGAGTAATACATTCGATTTGACAGGAAAACCTCAATTCTGAGGGTTTTTTTTCGACGAAATCAAGTCAGATGATACTTTAAAGGCGGAATAGAAGTCTTCTCTTTCAAGATGCTCAAGTAGACAAGTAAAAATGACAGATTTATTGGAGTCTGCTAAATATTTCATTTTTTAACTTGAACCAAACCGTAGCGTGATCTCGTTGATCCTTTCTACACGCGTTCAGAAAATTCAAATCGCGTCAGACGGAAAAAGACAAGAAAATTTTCTTGATCTCTACGCGTTTGTCTTTGAACAATCGAACAAAGCAGGTACCTCTACCATTCAAATCTGCTTCGTTCAGATCTCCCGTCCATTCTTCTCCCCTCGCACTTCAAACTTTCTGAGAGTGAAATTGTCATCTTCAAATCTCGTTAACCTCGATTTCTTTCCGAAAAAGGCTCTTCAGCTTTTGAGAATCATTTTGAAAGAACTGGAATATTCATTATTTATGAGGCCTCAAAAAGCTTGAATTATTAGATTTGTTCACGAGAAGTTGAAAAAAATACAGAAAAAAAGATTTGAGTTTTTCGAGGGTTTAAATCTGATATTTACTTAGAAGCAATTGATGAACATTTGACCTCTTTTTAAATTTTACATGTTTAATTTTTGATCAGTCACCAATTAGCTCTAACTATAAGAAGAGCTTTTTTTGATTAATTCTCTTATTGTTTCCATTTCCGATGAGTTATCTTATCATTATTACTGAACCGTGATCAAGGAGCAAAGCTCTAGGATTTCGCCATTCAGAACAAATGGAGAACTCTTTTTCCTGTTAGGCAGTCCATTCAAACACTTCCATTGCCTATGGTTCGCATTTCTAAGTTTTTTTAATGTCTTACTTTAAATGAAAGATTTGTTTTTCTGAAATATTTTATGTGAGAATTAATAACGGATGCGATCGAAATAGTAAGAACAGTTCTCCTATAGAAAAATGTGGAAAGGTTAAAATTTTTAATCTTAAAATTTAATCTGAACCTGAATTATAATTTTTTAATTTCTCTGTTATAGCCCACATGATCTTCGTTGCTTCTGATAACCTTCAAAAAAATAGGTTAGACTTCAATAATTTGTCAAGTTTTTTGCGAATCTAAACTCTATCACGTTGCTCGGTCCACCACACATTCTCACGCTTACTCTCATCACCTGTCGTTGTCGTCAAGTCCGAAAAAAAACCTTGTGGTAGATCATAAACAAAACGTTTCAAGGGCTGTTCGAATGCCGCGTCGAAAGACAGCAGACGGCGCGCAGGCGGCTCCGAAGGCGCCTCGCGTGCGCAAGAAGAAGGTGAATCCGGAGGAGAACAAGCCGCCGGACAACTACGAGCCGCTGATGCAGACCAACGGCTACGGGATGGACGACGGCGGCGGCATGTACACCCAGGACTACGGCTACGCGTTCGGCCAGCAGCCGCCGTTCGCCAGTCCCGAGCCCAACGGCAGTCCCTATCTTCTCCCGCCGCAAAGCAATACGCCACAGCCGCAGATGATGTTAGAGCTTCTCTTATCTTTTGGGCTGCTGATTTAGGGTTTGGTTGATTTGTGTGTGGGCATTCCAACCTAGACCAAGAAACATTTTTCCAGCAAATTTGATATCAAAATCATTACAAATCTAATTAGAACCTTGAAACTTGTTTGCATTCGAAATTTGTTGTTTTCAGAAGCTCACAAGTTCTATGTAAAAAACGGCATAGAATCTTAGTTTTTTGAGGTCTTTTGAAACTTTTTAAACAAAAACGAGACTTTTTTCTACGAAAAAACTATTTCATACAAGAAGCAAAACAAATTTTTTTTCCAACAAATTTGAAAAATTTTTGAGCTTCTGATAAACCAGTACATCAAAACATTATATTTTCGAAATAAACATGGAATTTTCCCAGCAGAAATCGACCTGTACCTTTCCAGTGGCGCCGAACTATTTTTGTAATGTGCTTCTAAATTAGAGCATGTACTTTATCGAGTTTATTGTCTCTGTGACTTCTTCCGTTTCTGTGAAACTGCTAAAACAATCTGTCACTTCTGAGCTTTGAAAGAAAGCCAAAAACTAGTGCTTGTATGTGTTTGATCTGAATAGCTCAATCAAGGCGGAAAAATCAAAAAATATGCAGTGATTGATGTTGATAACGCAATTTTGAGTTCATTACGGCCATTCAAAACCATGAGGAAAGAAAAACGAATCTTTTGAATCTGTAGTTTTTTGCAATTTGAAGTCGGGTTAATGAGCCAGGAATTCAGGATGCGGCAAATGCCACCGCCGCCGCCTCCTCAACCGTCCTCCACGCCCATGGGTCCCGCTCCAAGTCCGCTCGAATTTCGAGTACACGAAATGAACCGTCGATTATACATTTTCAGCAATTCGGGGGTTTGTTCATTACAATATTTCCGAAAAATCTAGAGTTGAAAAATATTTGTTTTTCAAGTCAGAGTATGAAGTCTTTTCAAAATCTCAACCTCATAATTATGCTCGTGAATTTGGCTACGGAGAAGCGCAAATAAAAATTTGAGGAATTTTTTTCAAACTTAAGAAGAATTAAAATCATTGTAGATATGTGAAAAAGACTTCGCTCAATGGTGGGACGCCTTTTCTCACGAGTTCTTCGACGACGACGCCAAGTTGTGGTTCCTCCTTTTTGAGAATCCCGATTCACCGGACAAATACTGTAAGTCTTGATTTATCTTGAATCTGCTGAAAACGGGCCATAGTCTTGCAACGCGGTCGCGAAACGGTCGAAAATTTGCCACTTTTCACTTTTCGAAAAAAAATTTTCTTGAAATTTTCACAGAGTGTGTAAATAGGGGAGAGAGTCACCTAAATGTGTTTTTTTAAGAAAAAAATTATATGATTTTTAATTATGAAATGAGATAAAAAAAGTTTGCTATTGTGACGATTGTGGGCCGGTTCGGCCATCAACCTCGGCCCAACAGCTCTGAGTAAAATTATAGTCTATGTACCTAGACTTGGAATTTCACCAAACGACATTCCGCTGTGCCGCTGCGCGCCTTTGCGAACATTGTTCGCGCTTTTGATTTTTTTTTCTTTTATTCAAGTACTCTACTTTTCTGTGCTCCCACAGAAATATCAATAAATTGAGAGCGTGACCTAGATTCAAAAGACGCTTCGCGAACGCACGCAGCGGAACAGCGGAATGTCGTTCCGTGAAATTTCAAGTCGTGGCACACAGACTATAAGACTCTTCCGTTTTTTTGTGAAACTTTCTTATAGCTTTGACTGGATCTTCAATAAAGAAGACAAAAAAAGAGAGAAAGACCGAGATTGTTTCTACCAATAAAGTGCAGGATTTCGAGTTGAAAAAAGAGGATGAAACGTGGGAAAACAGTAGAAATGACTAGAAATTATTTTTCAAATATTTTTTAGCTGTCGGCCGACAACTGATCCCCCGCTTCTTCCGGTCAATTTTCGAGAGCGGAATGAAAGAGTTGTGTTTTGTGCTCCGAGGTCCCACTCGGGAAACACCGATGCCTAGCGGCTGCATATCGTTCGAGAATGACAACGTGTTGCAAGTCACCAAACTCGACGCTCCGATGCACACGGAGGTCTGTATAGATTTCATAGTGAATCGTTAGGAACATTAATTGTCGGAGATCAATTTCGATTTCCCAGAAAACAGAAAACTCATTCAACCTGAACAGAACTTTCACCTACAGAAAAAAAATTCATTCACCGAATTTTCTAGCATAACACCTCTCTCAAGTTTCTTGTTTAACTAGCTTTTTCACAAATCTTTTTTCGAGATTTCCAAGAAAACTTTTCAGGTCAACGTTGAGTGCAAAATGTACATCGAGTTCACGCCTTATGACGAGGTTCTGAATCACCGGATTCGGTCATGGACGTTGGAAATGCGTGGTTGTGAAGAGTTCTTCTTCAATGAAATGACCAAGGTTTAAAATTTTTTTTAGGGGAATGTTAGGAATTTTTCATTTTAAAGATTTTTCAATTGAAAAAAACTTATCAACTGTTTCTAAAAAATTTAAAGTTATAGTTCTCGGAAAAGCCCTAAAATTTTAACTGTGTTCGATCAGAAATTCATGGTCGATTCACAAAAAAGATTGAGCTTCAAAATTTTTCCGACTAATAGCCAGATTTTCAAATAGAATCTTAATAGGATGAACTTTCACGGAGAATGTAGAACTCAGCAAGTTCGATTTTTTAAACTTTATTGATTTGAAAAGTGAGCTTCTGAAGCCCGAAATATTTGTTTTTCTCAATTCTAGCCCCCAAAATTAGCTCCATTTATTGCCGTTGAACGCAGCTACCGTATCCAATGTTTCAAGAGTCAAACATTTTTTCCCAGAATGTCCCGTTCATTTTTCTCACTTCAAGCCTTACCACGTTTTTACGATTATGGATATCGGTCCCCAGGGCGGCTTTTCATTCCAAATGCCGCGTTTCTTCTGCCTTTTGCCTCGCGCACAATGCGCGTTTTGATTATCAATGCGGGACTAACGAACCGAGAAAAATTTCGTTGAATAGGAAAATGAGCTACGTTGAGAGTACCAAGAGTTCCGAAGTTTTCATAGGGGCTCAAGGAGGGATTTTTTCAGTTGAGAAAGGTTGGATTTAGTGGTTAAAACTTTCAAACTTTTGTGCAAACCTCACATATCATTAAAATGATTTTTTTAAAAAAATGTTTCATCATTTCGAACGCGGATAAACTCTAAAAACAGTAAATTCGCCTACGCCTTTCTGCTCTTGGCTGAGGTTTTGAAACATTTTACTAAAACAGAGAAATTTCTACAGTTGAAAAACACTCGAGCCTTCATACAACACATTTATGTTTTTGGTCATCTAAAAATATATAGAAAGATGACTTTTTATCCCAAGTTTTCATAAAGCTAACAAGACTTAACTGAGTCATTATTTTTTAAAATTTGCTTTCCTTCAAAACTATTGCTTAGAAGGTAAACCTAAATTTACTAATTTTGCAGGAATTTGAAAGAATCGACCCTTTGATCGTCGAGCGGCGGATAACACGAATGGGGTTTCACAAGAACACAATCGGCTGCCTCAATTTATGCAAGATCCTCGAGCCGATGCAAGTTATCATGAGCAACAGCAAGTCGACGGGGGTAAGACGCCGGTTTTCTTCTTCTTTTTGACGGCCGCAGATTTCCCTCGAGTCCATTTGGCCCCCGCCGCATTAGGATCGTAGCGTCACAATCCAGATATTGAGCTTCGGCGGTTTTTTTTGAAGGATTTTCAGCTGGACACGCCTTCTTGATTTCAGTGTCTCGTTCAAAAAGCCCAGTTTTGACTATTCGCTTCAGTTTTTGGCTTTCATTTTTTCAAAAAGGTTTTCTTGAATTTCTTTCTTTATTTCAGCCTACCTATGATTCATTAATTCGGCTTAGCTTTTTAAAAAAATGTCTTAGAGTTTTTCAAAAAAATTGTTCTAATTTCTAATAAAAGTTTTTTTGACACCTTTTTCTTACGAAACTTAGAGCTCTGTTAAAAAAACATTCTACTGTGAATATAATAAAAAGTTGAGAAAAAAATTATAAAAAAATGTCTCAGAAAAAAACACGATCAAAGTTTTTTTGAAAGTCAATTTATTGAAAAAAATTGGTAAATTACTCGATGAAAAAAATTTTGAAAATTGCTAAAAAAACTAGTTAATGGATATGAGAATTTTATTAAAAAGCTCTTAACTTTTTTTATATTTTTTTCATCAAATGAACTGAACAAAGGCCGAAGAAAAAAATCTGAACCCAACTCCAATTTTTCTGTATAAATTCATAAATTTCATCAAAAAAATGGACTCGAGAAAAAGAGAAACGTCAAAAGAAACCTTTTTATTTACTTGAGGCGTTTAGAACCTCAATTTCCCGTTTCAGAACGACCCCCGAGATACAATGAAGCGAACAATCTTCCATCATTACGCGTTTGAAATGAAGCGTAGGGAAATGGCAATGAACCAAATGAGTGAGTTTTCTGAGAACCAAGTTTAGATTTGATTGAGATTGAGAAAATAACAGTCTCCCACGCACCCATTAAGAATATGGCTCGTGACATATATCCTTTTTTTTCATCCACTCCATAAGTTGCCAATCATTTCTCGCATTCTTACATTCGTATTCGTCTGAGCTTTATGAAGTTTTTGCGTCAATGTTCAATTGTTCAGATCAGCAAGCAATGCTTCCACCGGTCGTCGAGGAAAAGCCAAAGCCGCAACGCAAGCGCACACGCAAAACGCCCGCAAACAACAACAAAAATAAGAAAACCAACGCGAGTCCCGCTCCTACGAATCCCGCATTCCCGCCAAATCCCATGGCTCCTAATGTAAGATTTTTTTGAGTTTCAACAAACTAAAAAAATATTAGAATGAATTTTGGAAATTGGAAAAAAACAATTTTTTTCTCAAATTTTTCATAATGAAAAAAAGCATAATATGATATTTTAAAAACTTTGCCCAGAAATCCTACCTTTCGCAAAAAATTAGAAACAGTGATCTCACTTTTTATGTTATTTTTTCAAGATGAGGAATCTTTGGGTTTCCTTTGTTAGAGCAAAATTTCAGCCAAAGAAAACAGATAAAGAAATAAAATTAAACATCGAGCTCATTTATTCTAATTTCAGTTCTCCCAAATCGGCTACCAAGACGTGATGGTAGTTGGAGAGCCGTCGATGATGGGCGGCGAGTTTGGAGAAGAAGATGAAAGAACGATTTCGAGGGTCGAAAACACTCAATATGATCCGAATGCATTGCCGGTGGGTACAGGCTATCTTATTTTTAACAGAAAATAGACTTCGTGAGATGAAAAGAAAACTTCTTAGAAGCTACTGTATAAGGTTGATCGTTTCAAACTATTGTTCCCATTATTTCACGGTGGTTTCAAGCTCAGAGACTTAAAAAAAATCCCTGAAGTTTTTGTCAAACTGTCCAGTTTTCAGATGCGGCCGATGCAAATGCAACCGATGGTGCAGCAACAGATGGGCGGTCTTGGTATGGGAATGGTTCCGCAAATGGGCGGACCTCCCGGACCCATGGGACCGGGTCCCGGAATGCCGCCGCAAATGCAAAATATGCAAAACGCCATGCAGAATACCATGCAAAATACCATGCAAAATACGATGCCAAACACCATGCCAAACAATATGCCGCCAGGTAAAGATTTAAATCAAAGTTGGGATGAATAAAAAAATAATTTGTCCAGAGAAAACCAAAAAAAGGACAGAAAACTCTTTAAATAATGGTTTTTTTGATAGCTTTTACTTGAAAAAGTTCTAGCCGGATTTTTCCCAAGATTTTTTTCTCGAATATCCTGAATTTTCTTTTTTTAGAAAGAAGTTTTTTTCTCACTCCTAATCAAGCTAATGAACTCAAAAAATGATCCATTTTTTCTCACGGCTGTACGATTCCAGGTTACGGATTCCCACCGCAAGGAGCTCCCTGGCCAAGCCAACCTACAAATACGACCATGATTACGGGATGAAGGTAATTAATTACACCTTTAAAGTCATTGAATTACTCAATTTTCAGCAAAAATCGAATTCTGCTAGTCTCGCTCTCCTATCCCAGTGCTTCGCCGCTCTTCAAAATCTTGCAACGAGAATGATTTTTATTCTTCCTTGTGTCATTCCAATTTTGTTCTAAGCTCTTCATTCATTGTTTTTCCCCTTTTTACGGATCGAAATCCTTAAAAATCGAATATTCTCAATCAAAGAGCGTTCACTTCTCCACACGCCCCTCGTTCATTTGGTCATTTGTAAATGCATTTTCCTTCTCAGTTCACCTTGTTTCCTTTTTCATTCAGTTGTTACCGCGTTTCAGTTCAATTTGTAAATTTTGGTTGGCTAACAACTTCCAGCAATATTCTCATAGATACGTTAATCTCAAACGAAGCAAATAGTCCTCCTGGGAGGTTTTATTTGTAGCCTATCGATGTCAGGTTTTTGGGTGAAAACTAATTAATGTGATTATCGGTTATTATTTCTTACAATCAACAAGTTGTACACATTGCATCAAAAACGCTAGCCGCCAAGGTCTTCCTCACTTATTTCTAGATACAATCATATATTCGGAAAGGTTGCACCAGCCCGTGTCTTCAGCCAGCTACTTTACAAATCTTTAAGCTTGGGCTCCAAAATCAGTTTATCTCCTTCCCTCGGCAGCTTCAATAAGTCTCATTTACCTTCTTTTTTATCGCTGTTGATCTCTTTCTTGTAACATTTCTAACGATTTCTTGTACCAACGACATTTTATTTTTCGTTTATCATTCACCGTGTGTTTTGTGAATCTTACTACACTCATTTCGAATAAAATGTATTTTGACACTTTTAACCAACTTGTGAGTCGGTCAGAATTGCGACGCGCAGTTGTCATACTACCTCAGTCGGCGTCACCTACATCAAAATTTTCGCCTGCCCTCAAAAATTTTATTATTTTCAACTATCCACCTGTCTGACTCTGAGTTCATTTTTTCGTCTGGCTTTTCGCCCCTGTTGACCTGTACGCAGATTGGTCGTCATTTGCTCGAAAGAATCCCCGCTTATCTTAATTTATCCCTGCAAGTGACATAATAAAATTTATTACTTTTGTAAATGTCGTGTAAATGTTGCAACGAACTCAGAAAAAAAATTGCTGAAAAAATTAACTTTCAAAGTTTTTTGTAGTGATTTGAAGGAAGGTCTCAATGATCAATTTTTTTTTACAACTGTCATGTTTTTGATTTCGAGCATTTTTAAAAGTTTTTCCCTTTTTTGAAAGCTTTCCTTCCCGCACAATGCGCAAGAAAGCTTCAAAAAATAGCGATTCCGAGAAACTTTTTTGTTTCAATGATTCCGAAACGTAATGCAAAAAAGGACATCATTAATGCGTCTTTGACAAATTTTAAATCCCTCATCGCGTTCGTTTCTAAAAGCACTGCCAATACGCATTAAAACACATTTACAAAATGAAGTTGTTCCATTTCGGAAAATTAACGCCAAAAAACCATACAATCCGAATTCAATCTCCACGAAACTACTCGAGATTTTGAGAATTTGTATCGCGAAAAACTTTATTACAGATCTTTTTACATAGTTCAATGATGAGATCGTGGCTGAATTGGTCCAGAATAGAGGAAAACTGAATATTCAAACAAATGGAGATGGAGTACCAGCTTCAAGAAAAATCAGAAAAATTGTGAAAGTTGGGGAAGTTTTGAATAGAATAGATGCGCAGGTTTTACCCGACATCAAATGCAAGAGAACCGGTTTTTTTCTGTAATATTAGTGGCAAAATAAATTTAAGGGTTAGTAGAATAAGAAAAAGGAAAAGTATCTAAAACGATACTTGCATTCCATTCATCGCTGAAAATGTCAATTTTGGGAATCTTTCGATTGGAATGATTTTCACTGCTTTGATGAGAAAAAAAAGAGCTACGAAAGCAATAATTCAAACTTTCTCCACAAGTTCCTATTTTCCTGAAAAAACTCAGTTCAGAACAACTTGGATTTGTTTTTCATATTTCAAAAACTCGCATTAAGAAAAGCCTTGATTTTTTTTTTCTTTAGCTTAGTCTTTTCCAATGCGATCCAAAACTGTAAAAATTATTAATATTGCGTTTCTCGAATCCCGGAGTACGCCGATAAGTTCCAAATGGGTAAAAATTAAGGAAAATGAGTATGAAAATTGAAAAATTTGCTAACGTATTCAAAAGAGAGCAAAATAATTACATCGAGTTTTGATACAAAACATGAAACAACTTTTTTAATCGTGTCAGACGTTCACGTTGAAGTGGTGGGCTGCATCGATGGTGACGGTCGTTTTCGGACTGAGTGGAGGGTCGCTGGAGTTGGAGAGAGTGCGAGAAGTCTTCCTGAGCAGCAGCCGGACGTATTTCTTCAGTCGGTTGGTGAAGGCGATGAACACGAAAGCGTTCACCGACGCCGACACCATGCAGAGCACGTTCGACAGGTGTGATTGGAAGTAGTCGCTTCTGGAAGTTAAAATATAAACCTTCAAAGGGATAATCCTGTTTCATGGCTTTTGAAAAATTTGAAGGCTTTGATGATTTTCAACTTCTGTTATTTCAATGGCCTAACCGCTGGCCTTGAATAAGAAATATTCCTGAAACAATCGATTTTCCGCCAACTTTTTTTCATGTAATACGGTTTCGTGAAACTTTTGCAAAAGTATGAGTTACTTTTTTCCCTTTGTACTAGATTTTTATTCAAAAACTTGGCCGCAAAAGTTCGACTACGATTTTCATGCCAAAAAACAGGATCTCAGTTTTTTTTTGTTAAAAATGCTTTTCCTGTGCTTCTCTCAATTTTCGTTTTTCAATAAATGTTTCCTCATCTCTTTATAACTTTGCTTTCAAATTTTTCGAAGTTTTTGTTCATAAAATTTCACCTGTTCGGGCACTGATGATTAATCAACAGTTGCCATTTTCGAATAATCGTGTAGAGCTTTAAACTGTGGAATACGAGGTAGAGAAGGATAATGGCCACAATGGAAACTGTGGCGCGAAGTTCTTGTTTCTGACGGAGCACCTCGGCTTTCTGTCGGAAACAGCTTGTCAGAGGATGACTATAAATTCATCTGAATGTTCTTTTTTTTTCTTGGAGCTCACGTCAAACTGGTGCGTTTTGCTGTTCCGAAGCCGATTTGTTGGTAGGAGAGATGACGGCTTCGGTAGATTTCGTAAAGCGTAAGAAGAGAGAAAATCGACATCAAGGCGAATGGGACAATGTTCCCCATTAAAGGTTCCAAGACGGAGTGGTAGATGAATCGGTAGGGTGAGAGGATCTGAAAGAATTAGTTTTCGCACAAATGTATGATTTTTAAAAATTTTCTTTTCGATCACAGCTTTTCGAGGCCAAAAAGTTAAGCTTTTGAACTAAGAGAAACATTTGGGTTACAAGATTTACAAGATTGCTCCCGGTGTTCGGTAGGGAAGCTTTTTTTAAGGTCTTCTGAGTATATCAAAGAAAACTGTTTGATTATATCTTCTATAAGGATCATCCCCAGTTCCGTCACAAAAAAACACGAAAAAAAACGCGTTCTTAATCCCAACTTTCTTGTTTGGAGTTTAAACATTTTGAAACTCTCTGGAGTTTTGGTGATTCTTATTTTTAACACTCTAGTAAAATTTCAGCTCGCAGAAAGAAACGCAGTTTCATAAACTTTGAAATAGATTGAGCTCCTCATGAGGAAATTGTGAGCAAAAATTTGTATGTATCTTATCTGATGGTACTGTAGATTACTTCTACAGTTTACATTTCCTTTCAGTTAACATCCCTGATTTTTTTTATTATTATTTTTTTGCACTTTTTGGTACTCGAACCCCTCTAAAACAAAGTTTTTCACTTTCCTCCCAGGAAATGAGATATTCGGTCCAATTATCGTTGGCGGTGCATTGTTTTGGTGGTTAGAGGCTGCGCGACCTTTTGCGTGGAAAACAGATTTAGCCGCCGGAATGTTGAAACAACCTTTGGTTGGGGCCCATCCAAGAGCCAATCGGCTCCTGGCTTTACAGGACAACATTCTGTCTAAATTGCACCGATTCCAAAGGTTTTTGGCTCAAAACAATTGTGTCTCGATGATGTGAGGAAAATAAGATCACGTGATCGTCTAGGTTTTTGTAAAAGTTCCAGGAATGTGAATGAACTCTGAGGATGTTTTCATAAACTGATAAATTGAAGCAGAAAGACTTTTTTCTCTATTCTTGTAGTTTCCTGGCGAAGAATCTCGTTTTTGGATTGAAAAGAGGCAATATTGTGATATCTCAACGGCTTTGGTCGACTCTTAAACTTGCCTCAGTTGCTGCAATCCGCTTATTGATGCGCACATGAGGATTCCATCGAACTTCGAGTTCCAAAGCGAAAATTGGCGTTCGGAAAAGCAAAGCTGAGGCCAACATTCCAAAAAGCATCGTGTGAGCTCGTCCCACTGTATCTTTGAGTCGAGCGATCACCGGTCGGGATATCTGAGAGATTGAATGGGATTCAAATATGATGTAATATAAGTCACCTTCCAATAGCGGTGAGCACTGAGAGCCGCGATACACCAAACATGCATCGTGCTGATTGTTGTTTCAATCCTGAAAATCATTCAAGTGGCGAAACTTGATTAAAATGTTCAGTTTTTCATGGAAACACACCTTGGCATCGTGTGTTTGAGAAACCTCCTCTCAAACATGCAAATATCGTAGAAGGTGTGATTGGCGGAATGGTGAAGATCGCAGATGAGAGGCAAGAATTCAGTTGCAAGTTTGACCACGAGTAGGACATGATCGAGTATAAGCAACGCTTTGAGGTAAACGAAGACTCCAGACGTAATTTTTGGCGGTCGGTAGAGGAAAATCTGAAACAAGTGGAATCAAACTCAGATATATTCCTTTCAAATCAAATAAAAATTTTTCAAATAAATCAAATAAAAATTTTTCTACTTGAGTTTCAAATCAAATAAAAATTTTCTACTTGAGTTTCAAATCAAATAAAATTTTCTACTTGAGTTTTTAAAATGGCTCAAATCAGCAGAAATGCCCGATTTAGAATGACTTGCTGTGAGGAGCATTGAAAGCGTTACAAAAACTAATCAAAAGCTCAAATTTTTCAGCTAAAGCCCGACCGCTAAATGTCAAGCCATTCCACATGCGACCACCATTTTTTTCTACCTACCAGATGAATTTGCTGTTTTTGAAATTCCAAGTCAATCTTATCATTTAATGAAAAAAAAAAACAAGTCCTTTTTTGGTGAAAAAAAGTTTGGAAAAAAAGTTTTTTTCAAAAAAAATATAATGAAATCCAAAAAACGCTTTCTTACACTGCCTGCAATTTTCCTCTTTCTCTCAAAATCTTTACCAGACAAGAGCCACTTCTGATTCTCTTGCTCTAATAACCAAAATGTTCAACTTTGAGCTGTAAAAATATCCTCGAGATCCGGTTTTCCTGTTAGTTTTCATATTTGCTAACATTTTTTTTCAAGCTTTTGTCAACTCAGTTGTACAAATATTTTTTTGTAATTTATTTGAAGTCAGAGTTTCGCAATTAGGTTTTCATGTTTTATTTTAGAACACTCCGAGTGTTTTTCACAATTTAAAAGTTTCAGTTTGAACCATTTTATCTAAACTGACAAGTTTTGGAATGAAATTCTTAATTTTTCTACAATTTTCCCAGGTTCCATTTTGATCTTTGGTATCTTAGGAAAAGCCGATCTTGACATTTTTGTTTTTTTTTTCTTTTGCTTTGAAGTGTCCGACAGGTTTTTACTTCGAGAGGCCAAAACTTTTAATGAACATTTTCGGGTCGGGTGGTGGAAGTTTTTTTTTCTAATGTTTGTTTGCTTTTGAAGCGAAAAATCCGTTCAGAACTGAATTAAAAAAATACCAAGCTTTTCTGAACAAATAACTCCGTTCGCAAACTTGTTTTTCGTAAACCATTTATCGAAGTTTTATGATGAAGACTCGAAATTTATTCTTTCTTGGCTAGCAAATGAAAATCTTTGAAAATTATGAAACTCAATGTTGACTACGAAATGAACACCACTGAGTTGGCGGCGCCACAATGTGCCTGGTGATATGACATTTTTCTGTGCCAGGGTGTTCCTCTTTTTTTTTCAAAGAGAGGATGTCTCGATGCTCTTCCTCACACCATTGAATATGGCTCACCAATCCCGGAATTTCCTCAGAAAATAGAGGATCTTGTTTCACGCCTCCATTGTGAGCAACATTCCGAGCGTTCCCAGTTTTCCGTCATCTTGAAAGTTAGACGCCAAAATTGGTTTCGTGGAATTTTTTTGTTATTCCCAATCGTAACGAAATTCGAGATTTTTGAATAATTGGACTAGAGAAAGATTTGAAAAAGCGCGATCGAAATTTTTTGAATTCTTACTGAAAATAATTAAATACTCGTTGGGTCTGATATTCGTATCTTTAGTATTTAAAGTGGAAAGAAACATATTTTTAAAAGCACAGAAAGTTTCGATGATCATAATTGAAGTTTTTTCGGAACATGAGAAAAGTGAAATTTATCATTTGTCAGTTAGATAATTTTTCAAAGTTGAAGAGAAGCGACTTTTGGTAAAGAACACAGAAAGTGGAACAGGGAACACTATGATCACACAAAGAAAAGAAACTAACCATTGCGCCAGCATTCAAAGCAATGCCGAGTAAAGAGATCGGAAGCAAGAAATAAAGGTTGAGATCGCGTAATTGGAAGTAAAGTTGATGATCATGAACCCGGGGCTCGTGGTAACATGCTGGAGAGTGGCCGCTCCACGCGAGAGCCGCGCTCTCGCTCATTTTCGACTCTGCAGATCCGAAACTTGATCAACTAAAAAAAATGGAAAAGTTCAATGAGCGGCGATCAAAATTGAGAGTTATTGTTTGGACGAGAGATAAGGTTATTGTTTCATACTTTAATACTTTCACAGGAAGTATACAGGCTGTAGAGGGGCAATTGTAGGAGAAAGGCAAATCCACAAAATGTCTGAAGATAAATGATTCATGTTCTTGAAGCCTGTAACTTTCTGTTCTCCAGGCAAGCATCCATTTTCTTCACCATCCTGGTTAAATTTGAATCTCTTTTTCTTGAAAATATCTTTTCAGGAAAATCTTCTATCAAAGACCATCAAGTAAAATGGAGGAAAACCAACTAATTGAGGCTGGTTTTCAAAAAAACAAGATGAGAAATTTGAGCGGCTTGCTCAGACATTCGAACAATACACAGAAATATATTCGAGATGAAAAACAGAATAAAATATAGTGACCATATGTTAAACAGAAAAGAAAATGAGAAAAAAGACTTAGAACTTCAAATTGATTTTGCGACATTTATACATTTACTTACAATAACACTCGAAAAAAATCAAACTTTTCAATGAAAATAAAATGGACACCGCTTAAAAAAGATTTAGAGATGAAGCTTCTGCCTAACACTTGTTGGGATTTTTCTTTTCAAATTCTACTCCATTTTTTCAATCGACTATGAGTGAAAAATGATTATTGGACAGTGTTGAAAACTTTCAACTGCAAATCTTTGGTTAGGAGAATTAAAACTTGAGAGAGAGTTGAGGAAGTTTAGATTGAAATGAGAGCAGAGATCTCGAGTGCAATTTCTTCGAGGAAGCAGAGCGAACTTGAGAAGAGAGTGGGAATGGAATGGATAAATAATCATTTTTTAAACTTTGGAATGGCTAGTTGAAAAATTAAAGAAAAGAGTGATTTGAGAACTTAGCTGTTGAATGAACTGTTTCTGGATGGACTATGAATCCCAAAACAAAAAGAATGAACTGGCTGAAAAGTGGTCCAATTTCTTGAACTGAATCCTACTCCAAGAAAAGATATCTTTTTGGGCTCCGTGAGTCTAACAGAAAAATCTACTACCAACCAATTCATCCCAAAAAAAAGCTTGGATAATGTGCGAGCGTTCAAAACCAGTCAAAAAACAAGCGAAGAGAACAAAAATTTGTTTATTTTTCTAGGTCTTCTTCTTCTTATATTTCTGTTTATTGCTTCTTGCTTGGCGAGAATGGTTAATTGTCGAGAAGAATGAAAATAGGAATTTTTAGTGAAAAATACTGAAGGAGCTGGAAGAAAGCTTTACAAGTTGGCAGCTACCAGTAAAGAGAAAAATGAAGTGAAGTCACCGTTTCAACAGTTTGGAAGATTTTTATTCTGTGAGAGAGCACTGAAATTATGAAAACAAAAAGAAAAAAAAATTTAATTTAATTTAAAAATTTTGAAACTTTTGGAAGGATTTTTTTGAAACTCCTTTCGAGTTCATCCAAATACAAATAACCGGTTTTCATAGGAACTTCCATAATTACCGAAATCTCTTTTTGAAAAAAAAAAGCATTTGAGTCTCAAAGAGAAGTTCGCTGTTTTGAAAGCTCTCAAGAACCAAATCTGACCAGGCCTTCAGAAGTTCCTGGAGAAGAAGAAGAATAAGTAGGAGCAAAAGCGAAAGGAGAGAGTCTGTATCATGCGTGCGACGGCGTGTTTGGTCATCCGGCCCAAAAAATGCGGCCTGGGAGAAGAAGCGGACCAAGCCCCTCCCTCCAGACGCTCCACCTCAGGAACCGTCCTAGGAATTCTGAATCACGTAGGTGCGCCAGTGAGGCAACATCACTTCACGTCACATAAGCTTTTGGCAGAAAGGAAAAGGAAGAGCACAGGGAAAAGCTCATCGAATTCGACTTGAAATCTGATTTCGAGCCTGCAGAGAGCCTTTCCGGCCATTGAATCTGCAACCCTTCTGTTTTTGCTTTTGTTGTTCACTGAAGAGATTGAATCTTTTGAGGCTACACCCCGATTTAATTTATATATCCGTTGTCTGAAAATGCCAGGTTTTGTACGGAGACTTTGAAATCAGACTGAAACTCTGGTAGGATGTTTAATTTTTTTGAATAATGTTGAAGTTGTGGTGACTGTTATTTGTAACCATTTAACAGAAATTTGGGTCGGAGAAAAAAAACGCAGTTTCATAGAACTTTAAAAAAATGGACATCCATACGAGAAAATTGAAAGCAAAAAGTTTTTTTTCGACATTTTCTGACAAGCGTGATGGTACTGTGAGAGTAAGACAATTTAACAGCTGGGCTTCACATTAAACTTTTCTCTCATAATTTTCATAGTTATTGAAGTTACTACTGAGTTCAAAGTCATAGCAAGTTCCGTTGAGCTTCTTGATATTTTGATGCAAAAGGATCAATGTTGATTCAAAAATAGAACATTCATAAACATGCGAAAAATTGTGAATAGAACATAATGAGCATTTGCGTTCACTCTGAAAGGAACCAAAAAATTAACCATTTGTGTAAACATTTGAATGGGTTCAAAATAACTTTTTATTTGATCAGGTTTCAATAGTTTCCAATTGCAACGTTTTCGTTGACTTTTTTTTAGTCTTACGCTCAAGTTATTTAAAATTGGAAGCGAATTCTCTCAGTTTTGATGTGGAATCGGCAGTTTTGAAGCAAGCTTGTTTAAAACTCGGAAAAGCCGAAAAATCTTTGTTTCAAGCTTAAAACGAAGATCACGTCATCGAATAGTCGACATGGTCATCACGGAGAAAGAGAGTTGGGAAAATAAGGATAAGCCCAACTGCAAACATTTCGGTGAACTCGGCTCCGAATCCCCTTCCAACATGAACCCCTACATCACTCCAGTTCGGATACATTTCCCTCTTCGTTTTTCAAAAAAGCTAATTATAGCAAGAAACAAATTATATGGAGGCGTTAGCACCTTTAATTCCGAAAAAAAATAGTTTGAAGGCTCTGAGGATACGCATCAAACCGTGTTTTGTGAATTTACTGAAAACTGCCAAAAAAAAAATTTTTTTTACAATACGAAATTGGAATATGCTAGAATAAGGTGAAAAGATATCAAAAAAATTTGAGAGAAAAATATTGTTCAAGTGTGGCAAAAAAATCAACAGAACTGCTCGAATCTGACTTTGGAAGGGCAAAAAAATAAGAGCCGATAATTAAAAAAATACAAAAAAAGACAAGTTCTTTCAAATCGAAAAAAACAAAGTGATTTGTGGAATAAAAAAACGATCAATAATAATGCAATATTGATTGAAGCTGAAAAGTTAACAAAAAATACGAAAGTAAGAAAAAAAGATTAGAGAGAAGTCAAGATCTGAGAGGTGACATCCACCTATAAACAAAAAAAAACTTCCGCCTTGACTACCTGGTTCCTAAACTTTGTAAAAAGAAGATGAGAACAAAAAATCAAATTTTTTTGCAAAAATTTCCTTTCAGTTCTAGCATATTTTCGAAGTATTCTCGAGAAAAAAAATTTGCGAGATCTGGCACAAATTTGAAAACTCCAGGCTTCCAAAGGCACATGCCATAATCACCTGATGGCTCTTTGTATATTCATATAAAACTAGCGTAAAATATACTCGAAATAACTACAATCTTAACAACCAGTAAGACTCATTTTGACGGCCTGAGCTCATATCGAAATAATCCGACTTTACTTTTTCATAAAAAAAGGGTGCCTCTCTTTAGCGAGTAAATTGTGAGACGACTTAATAGGGATTAATTAAAGAAAGTACAAACCGAATTTAGAATATTCTTACGAAACAAGGGTTCTTTATGATAAAACTTTTGTTCGAGCTTGGTTAATTTTATCAGAAACCAGGAAGCTCAAAATAGTTATGTCGCAAACAAGAACTTTTGAAAAAAATTTTAAAATTATTGATAAAACATGAATTTTTTTAGGATGTTCCCAAGCTGAAAAAAACTTTTTATCAAATAAGAATGAATCATACGGAATTTTTTTCAAAGAAAAAAAGCTTAAAATCCAAATAAAGAGGTTGACTTGCGTAGTGTATGCCCTTAATATCATCATTAGACAATCTTTAGATATCTCATAGGTTTTACAGAAAACCGAGCAAGTTAAGAGATCCAGGTTCAAACATCAATGAAAAAAGTTGAGATATGGATAGTGCGTATCTTTAGCATATGTTGTGTGTACAAAAGCGTGCAAGAGACTCGCGTAGTGGGTAGAAATGAAGTGTTTTGTGGGGGCGACAGAAAAATTGTCGTCGCTTGCGGCGCAACGGAACGGAAAGGAGAAGAAAAAAACGGACAGAAGAGTCGACGATGACCGCCTGGGGGTCATATGGGAGCAAATACACCGGCGAAGGTGTGCATTTTGTAAGGAAACATTATGTCCTCGGCGACTAATCCGGTCGCACGTGGAAAAAGTTTCCCGTCGGCTATTAATAATCTACAATTTTGGTCCTCGTTCGCACCATGGTCAGGATTTTAGTTCCTAGGCTTTTGAGAGTTCATTCGGTTCGCACCCATATTCTACAACTTTGAAATTCATATTTCTAAAACAAGAATTCTGCCAAAATAGAGGCTTTGTGAATTCGGTTCCTATGCTATCGCAGAAATTTAAAGAGAATTTGAAGAATATACTAGAAGGCTAAGGGCTGTCCCTTGAAATAAAGCCAAAAAGCAGCTTCAGCCTTAAACTTCAACTTCAAAAAACGCTGAGTTTCTCAGAACTTCTTCACAGAGAAAAGAAAGGTCACTGGCTAAGAAAAAAACAAGAAAAAGTTTTCACGCTGTCACTCAAAACTCGAAAGGTGAGGTGTGAAAAATACTTTGAACATCCTGAGACGAGACCGCAAACTGAAAGGTTCAAATTTTTGCGAGCCCGAGAAGTATTTCTGATTATTTCACAGTGGCATTTTCATCTAGCAGTAGTAACTTGGGGAAGTTAGGGGAAGAAAACGAAAAAGTAAATTCAGCTGTTTCAGTTCGAGTCCCAGATATGGCATT